AAGGGCCGCAAGGACTACAAAGCCCCCTCCCCTCTCCAAATCAGCTACGGGCTTATCGAAACCAGAGCGCTGTCTGTACTGTGCATTTGCCAACAACGATAATCAAAAAGGCCCCGTTACGAGGAGAAGAAAAAAAAGGTGATTCGAATTAAAATAAAATAAAAAAGACCGACCTAGCTTTTCCGCAGATTAACAGGGCATCCGGTGATTGTGACCAAGTGCGGCCAGCCAACGAAACTACGAGTTATCTACCAGGGGACGAAAAGGACGCACTGCGCTGCATCATACAGGGCATCTGCATAAAGAAGGCATACCGACCAAGCAAGGGGAGACATTTAAATACGGAAGTATGGGCCTCTTTTCACGCAAAGAAAAGACTTCTCCTTCGAATGGTTCATCATCAAGAACAAACTCTACACAATTAACTGAAGTTCAATCTTTTCGCTCATCACAATCCTCACTAAAATCACCCTCCACTCCTGGCTTCTCAAGAATGTCTATCCCCACCATACCCAAGATCGCACTTCCCAAGGCACCAGATCCAAATGTCGACCCAGCTGGATATTTGAGAAGCATTGGTGCTGTACGGGAAAGATGTGGCATCGTATTGGAGAAGGCCAAGAAGAATGATTTGAATCATTTCGAAGTCGATATGGGAAGATTTAAAGATACCACAAAGTTTGTCGTCTCTGTGATCAAGGTATGTATTCACATCTCCACTGCACATTGCATCAGTGCAAAAGATCCCGTTCCTAACTTTTGTTGTGATTATAGCGCGATTTTGCACCCGATTACAACGCCATTCCCCCTCATGGTCGATGGCAACATTTCAACGTAGGAGGTAGAGATAGAATCGGGGAGCTCTTAGGAAGCTGGCCAAGCCAAGTTGATCCTTCCGAACGATGTCGCCGAATTCTCGATCTCTTCCTTGTATCTGTCTTACTCGATGCCGGTGCCGGTACATCATGGAAGTATAAGAGTGTTGAGAGTGGTCGCACATACAGGAGAAGTGAAGGCTTGGCAATTGCCAGTTTGGAAATGTTCAAGGCTGGTACCTTCAGTAGTGATCCAGAACAACCACACAAAGTCGATGCAGATGGATTGTGCCAATTGACTGTGGAGATCATGAGCTCAGGTCTACAAGTCACTGAGCAGAATCCGATTGCTGGCTTGGCAGGTAGAACTGGTTTGCTGGTTAAACTTGCTAAAGCTTTGCGAAATCCTTCTCTCTTCGGCGCAGATGCTAGACCTGGAAACATGCTAGGTACGTAATATCTTCACAACATTTTGCAGAATCATATCCTAATATTTACAGACTTCCTCATCTCCCATCCTTCTACACAAGCCGCATCTGTACCAATCGTTCCTCTGCCCACCCTTTGGAGTGTCCTGATTGATGGTCTTGCACCAATCTGGCCAGCATCTCGCACAGAAGTTGATGGCACATCCATCGGTGATGCATGGCGTTTAACTACGATGCCTGCAGATGCCGCAACCCCTCTTTGGGAGACAATTGTTCCTTTCCACAAACTCTCTCAGTGGCTTTGTTACTCTCTTATGCAACCAATGACTAAGCTCATGAACATTCATTTTGCCGGAGCTGAATTATTGACTGGTTTACCCGAATATCGAAATGGAGGTCTATTCATTGACACTGGCGTATTGACGCTGAGAAGAGATGAAACCAAGAGAGGCCTCGAAGCATTCCACCGAAATGCAGAGAGAGAAGGCAAACCAAGTTTGGAAGTCGTTCCAATGTTCACACCAGATGATGATGTGATCGTTGAGTGGAGAGCTGTAACCGTTGGATTCCTAGATTTGTTATTGGAAGAGGTCAATACCAGTTTAGGACTTTTTGGTCAAGACAAATTATCTCTGCCACAGATGTTGGAGGCTGGCAGCTGGAAGGTATGTCACAACGATTTATCCATTCCGTATCATTGTACTAATAAATCAAATAGGGAGGCAGAGAAATGGCCGAAATCTCACGACCTAACACTCAATGTCCACCAATTGCCATCCTCAGTGATGGAACAGTCTTTTAATTCGCTTCGTACTCGCTTTGCCCTTTTTCGCATTCACTACTTTTTTCGAACCGCTGGCTAGGGTTTTACGACGAGATGAAAAATGACATATGCGAGTTGTTTACCTTTTATTCTCCTACATTCTGTCTGCTTTGCTTGCACTTGCGCGAACTGGAATTCAATGAAAGGATGTCAGAACCGCGCCTGGATACCCTTTTGTGACTGCGATGCGAGCGAGATTTCAACTTCGGTTTACTACTACTTGGCTTTTGGATTGAACGAAAGACATTTTTACATACAATACATTACAATACATAAAATTAAACGGCACATATTGGACGGGCAGGGCAACTGATGGAGGGATGAATGGATGAATGGATGGATAGGTGGCAAGGAAAATTCTAAATTCGCAGATTGTCATCATGGATGGCGGTGGTGGTGGTATTCTTTGTTTGTCTTCTGGATTATTGTGTTATTGAGATATAGGTTTGGTTGAGTGATTGGATTGGAGAAGTACATGTACTATTTGGAAGGAGATATTGGGAGGAATGGATGGATGGGTGTTTGGCCTGGATTAATCGTCACGGCGGTCAACCAGATATCTCGGGGATTAGCCCCAATCTTACATACAATTGGAAGAGAATAATTGAATATCTGTCAAATCACTTTTCTTCGCTGCTTACATTCATCGATGATCTCGACGTTTCAGATGCTGGTAAGAATTCCGGGCATAAGAAAATCTCCGTGGATTTCAAGATACTGGGAAGTTTCCCTGCATCCCGCGTTCCCGTTGTTACAGTGGTACCTGTTGCAATCCGGTCTAAGCTTGTCCATCACATCACATCATGTCTCCACTATCACATTGCTCAAATTACTGGCGGGTCAACTCTCTATCACTTATCACAAGCATTATAATTTGCAGTTGATGTATTAAGTAGTATATCCGTTCACTCGGATTCGGCTAATCTTTCTTGCCATGCACGAAGATGGAATAGCTTCATCTCAGTCCTAGTTGCAAGAACATTCCGCGGAGTATATGATTATCATACTATTCTGTGGTTCCTTCCTTCCTTCTGTAGATTAGACTAGTTGATATCTCATTATTCCTGTCTCTTGTTTATCATCCACTCCTACTCGCACTCTCACTGCCTAACTACACATTATTGTTATTTTGCTGTCTCTCTTGATAAGCGCTTTTTTTTTGGTACACAAAACTGCAAGTACGACCTATTCGGGAAATTGTTAATACATTTAATTACCGGGTCCGGAGAATTTACTCGGCTGATTAGAGAATCATACCACTTAAATTGGAGCGTTAGTAATCCTTCTTTTATTTGACTGAGACATTCTTGCGAGGTGTATACCGAGGTCTATACTAAAGTAGGAAATGTATTAATACATGTTTCCAGAAAAGTTTCTGTACTTTCTCTTGGGAAATGTTCATGGGCTTCAATACCTAGACTAGCATAGATCAACGGATGCGTGAAGGAAATGATGAAATGTGATAGGATCGGCCATGGATCTTCGGGTACGGAGATTTGGTGGGGACCACGGAGAAAGTTAACGTGCCATTCCACATTGGCGGGTACGACCGGTCTTGATTAGTGCTAGAACATATCAAATTCACACAGCATGGAAAAGGTATCTAGGAGATCGCCTAAGGGCTTGGGCGCTTGGATTCTTTGGTTTGGGAAGATTAGAAATTGAGCCCAAGACGCAACGTTACGGCATGCGATTTTGCCAAGACGCAAGAACCGTGGTCGTGGGATTTATGACAGCTCATGAAGATAAGATTTTTGGTCGTTGGTAGTGTATGATATGCGGTTTCCCACACGGCTGGATCGAATAAGCACGTGCGTCTGGGTGCGAAGGATTGGGCATGCTTATATCGTGCGCTTAAACGTGGTCTGGGGAAATGAGACCGTTGTGTCGGAGCTCGGATTGCAGCGCCATGTGAGACCCGAGTTCGTTTTGGGGGTATCGGGGGACTTGTGGAATTGTCTGTTGGGAGATGCTTCGAAGATGATTTTGGAGAACAAAAAGAAAAGGAGAGGGGTGTTTTTGGAAGAGAGTGGAAATTGGATGTTGATCGTCATCAAGCATCTTCTTCTTGGAATAAACGAGATTGGATGGCACACGTACTCAGGTCTAAAGCGGGGGTTGGGTGGAACGTGTCAAAAACGTGAGAAGAACGTGGGATGTGTATATGGGTACCTAGATGGGGTCGGACTGCAATATGCGAAGGATTGGACACCGAATGGTGCAAATAAGCTCCGTGTCAGTCGTTCGGAACATGTCTTAATACTTCCGTCCAAAGTCCATGACTTAACAATGGTGTTCAGAATGGCTCAATCAGGTGCGAGTTTTATTCACCGCTGTGCTACTTGCAATCGAAAGCAGTACAAGAGCGAGAAATCAGATCCATATCAGAGCCTCAAACGGACATGAATACATTGGGATGAATAACCTCTGGGATGAATGTGAGGTTTTATATCCCATCTGTCTCTATTCAAGCGAATGATGCTTACGAGTTGATTCATTCTGGCTGCTCGGTCGACAATACAAGCTTTTAGAACACAATTTGTGGGGTGAGAAAATTCGGTACGTATGCATTCATTCAATTGTTAAGCTAGTTCAATTGAGAGGTGCAGTCCTTCATGGACATTTACCGGAAAGGAGAACCCTCCCACGAGCTTGACTCTGCTATCTGGGAGTCATCAAGGAAATGAATGAACTGCTAGTATGATGGCTCTAGAAATAACGAGCGATGTTTCCGTACATCCAGTATCATCCATATCCACATACTTCCGGTCGCTTTATCTCACCGCAACGCCGACTAGGGATTTATAGTCTGATGTTGTTTACCAGATGATTAGTTTTGGAGATACCTAGGTAGGTATAGAAAGAAGAATCAAGGTATGGAACGTAGTCAAAATCATGATGATAATAATCATAATAATAATAATTCTGCTTTGTTTAGCTCCAGGTACTTTCCGACAAGTCATCGCGAGCCCTATCACAGTTCAAACGACCACTATGTGTATACGCAAGCCCGGCCACTCCTGCCCCCCACATAGCTCCGCATTCCCACATGACAATTGCCAAATCCCACAACTCCATAATCTTTTGACCATGAGGATAAGCTATTTCCGCCGCGAGGACAGCTCCAACATATTCATTCTCCAATGGAAGGTGATCTCCACCTTTGACGTATGCAAGAACAGGACTAACGAGGAGATCAATGACAGCCTGGGTTTCTGGCAAAGGACCTGAGGAAATAATAGATTGGAGCCGTGCCTCAGCATTGGCTAGGGCTCGTGGGCTGCGTTCTATTTCGATGCCAGAGGCTCGGAAATGCTCTAGTGATGGTCTTGCACCTGGAATTGTGGCGACAATAGACTTGTCGACATCAAGATCGGTCCGGCCAAGAAGGGTGATGGGTCTGTGGCGACAGTTGGCAAGTTGCCACCAGTGGGTGAACAAAAGGCAGAGAGCTGCGGGGTTATATGGATCATTATCGCGATACCAGATCATTGCACCCGTCAGACGCGAGTACACTTCGGCGAGTGGCTTCTCCTCCAATGATCCCCTTGTTAATGAAGGAATGATATTGCTAACTTCGCCGCATGCCACATCGGCTCCTAGATCAATCCAATCGTGTGCCACGCATCCTAGCCCTGCAATTGCCGCCATCTGTTCCCCGCCACCTGCATCGTAATATACATGACAGAAAACGGCATCTGCAAGCTTATAACGTGCTAATCGGGCTAAGTCACTCCACACGACAATACACGGGCGGGAGCGCCCTGGGTCATCATCTTCAATTATTGCTTTCTGGCGTAAACATGAATAATTGCACCCCTTGACAACCCGAATGTCTGTGATATGTGGACCTGCGGACACGGAGGTTTCGGCAACAGCTGCTACTTCAGCGAAGCTGAAAGCCAATTTATCCGCCATTTCCGGGCTATCTTTTCCAATGGAATAATCGAGAACGAAGGCTGAATCCATGATTGCCCATAATCCGGAGATGGATCCACCATAGACACCACGATTGTAACCAATCGCCATTGAAAAGACACTGGTGTTGAGTAGCGGCCCCTCGCACTCTTCACGTGTGAAAACATCGAGTGTAGCCCGATCATTTGAGAGCGCCACGCCACTCAACTTTGGAGGAAGAGGTTTACGCACTGAGCACCAACTGGGCATAAGTACCTCTTGCACCTCGGCAAATGGAAGACGCTGTGTTTTCCCTGTTTCTAGTAACTTGTTACGTGCGGTCAAGAGTTCTGCAGCGTCGGAAAGTAACCCCACTGCACAATCGACGGCATCTGCTACGCGTGTATTTCGCATCCAAGATATACCAGCAGCCGCGCTCAAAACTCCTCCGGTCAAAGGAGTATCGACTCGACGAGCCAAAGCGACAGTCGTGACCAAGGTCTTGCTTTCGGCTACGTATTTCTGAGAGAATTTACTCGACTCTGCGTCGACTGGCGAGATGCCGTGAGTCTTGAGCGACCAGCAAGGTGCTCCGAGTGGAGATTGCATGGTGGCTCCTTCTCCAATAACATGAATGCTCTCCCACGTCGATGATAGACAGACGGTGACAGCAGGATCTGCGGCCGAAGATTCACCGGTACGCTCAGCCCAATGAGATACCACAGGCAGACAATCAAAAGCAGGAGATCGACTCAAACCACCAGTAGTGACTAGCCCCGGGACGAGATCCGACAAAGGTTGTCCTGCATTCTGTTTGGCGCCAGGTTTTCCAATCTCCTTGGCACGAGAAAAAATCTCATCGAGTTTGGTCTGGCTCTTGCTGCTTCGTTTGTCCTGGTGAGGTGTCCTGTTGGATCCGGGTTCTAAAGGCGAAAATTCTGATGTGTTGGATATGAAATCCTTTACGTCTCGACAAGTCATTCGCTGTTTGAAAAATGCTTGGTAGGAGGCTCGGGGGTCTTCTAGCCCACCTTTAGCAACCGATTCAGGGAGATCCTTTGATCTGGCATTGTAAGGCATTTTGAATTGATCAAGGGATGTACTGGAAGTGATTGAATCGTTCTCTTCTGATTGATCTTTTTCTTCGTTCCAGACCTCAACTATTTATCTTTTTTTACTTTCTCTTTGACGCTTCAATAAAACTACCATTCCAGCACAAATCACAAGCATGACAAGTGATAGAATAATGTGCCGAGGTTTACTTACATTACTTACGTACAATTCAGCTTATAACTATTCAAGCCAAATTTAAATTTCTGCGGCAGAATACATGTCGGACACAGTTCTCTGTGGCAACATCATCTTCTAGCATAAAACTTAAGCATTGCAAGCGCTGGAGATACACGCTAAGCTTCACTGACTTTATCTACCTACAGTTCAGCTTGAAACTATTGATGTGAGGTCTAGATTTTCAAGGTAGAACATGTATATTAGGTGCGACTTGCAGTAGTCATGTAGCATTTACCCTTCACTAGTCATGAGAGATCCATGTAGAAACGGGTATGTACCTATGTATACATGGTTCTATGTGCAAGCCAATCAACAACATTCATCCAAAACCCCTGTATAGGAGGGGAAAACGGTCAGATTTGCAGCTGAAAATTTTTCTCGGCAGCGCTAGACACTTTTCTCCGAACTACCGCCTTTGATTTGTGCTTCAGCTGGAACTTTAAAGTTGACGGCTACTTGTGGTTCCTGATGCATGTGCTTGCCTTGGTAGTCGATCAATGGTGTCAATCTTGCATTGATCGTTCTGACTTATCCTGGTTATTCGTTGGAGCACCCCGGCAATGAAGAACTGTTGACAGGGGTCTCGGGGGAGGGGGAGTGTTTAGCCTATGTATGCGTGCCGCTGATGCTTGTTTCAATATCTGTATATATGTATGTATCTTATCGTGTGTCGTATCGTTGATCTCAAGGTCTGCAGATGTGATATATCAAGCCTGTGACCCTTCATTTACCTGGGCAGTAGCCTGTGGCGGGGTCATTCGGTGCTGAGAGATTGGAATGCGGGATTTGCAGGTCTAGATCTAGTTACCCTGCAGATAGATGATGAGGCATATTGTCAACGACTAAAATATTCAAACGGGATGATGGATAATGGGATATTCGTTCTCGGTATACGCTATTTGAGAATAACGAATAAATCGTATCAGGTGATGATCTTTCGAATGATGGAGGGTTTTTTGTGTATGCTTTTTGCTTCGCCTGGCTCGAATTAGGTGGCGGGTTGGAAGGTGCATTGGGATTTGGATTCCTTTACTGAAAGTTTTCGGTGCTGCTTTTTTAGATGTGTAGGTAACTTTGGAAGGGTGGAGAGCGTGTGAGCTTGACCCGGTGTTAAAGTTGCCTTTCATGATCGTCTCAAAGGTTTGGAAGGTCATTGTGCGATGATTGTGCGTTACTTTCCAATTATCATTCGTACTATATCCAATTAGCGTGATCTAGCAAAGATCAGGCAGGAATACATTTTCAAGTGTACAACACAATTTCTAGATGATTGTACGTTACCTTTCAATTATTATTCGTGCTATATCCAGCTAGCGTGATCTAGCAGAGATCAGGCGGGAACACATTTTCAGGTGTGCAATACAATTTCTAGATGATTGTGTATTACCTTTCAATTATTATTCGTACTATATCCAACTAGCGTGATCTAGCAGAGATCAGGCGGGAACAAAATTGTAATCTTACTATCAGTGTTCCTACTAGTATACGGTAGTATAACGATAGTATATATCAAGCTTTTAATATAGTAGTTCATATATATAAAAAAGAATGATATTATTTTAATAGATATTCAATATATAGAATATTATTGAAAATATACTGAAATATGGGAATTCGATTTGGAATATATATTCTTATACTAAAATAGATTGGAAATGAATATTTTTGATTCAAAATAGATTAGGAATGAATATTTTTGATTCAAAATGAATTAGAAATGGATATTCTCATATTTCTATATACTTTTAATAGTATTTAGTATTGAGGTAATATTGAATATTTTCAGTAATATATAAATCAATATTATTTGTGTAAATATTTTCAAAAAAATGAATATGTATTATTATACGGATCAGTATATGGAATACGAGCAATACTAGTAAGAACACTGCTTACTAAATTCTTGAATAACACAACGCCATCGCTCTCTAAATCCTTACAAATAAATACATAATACCTCTTCCCAATACATCTTCACACCCAGGGAAATCTAATACCCCAACATCTTAATTATCTCATCTTCTCTCTAGACTCTCCTCGTCTCTCATCTCATCTCAGCACCTACCTACCTACCTATTAACAACTACAAACTACAAACTACAAACTACAAACCCCCAAATTCTCATATCCTATCTCTTCTCTTCTCTTCTCTTCTCATCTCATCTCATATATCGAGAACTCTCAATCAATCATCGAAATAATTTACTAAAAAATGCCCGAAGCGCCATCTGTCTGAATAATCAAACTACCTACTACTGGTGTACCTTGCTTAACTACAATATTCTGATTTCATTGCTCTCAATACATTCCTCCATATTTTCATCTCTTTTCTCTCAATTTTCCCTGCATTACCTAGCACCATATAGTTTCTCATCAATATGTAAATCCATCTAGTCACCACTACCTGTTTCCTCTCATTTTCCATCTCCCCACTCAACATCCTCCTCCTCCTCCTTTTCCTCCTAGAAACTCCCCCACAGAAAAGACACTCGTATAATCAAGAGACAGACGTATCTCACATCTCACATCCCATATATTTCCCCTCGCTCCTTAAACCATCCAGATATCAGAATATCTATCCATCTCGAAGAAAGAGATACCAATCCATTCCCCCATTCCATAGGTATCTCCACAGCAAGATTCAATCAAAATCACAAAAACTATCACAATAAACAACAGTAAACAGTACCTAAACACCAAATCCATACAATCCATCCATCTAATAAATCCCATCTTCCAGCTTCCAAAATATGAAAGAAAAATAAAGAAATCTTATAAATACATACACTGGGCGTTAATAAATAAGTATACAATCTTAATCTTCCTTTACAAAAATAAATAAAGAATTCTTCAGCGCCGTTGTATACTACCTAGGCAGTTATATATGTATGTAAACGTAGAAGAGAGAGAGAAATTGTAGAAATATTTATGGATTCATGTATTCATGTAGCCTACTATTCTATTTATTTACTTTGTTGTACTCTCTCCTTTATTCATTTATTCATCCATCCGTTCTCTATATCCTCCAAGATCTAAAATCCCATTACTATTACCATTATCTCTTTCCTCTCCCCTTTCCTCTCCCCTTTCCTCTCCCCTTTCCTCTCCCCTTTCCTCTCCCCTTTCCTCTCCCCTTTCCTCTCCCCTTTCCTCTCCCCTTTCCTCTCCCCTTTCCTCTCCCTTTCCTCTCCCCTTTCCTCTCCTCTTTCCTCTACCACACATACACACATCCACATACACATACACATTCATCCCATTCATCCCATTATCCATTCATTCCATTCATCCCATTCATTCATCCCATTCATTCATCCCATTCATTCATCCCATTCATTCATCCCATTCATTCATCCCATTCATTCATCCCATTCATTCATCCCATTCATTCATCCTATCAACCCACTCAACATCCCCATCTCCATATCCCAATCTCCATATATCCATCTTTATATTTCAACATCCATATCTCCATCTCCATCTCAACGTCTCTCATTATCAACATCATATCTACCTCCATCTCCATCTTCATCTTTATATCCATATCTCTCATAATCAACATTATACCTACCTCCTATATCAAGATATCAAGATATCAAGATACCTAGGTACCTAGGTAGATATAGATAAATGCACAAATAAATCAATATTCATATCTATAACATACCTCATACACCTACTTATCTACCTACTTATCTACCTACCTACCTACCTACCTACCTATCTACCTACCTACCCACCTACCCACCTAGTTACCTATCTACCTACCTACCTACCTACCTATCCACCCACATACCCCAGATTCCGATCCAAGTATAACTACCTAGGTAACACATAAGATAAATATAAACATAAGCATAAATATGAGTATGAAATGAGCATGAAATGAGCATGAAATGAGCATGAAATGAGCATGAGATGAGTATGAATAAGTATATCCTTAATCTCGAATACCTACCTACCTATCTACCTAGATACTAAATCCCAAATATAAATTTCCTTTCTATATCATCCCATACATCCATGTATGTATGTATGTATGTATATATGTATGCATCCATTCATTCTCTTCTATCACCCATCCTTCCATCCATCCAACCATTCATTCTCTTCTATCATCCATCCATCCATCCATCCATTCATCCAACCATCCATCCATCCATCACTAGATAATCACCATCCTCGCACGTTAACCAAAAAAACACCCTCTCTCCAATTCAACCCCCAAACCCAAACCTCAAGCTCCAACGCCAACGCCACTCCAACTCCACCTGCAACTCCAACTCCACTCCAACTCCAACTCCCCATTCCAGGTTGCGATTTGTTGATAATCTATCATCTTATCTTAATGCATTAATTAAATTTCATTGCATCCAAACAACTCAATCAATCCGATCGAATAGCAATCGCACTTCCGAGTCAAAAAAAAACACCATGCCATCCAAGCAAACCATCCTTTTCCTACCAACCCCAAGAAATTCAACAAAGATATAAAAAATAAATAAACTTTTCATATCCATTCTGAAGATCGCCTAACCCAACCGACCCTTTTAAATACCCTTTATAGAACCAGATTAATTCAAGAAGATATGTGATCCTAAAGATTAAGAAGATCTTTGTTTCTTATTTGGTCTCTCTGATTCATTCAATTCATCATCGTCATCATCATCATCTGATTCAAAATCGGCATCTGATAGCGCATCTTGCTCTTGTGCTGCGGCTGTAATTATATGTTAATACATTTCTCATAATACAGAAGCAAATGATTGCTCATTGGGGAATTAAAGGGTAGACGAACTAAAATATTTGATAGCACCAGGCCACAAATCTTCCGTAATAGCAATAGCAAGATCATCACCATCTGGGAAGATTTCCAATTTCATTCCCAAATCATCATCATCATCTTCCTCAACCTCATCATTATCCGATTCAACCACCTTCTTTCCATTTTTTCTAGCTTCCCTCTTTGCTGAATCTCTCGCATTTGCTTCTTTACTTTCTTCCTCACTAACTTTTCGACCAATAAATCCAAACCATGCGAAGAAACTTAAACCTCCCATACTTGTATTGTTGATTTTCTTCTCGAGTGATTTGTGTTGCGGAGTCATTTTCGAATTTTCCTTTCGTTCTGCATCCCAAGCATCACAAACCATATCCAATAAACCTCCGGTTAAATCTTTTCCCTTTTTCCAATGAATCCTAACAGGTTCACTGACCAAACCACACCAACCTCCAAGACTCTTTCGATACCAGAACTTCTTGACCAATGTCTCATCTGTGAAGTATTCATTTGGAGAGAAAGTCCATGTAATTGATACAGATCTGGGATCTCCGCCCTTGGTGGACTGTGGATCTTCGAGTTCGAAATGCGATACATGCAGAGATGTAAGTGAGGAAAGTAGAAGAGCGGAATCGGAAGGTTGAATATATTGATCTATATCTGGAGGAGCTTGTTCGAGTACCAGGGCCCAGAAATTGGGAATCTGAGAGATAGTTTTGTTGCGACGGGTATACAGAGGTTGAGTGAGGGAAACTTGTTGTCGAACTGATGGAAAGTTAGTCAATTGATGTTTAACCACGTCAATCCATAGAAAGATTATTGGCAGATTCGATGAAGATACACAACAATCATAAAAAATGATTGTAATGTACACATGAACATCCATGGAGAGTCGTACAAAAAGATGGACCCGATTTGATCTTGATCTGATAAAGTCCAAAAGTCGTGGCGCACTCAACCCCTCCAAAGTAGGCACATCAAAGTACCTCCAACGTCATAAAAGAAGAGGAAAAAGAAAATTTAATAATACATACTGATTTCCGTTTCAACATCATCAAATTCCCTTTCGATTTCAGCCAAATCTTCGTAGGAGACGGGGGTATCTTCTAAAGCTGCTGCCATAGCTGCGGTTGTGAATGCGAAGGTTTGTCGCATAGCCAAGCTAGAATTTATACGCGTGAGTGGAGGATTTCGCGTATGCAGGGAAGGCGAGGGGTACCGGGAACGAAGTAAGGGCGGCCGGACTGTGGTGATCACTTTCGACTTTCGACTTTCGACTTTCGACTTTCGACTTTCGACTTTCGACTTTCGACTTTCGACTTTCGACTTTCGACTTTCGACTTTCGACTTTCGACTTTCGACTTTCGACTTTCTTGTGTACGGATGTTCTTTTGTTCATGAAATTCAAGAGAGAAATAGAAGAGAATAAATGTCACGATTGTGCTTATATTGGAATTGAAAAGAATTGAAGGCTTGGCAAAAGAAATCAAAATTGTATGTCACCCGGATTGATGGAGTGGTTGGATTTGGGTGCAAAGTCGGACTTTATCTCGGGACCGAGAGGGCTGGTGGAGTTTGAAGCTTTTAATATGGTTCTCGATGGAATTGGCAATGATGTGAGCTAGGAAGGTAAGAGGTAGGGTACGGTCCCTGGATGGTCTGGATGGTCTGGATGGTCTGGATGGTCTGGATGGTCTGGATGGGAAGAATTGAATGGGAGGAAGCAGAGTCGGAGTGGTGGTAGTAATAGAGAATGAAGATTCGACGGGATGCCGATGACATTTGATGACATTGTCGTCGTGAAGGGAAATGGACGATATTTATGAAGATGGAATGAATGTATATATATATACCTAGGTATATGTATATGAATGTAAAGAAAGAAAAGGAAAGTATATTTTGATATGTTTTTGCTTGGATGCTTGAATGCTTGAATGCTTGAATGCTTGAATGCTTGGATGCTTGGATGGGTTGGCATAATGAAGGAACATCATTCACCAGTCGTTGGTCAATCATCGTTTGTTCTCCCTGAAGGGATCCCGAGGTCATGTTTGATACAGGTGGTGATTAGTAATCTTGATGGTGTGTACGTAGTAGGGAGGATCACGCCTCAATATAAAAAAAAGTCTTGGTACGGATGGATAGAGCCTGTCGAGTGTGTCAAGACCATTCAAAGGAAAAGTTAATTCCTTCCCTTGTACGGAGTTGCATGAAAAGGGAAGAGGAAGGAAGGAAGAGAAGATTGATTGGGTACACGGTAACATCCAACATGCGATGGTGGTTGAATGTCATTTTCTTGGAATAACCTCAATATTGACGACGGGACATGGATACTTTTACTTCCGTGCATCACGAGATTTTGGGTGTGGTAGACTGGAAGGTAGGTGGGTGGGTAGGTATGGTATGACATACAATGGATCAATCAATCAATTACTACGAGTAGGTATTCATTCAATCATTCAATCATTCAACAAAATGATAAGATCTAACCTATCCTACCCTACATACTACCAACATTCACATAAATCCTGATTAATAAGGCCTTGATTAATAAGGCCTTGATTAATAAGGCCTTGAAGTCTGATAGTCTGAAGCCTTGAAGTGAAGTTTGCTTTTCCTTACAAAATTTCAACAATTTCCTCCCTCCATCCTCCATCCTCCATCCTCAACTCTCATTGGTCAATTACGTTATAGTTTTCCTTTCGTGAAAGATGATTGATCGAAAAAATATGGATGTGGATGTTTCTGAATAATTCATCATTCATTCATGTGAACACAATCAATTTTTTATCATCTTCACATTACCTTCATTTATTGAATCTAGACCACGACGACGACCATATCATCACTTCCCTCTTTCGTGTGGTATTGGATCTTCAGACGATATCATACCTTGACTTCACTTTGGTCAATCAATATCCCACCATATCCTTCTCGTGTTATCAAGGAAATTATAAATCTCCTACCCCTCGTTGCTCAAGCTGTATTTGAACCCCAAAGATTCCGAGCCCAAGTACAAGTCCTTACGAACCAGTCTCCTAGCGATCCATACATTTCTCCTCTCACTTCACTATTTCCTTAACCACGTACCATCATATCACCATGTCCACCATGGCGACACAATCTTACCCAGAGGGTAGAGTCCTCATCATTATGACAGGAGGTACCATTTGTATGAAATCTTCACCGGAAGGCTTGGTTCCAGCAAGAGGGTTCCTCAAAGAAGGAATGGCTACTCGACCGTCATTCAACGACGGCTCAAATCCAGGTAAGAGCCTTTTTTATGTTGTGAAATTTTGTTACACAATCACAATCACACGCGCGATGAACGTACACAATTCAGAATCAAAATCTCAAGTCTCTAGTTTGATGGAGGGGTATTTCGATTGTCACATGTGAATCGACATTGACGAGCATTTCATGGTCAAATCCAAGTTGGTACACTGAATTGCAATTGATTGTCAATCAGGACATTTGAACATTCAAATTTGAAAGACCATTGAATTGTGAACCATTCAGGTCTGAAGGATCACTTGGTTGTATGGACTTGGTCAATCATTGGAAATTGCTCTCAAAGTCTAGATTTGTTCGACTTTGGCTTTATTTCCATTCTGTCGTCCATTGTGTGATGGTATGGCTCTAGACTCTTCTGGTTTCTATACCAGTACCATATAATTTCATATCGTGGAGAGCTGGACAATCTTCAATGACGTCCAATGTCTTCAATTTTGAACACCATCAAGATATTTACGCCGATATGACGAAAGTTGTGTAAGGTCGCTAGGAAGTGTTCGCTGAGTGTGACATATTTCGAAGATCTCAAGGGACTTCTTGTACACATAATCGCGTCTCCAAGTTACACCGAATGGCTTTAGTGAGTCTCTCTAAATCATCTCATTTCGGAAGATGTCAGTGGTAGTCCTTCGGTGACATCTCAATCAACTCCCATTGAATGATCTATATTAAGAAATATCACATGCATCCCATCGTCGTTCACTGCATTGCATTATCTCCGCTTTGGATACGCATTGCTTTATTCCGACAACGATAATCCACCACATACGCAATATCTTTCGGAGAATTAATTAATGACTAACTTGTACTCAGATCCTATGCCAGTTATGACCACAAACACTACAGAAGAATATTTACCCAGTTTACGTACTCCTCCAAGCACGTATTCTCGACATGTTCGTTACACCTTGTACGAATTTCCCGTCTTACTAGATTCTTCATCAATATCTTCAAATGGTTGGACACAAATAGCGACCACCATTGAAAGAAATTATCATTTGTTTGATGGTTTCGTGGTTCTTCATGGTACAGATAGTTTGGCATACACGAGTTCAGCTTTATCTTTTATGCTGTCCCATCTTGGAAAACCTGTTATTCTCACGGGATCTCAAGCTTCAATCTTTGCTCTACAATCTGATGCCGTGGATAACCTCCTTGGATCATTAATCATAGCCGGAACCTTCATGATCCCGGAAGTATGTCTCTTCTTTCATCACAATTTATTCCGTGGAAATCGCACTACCAAAGTTTCGGCTACCTCCTTTGATGCGTTTGCTTCACCAAATTGTGAACCTTTAGCAAAGGTGACTGCTTTAGGAGCCACAGTCAATTGGAATCTCGTTCGTCGTCCACGATCGATTGCTAAATTCGGAGTACAATTAAATCTTGATACTTCCCACGTAGCATGCCTTCGTATCTTCCCTGGTATCAAACCAGAAATGATCGATGCCGTCCTTCGTATTCCAAACCTCCGTGGCCTGATTCTCGAAACTTTCGGGGCTGGTAACGCACCCAGTGGAGATGATGGAAGTATGATCAAAATCATGAAAGAAGCATGTGAGAGAGGTGTAATCATAGTCAACGTATCACAATGCCACTCGGGCTCCGTCTCCCCACTGTACGCACCAGCCACCATTTTAGGCAGAGCAGGTGTAGTTTTCGGTCACGACTTAACAACTGAAGCCGCCCTCACTAAACTTTCATTCCTCCTCGCTCTTCCTGATCTTTCATACGACGATGTTACCATGCAAATGCAATGTTCCATTCGTGGAGAAATGACCGAGGAAGGTAGCACAGCTTTTTCACATCCACCAACCGAAGTCGCAGTTACAGCTCAACAACACGCTTTCACGGGATTAGGATATGCAATTGAAAAAGGTGACACGAATGCCATCATCAATATCCTCGACCATGATCGAGCTGGTCTTCTTCAAACAACCGATTACGTTGGCAATACCGCTTTACATTTGGGGGCAGTAGGTCCTTCAGTAGACTTATTAAGAGAAGTAGGTAGTGCTTCTGCTTGAGATTTTTTCTCTTCCTTTTCCTGTAGATTTCCCAGGTTTCTAATTCTTCGAATTCCTGTCCGATAATGAAAAGTTTTGATTTTCTTTTCTTCGATGGAGCAGCCTATTGCATTGACGCACGCAATGACCTTTCACTCAAATCATTTGAAGTGTTCAAATCATTTGTGATTTTTGCATTATTTGTTGATGAAGTTTGAGTCACTTCGAAGATTCAGGAGTTTTCAAAAGCACATGTACATCATTTTTTAAGACTCCAAATATCTGGAATCTTTATGTATAAGTTATGAAATGTTTCCGATATTGCAATCATTGAATGAGACAGTTAAATCTCATCTCACAGCCTGAAAACCCTTCAAATATCATGTCATTCGGTCTGCTAGTCCAGACAAATACTCGCATATCGCAATTCTCTGCTCCTCTGAGTTTCCCTCAACTCCCCCCAACTTTCCTATGAACTTTCCTATGAACTTTCCTATGAACTTTCCTATGAACTTTCCTATGAACTTTCCTATGAACTTTCCTATGAACTTTCCTATGAACTTTCCTATGAACTTTCCTATGAACTTTCCTATGAACTTTCCTATGAACTTTCCTATGAACTTTCCTACAAACTCCCCAAATCCTCACTCCTCCCCTTATTCATCATTCCATCATCTCCCATCTCAAAACCTCCTCGCCTCCTCTTTCATCTCATCAAAACCTCACCCCCAGTCCCCTTGAACTTCTCCAAAACCTGACTAAACACTTACTAACCCCAACCCACAAATAGTTACTCAAGCGCGGCGCAAGCGTACACGCCCGTAATAAAGCGGGGAATACCCCGTTATTTTTGGCGAGAAAGGCGGGGGAGAAGCAAAAGGAACATGTGAAGGTTTTGGAGGAGGCGGGGGGTCATTTGTGGGTTGAGGAGAGGGAGGAGGTTGTAGGTTGAGGTTGAGGTTGAGGGTGAGAATGGGGAGGAGGGGTGAGGGGTGAGGGGGAGGTGGCTGATGGGATGAGTGATGATAGACACGATGAGAAACGTGATGATAGATAGGTATGATGAGAGATGAGACATGAAAGAACGAAAGAATCAGAAATTGATACTGAAAATAAATATTATTATATGCACTTCAAAATACAAACACCAGACCTAATTCACATCCAATAAAACAAGACGAAATAAAACAAGACGTATACATCTGAATATCCCTCCTCCCCTCCCCCAAAAAAGAACAAATAGGTCGCTTTTTTTTACTACTTATTATTTATTCCTATCCCTATCCCTATCCCTATCCCTATTCCTTATAACTCACTTATTTTATATCTTTCATTCCTGATTCACATCTACTCTTTTATTATCTCTCCTTGAAAATCAAATGTGTTGATAAGTATATGATTATAAGTATTCAAGTATAACATAATTCAAATTCTAGTATTCTTTTCTTTTCTTTTATTTGAAAAAGAGAGAGAGTGTGTGTGTGTGTATATATATATTGGTTAATGATTATTTATTTCTTGTTCCTTGTTTGTTATTTTCTGGATTCTGGATTCTGGATTCTGGATTCTGGATTTTGGATTCTGAATTCTGGATTTTGAATTCTGGATTCTATCATCTAACATCTGGAATATTCAATAATATATAAAGATAATAATATATATTAAATAAATATATATATAATAATAATCTGCTATATATTCTGGGTTTTGAAATTGGGTTTTGATATTGAAATTGTAGATAATCTATCTCGTTTAGTTTGTATCTCGTTTGCTTTTTGAAAGGGGACGGAAGAAGTATGTGTGTAAGGAGAGGAGGGGGAAGGGATGGGAAGGGAAGGGAAGGGATGGGAAGGGAAGGGGAGATGGAAGATGGAAGGGGATATTTGGATTTATATCTATTTATTTATGAATCTTGAGTGTGGGAGATGAGGAGATGAGGAGATGGGGAGATGATGCTTGTTTGGTATGTAGGGTATAGTGTATAGTGTATAGTGTATAGTGTATAGTGTATAGTTTTTTGGTTTTTGTATGGAGAGGAGAGGAGAGGAGAGGAGAGGAGAGGAGATGTGATGTGATGTGATGTGATTGGTGTAATGGAGGTTGGAGGTTGGAGGTTGGAGGTTGGAGGTTGGAGTTTGGAGTTTGGAGTTTGGAGTTTAAGGAGGTTTGTGAAAGGTTGTAGGGACGGTAGAGAACGAGAAAAGGAGTGAGAAGAGGAATGGAGTATAGAGAGGGGAGGAGAGTGTGTAGAGAAATGTTTAACTGGATGATTAATGTAATGGGTTTTGCGGTACTAGGTAGTCTTTCTGCTTTATTAGATGTATAGGTATGGAGTTTTATTGATTATAAGAGATTGTTGAGGATTGAGGATTGAGGATTGAGGATTGAGGATCAAGGACAGGATATCAAGGACAGGATATCAAGGACCAAATGTCAAAAATCTAAACCCCAAAATACTACTCCCAGGACTAAACCCAAAATCCGGAATACTCATACTAGTCTATAATCTCGCAAACAGTGCAGCAGTGACAATAATACGTTAAGTTGTTTTTATACTTTATACACTGTCACGGAAGTCACCGTATAGTGTAACCTTACATTACTAATCCTAGTACTCCACCAGGCTCCTTTGGAATACTCATTTCCATAATTATTAATACTATTTCATTCATTTCATTTGTATGCTCTATATACCTAATTAGGTGAGTACCTCGCTTGATCAGGGTATATAAAGAAGATGTGATCCTTATGATTATATTTCAAGTCAATTTAGTTTATAATTACTTTATATATCTACCTCCTGATCAAAGTGATCATTAGACCTAGCTATTACCTCCGTGATATACACGATATTTGATGTTTGATGTTTGAGTGAATATGGAAATGGAAACGGAAATGAAAGATTGAGATTATATGTCAGTCTTGGTAGGATGGGATATTGGGATATTGGGGTTCTGGAGAAGTAGGGAGGTGGGGGTTGTGGGTTTGTGGGTTCGTGTATGTATAGAAGAATAAAGAGAAGAAGTAGAAGAAAAGGGGATGAGTTGGATGATTGTACTATTTTGGTATAGGAAGCGGGGGAGGAGGGGGGGTGGAGTGTTGCCCTGAATTGAGTTAAAAGGTAAGTAATTCGTTGGGTTTCTGTAGGTTGCGTAGGATGGTGACTTAAAAGGTTGTTGATATGATTCAAGAGTACGATTTGCTTTCATTTATATGTGGTTGTTGGTGATGTTTCTTTCGCAAGTCATCACGAGATTCTATTTTTCTCGCTAGCTGAGTTTACTTGTCTTTCACGTGCTTGGTAGGAGGAGCATCATGTATACTGTCAAGGTATGGTGATTGTCCCCCAAAAGTCTCGTGCATTTTATCTGTTTAAAAGTAAGGTTGTCTATTTTACCGTGCAAAGATATTAATGCGATAGTGGTGATTGAAGTGCGTTAGAATAACTGACCACTTGTGGATTGAGTGGCTTTGGTAGCTTGCGAGAACATGATATGACCGTCTTCAAAGATACACCATTAGCATAGATACCGAGTGCACCCTGAGTATGCTGATAGTCTCTTGAATTGATAGGATTATACTAGAGTCTAATCTAGTCTGCAACGCGTCATTCTCATTCCGTCAAGCCGCTTGTGAGAATGTCGACGGTACGAGAACGGCGTCGAAAGTTTAAGTCGTGGTCAGTTATATCGGTCTTAGATCATACTTTAGTATAGCATCTGCGATTCCTATGCTGTTGACTTTGAATGGTAGGAGATAGTGCGTGATTCGAATGGATGTTGATGTATTCATGTAAATTGTGATCAGTGTCTTCAAAATCGGTATTTCTCTACTCGCTTCCTGGAGGAGAACTGAGGCATATAGCTTTGTTGATTAGTCATCTTAGAGATCACTTCAATGCACTAGGTACAGCTTGCTTTGCTAAGACATGCTTTATCACGATTCCACGCAAGAATCAGACACCCGCCCAGTGGGGTATGGGAAGGATCGTAGCGGAAGTGAATCTGCATTAAAGGCATTAAGAAACAAACAAAGCTTCGGCTATGCTTCTCGCGAGTTCCACTTTTCTTATTCTTAGAAGCAGCCGCTACTTGATGCAGGATCATTGAGAGATCAACCTGAGAGACTTTCTCTTTAATATTCATGTGTGTTGCTTGAAAATTGAGCCTCTGCAATAATCTACCCTATATAGCTTCACGGAGCGTGATCAAAACATGCATCGAAGGAACTGCTAGGTTTGCTATCGATATTTCTGATGGCATGTTATAGATATTGCAGATATCAAAGAAACAAGCCAAAAGATCGTAGATGAAGATTTCTATACGATGTTCTTAGAAAGGCAACGGTAGCACTTGTCACACCGCTGCGCATCGCGAATATATCGAGCCACAGCCTCGAAACTAACGAGGCAGTTTCGAATAGTCTGACGAATTGGCAAATCACTCGGAAGGTAGTCTTGGAACCACTCTGCAGGTCTCCGTGTGGTGTAACCACACCGAATAAGTCCCCATAAGATCTGGGCAACAACTGATCAAGGATTATCAACTTCCTGTGGGCTGATTCGATTTTTCAAGTGCCTGGCTTTGCGTTGGAAGATAAAATGCCTATCTAATTCGATTGCCTGCGTATTCAAGCCTTCCACCATCAAACAGATTTTTAATCAACGAGGTATGCGGTCCTTTCTAACTTTTGGATGATCATTATTAACTGGCTTGTAACCTTCCGCATACAAAAATTTGCTGCTACGCCCGCAAACAAAACTTGGTAGAAGTATCTTCTTTCGTGTCCCGTTTGTGGAGGAGGTCAAAGAAATATTTACTCTCGGAATGGCCAACCAGACTTTATGAGATTTCGTAAAGCCTTTTGTCTTAACAATTGGAAAGCATCAAGAACCTGCAGGTCTGTATAGTAATTGGTAAAGTTTGTGAACATAGAATATAAATGTGTATGATAATGTTAGAGGTAAAGGTGGGAGGACATCGGTAATGTGACCGCTGATTAGTATTTCATCGCCGAATGAGGTTAGCATCAGGTGGAAATAGTGGGAGCACGATGAGTATACACCTGTTAGTCCTAGAGCATCTCTGGTAAAACGCTTGAAATCTTTGACACAAGAAGAACTCCATCTTATTTATACACGCAGGAATTTGACATAATGTCTACCTCTCGCAACTATTAGTTTTTTTGTGAGCCAGATGAAATTTGAACAGGATTCTTCCATGCCATATATCCAACATAAGCCTGGAAGCCACCCAAAGCCAGGCTCAACAACCCTAGAAAAATTGCAAGTACAACGCCAGATAGAGTCACCATCATCATGAACCTAGCGCTGCTCTTCCTTTCGAACCATCTCTCGAATCCTCTGGGAGTTGGGTTCAAGAGCTCGTTGTACAGATCTGCCAGTCGCTTGCCAAAATATTGATATTGAGCGATCTCGTTGGGTTTGCGAACCGAAACTCCATCATATCGTAATATATCACCGTCAAAGTTATATGTTGAGGTGAGAGATATTAAAAGCTCCCGAGACTTGGTTTCTGCAAGAGGAAAGAGCACTTCCTGTATGGAGTCTAACACGTCGATCACGAGTGGACGAGGCAGTGCACCGCTGAAATTTATGATTGTCAGTATCGTGGTCTGCCTATTCATTCTCATCTGGAAATACAATACACAATTCTCTTTTTTCCTTTCAATAAAATACCTCGAATACTCACATTTTTATCAGATCAGAAATGGATAAGTTTTGGGGCTGTTCTTTTGTAAGTCTTAATTGCTCCTTCAGGAAAGCAGTGTGATGAAAGATTTCGACAGTTCCAGCGTTCCGATCGAGTCTTAAATGGTTTCTTAGATCATCAGTCGGTCGGAAATTAAGCCGGGCATGCTTCTTCAGTTTTGTAGCCTGTAGATTTTTCTTGATCTCATCTATACTGGGGTGGACGACTTTTGGAAATGCATCGTTAAGGAACTGGGAAAACGTATCATTCTTATCCCAGCGGGCTTGTTGGTTTCCATATTCCAACAGAACGGAGGATTGACGAGATGCAGAGCAACTGATCATCATGACCACCCGAACGGCTAGGTTAAGAGCTCGCTCCTGATCAACCCGCGTAGGACGATCAGTAAAAAGTTTCTCCAATAAGTCTGCTTTGGGGAGTTCAGGATTGGATTTCAATTCCCTCATGATCTTAAATAGTTCTTCATACGATACTAGAGCTGGAGTCTGGTTGGAGGCTATGTTGGACGTATAATTGCATGTGGAGATCTTGAAGAATTCGAAATATGGGCCTAGGACTATTGATCTGGACCACAAGCAATCGGCGCTATTGCAAGGCTTCCCGGCTAGACAGTCTGTACATATATACCATGACCACAAAACTTCAGTGAGTTTCTGTAGATGCGCAGTAGTGACTTTTCCGAGAGGAAATCTCGATGTCATGGTAATCTGAGCCTGGAAAGTCGGACTGTATATTGATTAAATCGTTTCCCTATATTAAAGAAGTTGTGTTGCCAGTGCATACTTCCCAAGAGAATCGACGAGGTTTTTAGTGTGGGTTTTGATGGGAAGGCTGCGTGATCTCATGACTTGAGATCGCAAGCAGTGAAACCTAACATGCACGTCTTAGAGTGAGAATTTTCTAGAAGTCGGATTTATAAGTTATTTGTGGTGTGACAAACGTGCTGGAAACTTCCCAAGTAAACAGATTATTCTAACACTCAACATCCAGTCGATTTCATCTACAACATCAGCCACTTGTACCACATTTCAGCAGCCTTCATATATATCTACCCAAGTCTTCTCCACGATTCGGGTTTACTATCTCTATTGGTCTGAAACAAGCCTATCATTGATTTTATGTTCTGTGGACATTTGCTGAGAAGGTAAATTTTCCCTCGGCAATCAACGATGGGCAGTAAACAGTCTACTGCTCGCAAGGTTCCAAGCGCCATAAATGTGATCAGTTCAACACTATCACCAGCTGCAATCAACAAGCCAAAGACTGTGGTATCTGGAGGGCTTGATTCCGGGTATGCATCCCAGAGTACCAGTCCAGATATTCTGACATCACTCGCTGATTATTCCATCGCAAGCGGAGAGATCTCATGCCCTCATTTTTCGGGAAAATCAAAACAACTAAGGACTTACAAGAAGCAAATCCCTCAATTGACTCTGGAAAGGTTCTCAGATCTACGAGAGCAATATGCTGAGACTCTTAACGAGTTTACCCGAGGCTTGCCAGGTTGTTCCTCGGTCTTGATGTCATTGAAGGTCTTAGGTGAAGACGAGCAAAGTGCAGAGCCTTGGATATTTATTCAATGCGACAAAGCCATATCAAAGAAAGTAAAAGATTTCTTCAAGCAGCCCATAATCAAGATTGACTTTGAACCGCTTCAACCAGACGACCGCTCTCCCCGTCTACGAGTTCTTGTTTGCCCACTCCGCCCCAGGCCGCTAGCAAAATATCTCCGATCTTTTGCCAAATATTTAGATCCTCGGAGGCACGATGCTCAGCGAAACGATCATCAGCAACATGGTCCTCTTACAAATCGGATTTCAACCCCAATTTACAGCAGAATTGATGCAAGATTCTGCGGTAGAACTATATGCGGAATGCAAGTAATGAATGGAAGTTCTCATGAAGTACAACAGGCAACAATCAGGGGAAATATTCAGGTTGTTGATAAGAACGGAAAAAGCAAGCTCTATGGTATGACTGCAGGTCACTTTCTTTTTCCAGAATTGTATGGCAATGATGAACAAGGGACTGCAGATGATCTCAGCGACGAATCCACCGAAGAAGACTTCCAACTTGAATTGGGCTCGATAAACGACAGCCTTGGAGGAAAGACACAGCCTCTCGGGAAGGGTGCAAGAAGTGCGAGGCGCGGAAGTATATGCAAAAGCCGTATCATTGGAAACCTATCAGATCCATCCCATACTTCTTTCGGAAATGAACGAAATCTTGACTGGGCGTTGATCTCGTTTTCTCAGCCTTATTATGATCGCTTACCAAATTTATATCAAAAGAAGGAGCTATGTCAACACAAATACCTAGCGGGGATAGGGGGCGATACCTTCAGCCGTCCTGAAATTACCGTCGCCCTGCTGACAGCTCATGGGCCACAGTCGGGGCTTATGTCTAGTTCATTTTCATACATCATGCAGCCACCTGGTAAGGTTTTGATTAGAACATACCTCTTATCGTTTCCAGATTGTGAACACGGTACGCTTTACTCCTCAAAATTATCTCACAGTATCATGCTAACTAATTGCAGCTCTTCACCCTGGTGATAGTGGAGCTTGGGTGATTAACCTAACGAGTCTTGAAGTTTATGGTCATATTATTGCTTCTGATGTTTTTGGGCGCGGATATGTCGTGCCAATTGGCGACTTGCTTGATGATATAAAAACCCACCTTTCAGCCGATTCGGTAAGCCTTTATCAGCCGGAAAAGCGATATGAGCAAGATTACAAACCTTCTCCAAGCAGAAGGGCGTCAGTGCCACACGTGGAAACACGCTCTAACCTACGAAAGAGGATAAAAGCGAACCTTGGAAGGCTAGGGCCGAAAAGTCATCAATGGTGGGCCAGGGAGGGGGTTGTTAGGACTGAATCGAATATTTCGAATATTTGATCGCCTATACTAGAACGTGGCTTGGGGAGAGGCGGGGATTATAAGGGCAGTTTTGAATATCTAAAAGCTTGGTATAATTCATTAAATCGTCGATGTACTAATACACATAAAAAACTCTTTGACCAAGATCCAAAATCAAAGATGCCCGCCAACAACATCCGACTCGCTAGCTCCAAATCCCGTCCATCCATTAAAATCATCAGCGAAGGTAACAGCCATGGACAGGTATCTCTCATGTACATCTCCCCAAGTAAAAGCTGCTTCCTTCATGGCCCGTATTGCTTTCACATAATGTGGATCCGTTGACCATACACCATTGATAGCTTTATCTTCTACATATTTCCATCCCTTTGCTGGTTTTTGCTCAATATCTTCGTTTATTTCCGGTCTCATCTGCGAACAGTAGACGGCAATTGTTAATAGCCACCATTGACGTATCAAACTTATTTGGAATTTTGCTGGAACGAAGGGTAACAGGATTCGAACTGCATGGCTTGTAGTGAGGATATGTACCATGAAGAAGTCGTATGCGTGAGTGCCAGGCTTAACAGTTTGTACCAACAGATTCACGGCCGCTTCTTGGGAATCTTGGAATTGTTTATCAGGATCGGTAATACTCCAGGCGTTCCAATGCTCGAGTATAAACTCCTCATGTTCATCGAATAGTTTGGTTATATTTGAAGGAGAAGGTTCATCCAAGACACCGTCTAATCGCGAATCTGTATGTATTTTGTGAAGAATTTCTAGGGGCGAGGTTGTGCTATAGGTAGATGCTTTGGTATAAGATGGATCATCAAGATATTTGTGCATAAAATCGTAGCAGCTCGACGCTAGGGAAAGGGCTTCGATGGCCAATTCGCGACTATTCAATTCGACTGCGTAACCGAGATGAATAAGGGGGTGACCGACTAAAACATTGATTAGTACAAATACGGTACAACAGAAAATATACATACGTCCTGAAGTCAGACCATTGACGAGAGGAGCTTTCCCGCTGTAGAGGTATTCCTCTACCAAAACCTTCCAATCATAACTGTATTTTAAAGCCAATTCATCCTCAAAGAAATCAACGTACGCCCTCTGGTATACCTTCTCTCCTAAGAATTCCCTCCAATCCGCATCCGTGATTTCCCCAGGAGAATCCTGCCATTCTTCAAGATGTTTTGATTCTTCTGCGAAAACTTTTTGTAATTGATCGTAATCTGCCCCTAGAAGATACGCGGATCCTAGATGATGTGGTAAATGGTTGTGAAATCGATTGTGGTTGTAAAGAATTGAATGATTAATATGGTTCGATTTCAAGAGATGTTTCAACGTCCTTGGTCGTTTCTCTGGAGCGGTTTCAATGTCGTGAATTTCAACTGGCTGGATACTTATTGGCTGTGTTGATGACCCGACAGTAGTGTTTGCAACATATTTATAGATTCTGTTCACAATAGGAACCCAATTTATCATAGGAGCCGACATGATTGTTGTGGTGTTGAACTTTGAAGGTCCTGGGATACAAGTCAAAGTGTGGGGAAGCTTGAGCTGAAATATGGCAGAATGATCTAATTGGTGGCTGAGTAAAAGCGGTGACACGAGCTTTGTTGAGTGTGGCGCATTGCGGCATCCATGTAAGAGCGGAGCGGACAACGGCATCGGAACATCATCCGCGCCGAGTGATGAACCAACTTTATATATTTTATAGAACGCGACGCGACAAACTCAACACAATTTCAATCATGCCAGTCAATCCCATGAAGAAGACAACTTCTATCAAGCAATGCCTCCAATCAAGCCCTTGATCTATGCGGAACTTCTGTCAAATATTCGACAGGTATCTATCCTGGCGTTCTTGGACACACCATCTGATTCTTCTACAAAGGCTGAATTATTGGCCGACGGAACCATATTGAAATTGAACCATGCCGAACAGGATATTCGACTAACGCTTCCCAGTCAAGTGGTATCAAATTCACCACTACGAGAATTTCCTCTTGGTAGCATTGAATTATCATGGCGTCTTCCTTTGGCAGGAGACTTTCAAAGAGCTGATGTAGACATTTCACAAACCATTGAAGCACCATGGTCCGCAAAAGATATGGTTATTGGTAAACAAGAATTTGAATGCCGCAGGTGCTCTACAACTATCGTGGAACTAAATCGTATCAAAGAATGGAGGGATCTTCCAAGTGAAGGTTGGGCAGAAATGATGGATTTCTGGCATTGTCACAAGCCATCGGACCATGCTGACCACAGTCATGAAAACGAGAATTTGGCTTCAACAAAAGGTTATGGAGCAAACACGAAGTTCAATGCACAGCCAGGAATCGGTTTCATTGATCATTCAACCTTTCTCTTGGCGGAAACCGATTGTGAGCTTTCTCCAGATTGTAACGAGGTAAATTATAATTCTTTCTCTATCTTCATTTATAGTCCTAGTATATGTGGGTACCAAGAAGGAGACCAGGCGCTTCTCCATAGGCTGGTCACCGATACAAATACCCAATATTAAGTACTTGCTGTTGCTGTTGCTCTGCTCCGGCAGCAGTCAATGTTAATTACCCTCTTCTTCAGATTATGGGTTTCTAACTTGATTGAAGGTCTTCGAACCTTGGCATCCTCTATCACCGTATCTTCTTTGAGATTCTAGAAGTCATGGGTTCAGCACAAGTGACATTTATCTAGCGTATTCTGCATCAAGCAATGTTCAATTAGCTTATTCATTTCTAACTTCGGTTTCACACGCAGATGAAGCTTCCTATAAGATGTGAATTGTGTACCGCTACGATTGGGATTAGTGATCCTCAAAACGAAGGAATCCGACTTTTCAAATGGAGTTTGCGCATGGGAACTTGGGAGGACTCTCCATTATCCAATCTTTCGGATAAGCGTCTTGAGCCATCGATGGCCAGAATTCTTTCGGCACAATTATTGGGAATAATGAATTCATCTTGTGTTTCCCGTGTGAACATATTGCCTTTGAAAATTCCAACCGATGCTGGATTTATGAGGTGGGGATGCCTTAGTATTTGGATCTTCAATCCCTCGATCAGATATACTACTTCATACTTCTACCATCGTAGGCGGATGAGTATCTCGGACACGCCTGGTAGACCTGGAATACTGGCCATGAAAATCCTTTCGAAGCCCTTTTCTTGGGGCAAGTATCCATCGACAAATGATGAGTCCGTGGAGGAGCTAGAGTTGCCAGGAGAAGTGATACATGATCTTAAACATTACCTAGAAGTCAGTACAATGCGGTATCTCCCACCAAGTGCGAGGAAATTTCAGGAGTGGAATGTATCATTTTTGGATAGGCACGAAGCAACGACCTGAAAAGACAGAAGACTGGTATTCCTATGTATTCCAGTGCTGGAGATTATAGTTTCAAGCTATAGCTTTGTTCTGCTGGTGGAATCGGATACCACTTGTTGAAAATAAACTCGGGATCATACTTCCTCTTAATCTCTCTCAATCTCGCATAGTTCTGACCAAACATATCCTGAGTCTTTTCCGTTCCACTTCCCAAATTAGCATTCGTGAACTTTCCAGACCCTTGATTTTTAACTGCTTCCTTGACTGGCCCAATCATCCTCTTAATTTCTTCTCTCATGACCGTATGCGAAACCTGAGAGCTGTCATACTGTGCCTCCATAGTAACAGAAACCGTCTTTTCTCTCGCCGCCAATGCAGTTGCCGATGCGGGGATTGCACCAGAAACCTTGTAAGAACGCATCTCGATTATGATTCGTGAAGGTGCCAGTGCATCTCCGTGCTTGTTGTGAAAATCGTCGAATTCTTGTATTAATTTCTCCATGATTTCGACATTGAATGGATGGGGCATGAAAACGCTCGTACTTGAGAAGTTCTGATGGTTTGGCGGTTCATCTACGAGTCCTGATGGCTTGGTCGTGTTGGCAAATGGCTTCATTGATACTGCCGACATTACAGGCTGCAAATCCCACAACGGAGCGGTAAGCTTTCGTGCTTCTTCCTCGGGTCCATCATAGGATATGATACAGATGGGGTGAATGCCAGACATTGGCACAGTTGGGATCTTTGTTATCGCCAAAAAAATGCGTAACTTCCCGTCAGTTTGCTCTGTTACCTCTTGCATGGTGTCGACTAATTCCAGAAGTGCTTTCGTCTTCTCCGGCCCATATACTAAAGGACCACTAGGGAGTTTGTTAGCTTTTTCACTTATCTCACCTGCCAATTCCTCATGCACGTAGTCAAACTTACTGGCATACATCCACTTGCTTATGCACTCGATACGTAAATTCAACCACAATACCAAAGTTTGGTCCTCCTCCTCTGATACCCCAGAATAGATCTGAATTTTCATCTTTGGAACAATTTAAAACGATCCCGTTGGCAATTACAACACGGGCCGAGAGTAGATTATCAATCACGAGTCCGTATCGGCCAGTCAGAGGGCCTGAACCACCGCCTAGAGTTAGACCTGCGATTCCTATTCTGAGAGTTAGGTATGATAGGAAATAGAGGGTAGATGATGGGGGCTGGGAAAGGAAAGAAGGAAGAGAGGGGGGGGGTATACCTGTATCACTAGCTAGGCCCATGACCACTGATAATCCTTCCGCTGTACGATATTAGTCAATGGCCAGTAGTATTGATCTCCTTCGATGTATAGGTAATGACCATGTTCTATTCGAATGATTGCCCACCAATCTCCCAATCAAACTCAAACAATCAATCATTACTATTCCAATCCAACCTGTACAATCCACAGGGACTCAAGAATGGAAATCGAATAATACAGCACCACTTTACGTACCTTGAAGCGGAGTTTCCAAATCCGCAGCTCTACAACCGCCTTGTGCTGTAATTTTAAGGTTCTCCTTATCGATGCTTACTTTTCTCATTTTTCCAAGATCTAGAGCGAGAGGTTAGCAAAACTCTTATCCCTTTGTGTTTCTTTCATCCGGAAATGTGAAAAAGAAGCGATCGCTGGGGAACGGAACTAGGACATACCAATGATTACGCCATCACAGGAACTAGCGCCATAATAACTGTGTCTTCCTCCGGCGACGGTAAAATCGAGATTGTGTTTCTGGATGTAGGAAAGAGAGGCGATGATGTCGTTTTTGGAGTGGCAGAAGATTATAAGGGACTAAATGGTGAGGAGAGTTAATTTGGAGGGAATAGGGGACATAGAGATAGGAAGGATAAGTGATGATTTTATGTTGAATTCGTTTTGAATAGTATAAGGGACTCTTGGGGTTGGATTGAAGGATACAGTCTCGGTTTATCAAATGAATTGTGAGATTGAAACTTCATTCTCCATTATCAATTCAGGCACACAGCCAAAAATAATGACCAAAGTTCAATATTCCCAAAATTATTACTATGCACATTTGATTGCCGCATTTTTTCCCTCCTACTCTTTTTCACAAGCTCTTCGGAGATAAAATGTAAAGAAGCCCAATACAACTCACAGATTCCTTGATAAACGCTTTATTATATCTGTCAATCGCATTCTTGTAGTCCTCGGTCAGTTCATCATTCTCGGGCTTGAAAATAATTTCCCCTTGCAAAGATGTTTGTAGTGCTTTAATTGATGGGTGGGTAGGATGAGTCGGGGCAAGAGAATGAGATTCGGATGTCGAATCCTCAGTCGATGGAGACATTTTGAGATGGTTTATGAGCAGAACGAGATGTCTGAATGAGAGATGAGATGGTGAAAAGTACACTATGGGATATCTGGGAGAATTTATATAAGCCATGATGAAAACCGTGTAGATGCATATCTAACAATAAGCGAATGTTGGCAATCCACTATATCACGCATTTAACATCACTCCAACAGTTACACCCCAACAATTAAGTTTCGTTAGTGACTTCGTGTGCCGCGAGTTTGTGGCGTAGCTAATTGTTACAACACAAGATACAGCGGGCTAGTAGCCAACTGCATTTGTTGGTGAGTAGTGAGGTGAGATTTCTTGATAAGGGGAATTCGGAGGGAGGTCTCACTCCGGAATTTCGAGATATGCAAGATAAAGCAAGTGTGTGTGAATTAAGTCTAGTTTAGTCTATCACGATTTGTAGGGAATTGTTGGATGATGGATTCTGAATATGCCCTGAAGTTGACTTCAGCAAAGTCTTTTGAAGTACTCGAATTAGCTGATGAATGGATTTGAAATAGGGAATTTTGGTGGCTGATTATTGAAATTTGAGTGGAATTCGCACAATTTACAAACTTACCATGCATCACCAATGCCAGCTGTTCAAATTGAACTGTCACAGAATCAGATCAAGAGTTCAACGTTCACGAAGCTCAAGAGTCGACAAACAAGATATTCGCTTCAAAGGCGTGTATTGAGTCTCTCCACGCAGGGATATTTCTGATCACTTAGCTCCTCATTTGAGGGTACCCAGCTAGCACCAACGGGGAGGTGTGATCAAGGCTAGCCACCCTATAGACGAATTAGCAGTTAGCGGGAGAGGTCATACTTATCTAAAATAATGCTGTGGTGGCCTTCGGTCAACGAAGGCGAGGGAGGGTGTTCGAAAGAGGTGTATCGCTGAGGGTATGTCGCTGGTGGACAAATGTCCAAAGAAAAAAAGGAAATCGCTGGTGGACCAAAGGCCCATACAAAAGAAAAAGAGGAAAAAAGAGGAAATAAGAAAGAGTCACTGATGGGACTCGGGATCCAGGAAAAAAAAAGGTCCTGAAGTGAGAAGGGAAAGAAGAATGGCTAGAAAGGTAAGCAAAAGGCGCAAAATGTTTTTGGATTTTTGGATTTTTATATTTTTTTTGGATTTTTAATCGCAAGATTACCCAGCAGACCAGTCCGGCGTTAACAGGAATGTTCATCCGAAGGTTACGAATAGCCAATGGCCTCGTAGGTCCTTGGATGTCCCCTAGCAGGATCCCGAGACTGGTGGCCCGAGGTAAAGGCTCCCCTTCCCGTAGTCCCTGGTCCCTCCTTAGTCAGGTACCCGGCCAAGGGTCCTGAGGCTGGCACCAGGTGTTCCAGTAGGAGGATACCGCGAAATTTTATGGAAAGCAAAGAACGCCAGAACTCCAGGAAAAGAGAATACAACCACTCAAAGTAGCTATCGACCTGGTAGATCCAAGTGAATCACTCAAGGTATCGATGGACTTGGTATGTTGTATATGGATCTAGAGAATGTCTCAGAGATTGAGATCGCCTAGCCTAGCGCTCTCATCCTCCGAGTCATCCTCTAAATCCCAGGTAGGTGGATTGATGAGGCCTCCGTGTAGAATGTAAGGGAACTTGTATTTGGGATTGCTGCGGTAGATTAGCTCCCTCTGGGAGAGAGCCAATCCATAAAAGGGCTCGGGTTTCCTAAAAGAAAGGGGCGATGGGTGTTCGGGGCAGGGCAGGGGCGGGTCTCGGTATTCCCATCCCGGATATCCTGGAATGGTCTGGTGGTTTCCTGTGTTGCACCAGGGTCTCTTGCAAATGGAACAGGTCCATTCGCCTACCATCTCTATTCCAGGAGTCTGGTTGGGTTGATGCAGGATAGCATCATCGTAAGGGATCCAGGAGTCAGCTGGTTCCTCTGGGTCGAATGGACGGTATTGGTGGAAGTTTTTCCCGTAGTATTCCCTGAAGTGTACCTTCTTTTGTGCTTTTACCTTCTTGAACTTGAATGAGAGTGGGGCGGAAGGGCAAACCTTCCAATTTTCCAGTGTCCTTGGAAATCCGTGGATTTGCATGCGGTCAACGACAGTGGAGGGCCTAAGGCCGGGCCGGAGGATTCCGGTGAGAATGTGTCCGATATTTGTAGGTACCGGGGCCTGTTTGGCAAAGTCCAAGGTGAAAGAAGGATCCTCGGCTGAATAGTCAATTGAAAAAGGTGGTGAGAGGCTATACTCACCAGAAGGAACGGCATTGCTGGAGGTGGGCGCAGCGGTGGTTGAGGTTTCGACTTGTGGGGTGGCGAGTCCGACAAGTGCGAGGGTGGACTTAAATGCATTCAAGAAGAAAGACATAATAAGCTGAAGAAGAAAGGAAAAGAAAAAGAGAAGGGTTGAGAGGGAAATGCGTGGAATATGTAGGCAATGGAACGGGTAGCTTGAAAGACGTCATCACTTCACACAAGTTCGCTAGCACTCGCGACTAATTGCAATTTCGTAACACTTAGATTTACAGACGGAAATCTTATTGTTGATCCCTCATCCACCTAATATCATTGCGTATAATCAAACGACGATCAAACAATAGAAGGCCCTAGATACTCTGATCTACTTTGAATGCTAAATTTATTTGAAGTGCCAAACCACTTCGAGACTTTGGATCAATTTGAAACCCTTTAACTTTTACAGACAATGGATACTTATGATTTAATGGACTTAATTTAGACATTGAAGTATTGTGAAATGTTGGAAGGTTGCACCGATTTGAATTACTCAACACGTCTCAGATATTAACATGATGTTAGACAATAGGTTTAATTAAGATGTTGACTTCGTACAAGAAATTCACTCAGTCTGAAAGATTGAGCTCATTTGGAATATCCATCTCAATTCGGAGTTCAAAATTATTTGAAATACTGAGATTGTGTGAAAGACTCAATTTCCGTGAAGCTTTGAGCTCATCTAAGATACTTATTATTGAGCTAGCTTAAGATGTTGAGTCAATGGAAACCAAAATGACATTAGTGGGTGATTTCTGTCTATGAGGTATTGAATTGAAGCTCATGTACTTCAGTAAAGCGTTGAAGAGATCTGAAGAACTCGCAGTATTCCTACGATTGAAGGCCTTAAATTAGAATGTGCTTGACAGAGAACTAGAGCAGCGCTACAAGTACCAATTGGACCTATTAATTACTTAATGTGTATAGGTGTAGACACTAGCTTTATGCATGAGTATCTGACACTAGGTACCCTATGCGATAACCGTCACTAGCAACCTAGATAATGAAAAGGCAGTTTTAGGTAATTACCACTAATTTAGCGAGACAATGACAATGTGATATTGTTGACGATCGAAGAATAACGTCACTACTTTTCCTTCACTGACATCCAAGACTTTAATTCCGCTAAACAAATCACTAGTTCAACTGGCAGATAATGATGTCATGTACTACACTAGCGATTTTAGTGAAAGCCTTGAATACTCAAATTTCAGTTTTCGGAAAGCCATTGCATGGCAGTGGTTTTGGAATAATGAGAGTCAAGTATAGACTTAAGGATTCTATTCACTCGTGATTGACAAAGGCATATTACGAGAGTTCCTTACAAAAATAAATAAACTTATAGCTTTTTACAATTAAGGTAGAAGCTAGTAGCTGCTAAGTGCGAATGGTGTATTGACGAGTCGACAATCGTCAATCGGTACCTACAGATTGGGCGGGTGATCAGCGATAGCCTAAAGATTTGTTAGGATATACCTGGTTGTTGAAAGCTCGTAAATATGCAACAAAACTGTACGAAAGTTTGATTGGAGGGGTAGTTAAGCGAAAATCAAAAAGACGTATGAAAAGAAAAGGGATGAGAAACCAAGCGATAATTGACGGATTCACTCTAGTATTGGAACCATTTTATAGACATAACCTAGCGTATGAGGCTCCTAGACATTTGACACCTGGGCTGAGCTATGTAAATTTTGGGTTAGCGATGTGCAACAAAACGATCTCATACTGCATGATTGAAGTATTTCAGTCTGGAATCGTTCCATACTAGATTCAAATTGGTAGCCAGACTCTGCCGGGCAAATTCTACCCGAACATTATTCGGACACTTATTAGGATATACCCTGTTAAATACAATCTCAGATGTGCAACAAAGGAATCCTATGCAAATTTAGCAAATTTGATTGGAGTATCCTAGTTTTAGAAATCCCCTCCATTGGCATTTATCTCTGGTTGTAGCGATCGATGATTCGTTGAAATATCATGCACAGCCCTGACAACCTAGTCCAAGGTCTAAGTCTGACTTCCGGAGGGGACAACAGACTGCTAAGCTCTTTGATCCCTTGTTTACGAGAAACTTGTACGAAAAATCTACACAAATATCGAGGAATTATATTTCTGCGAGATGCTTGGCTGGAAGAATTCTGCAAGGCATTTCTAAAAGCATGAGGAGATGTTTCGACGGCCTTAATTCAAACACAACCTTTGGGGAAAAACTATCTGGCAAGTAGTTTGGTCAGTATTATAGAATGTCCATGTACACCAGATGAGACATGAGAGATTAGCTTCGGCAATGGGGAAAAAACTTCAAGTCGCCGGATCCGTGAATAACACCGGATTTTCCGACAGGCTGCGCCAGCTAATACGAGTTAAAGCAAGGTTTTATAAACGGAGAAATAATGAGGTAATTGGAAATGAATGTAAATCGAAAACTAAAGCATGCTCTTCGGGCGCAACTAGGATCTACCAGACGAACGCAACCAATTGAACATTTGACACTGACAGATTCTCAATGCATCCCAATTAAGAATCAACTCACAGTGCACAATATCAATGTTTACAGAAACAGCAGGGCTTCAAAATACTGATAAGTATTGACTTTGCACTTGCAAATGACAAAGCCAAATCAGTACCGTGAACACATCGCTCCATGGTAGCAACCAAGTTTGATAGCCTTACTACCCTTAGACATCAAGAATTGCTCAATCGTTCATGAGGAATGAGAATTGTTTATATTTCATGACAGAATGAGGTATGACTACTCCTACGTAGAGCGGTATCAATGAGTTTCAGCAAATCTTGCACACAAAAAGGTACTCGGGATACCTAACAGGTGTTGTTAAAGGAGACGACCGAAAATTCTCACCGCCCAAAACTGCCGCAAAATCCTTAGGCCTAGCTTACATAAACCACTTAACGCGCCCAAAATCTCGACGCGTCTCACAACTCCAGATAGGTAAATGGAAATGTTCTTTTTATTATAAGTCCATTCCCAATTCACCATCAACAATTTTCTCAGCACCACACATATCCTTCGCAAAGATGTCTGATTATGAAGATGACATGGAAATTGACGTTGCCCCCAACGCGAGTGATTCAATGATATTTGGCTCCGATGCTACGACTTCAAAGGGCAAACGGAGCGCAGCAAATTTACCTGTGGAAGCAGAAGATAGTCTTCCATGGTAAGTCGGATCAAGTTAAAGATCTGAAATCACTCTGCATACTAATATGCCACCTCAGGGTCGAAAAATACCGTCCAGATACTCTAGAAGATGTCTCCGGCCATCAAGACATTCTTGCTACTATAAACAAATTCGTCGACACAAACGTAAGCCTTCTTGCTCTAAAAATGCTTCCCCCCCTAACATTCCCTCCAGAGACTTCCCCATCTCCTCTTCTACGGCCCCCCCGGAACCGGTAAAACCTCCACCATCCTCGCCCTCGCCCGTCGCATCTACGGATCCAAAAACATGCGCCAAATGGTCCTCGAACTCAACGCCTCAGACGATCGTGGAATCGAGGTCGTGCGCGAACAAATCAAGACATTCGCCTCGACCAAACAAATCTTCGCCTCGAAATCTTCCTCCACATCACCCGGCGCATACAAATTGATTATTCTCGACGAAGCAGATGCGATGACTTCCACGGCACAGATGGCGCTGAGACGAGTGATGGAGAAATATACTGCCAATACACGATTTTGTGTGATTGCGAATTACACGCATAAATTGAGTCCGGCACTATTAAGTAGATGTACGAGATTTCGATTTAGTCCGTTGAAAGAGGCAGATATTCGAGTACTGGTTGACAAGGTGATTGCGGAGGAGAACGTGCAAATTAATGCTGAGGCTACGGACGCACTGGTTAGACTGAGTAAGGGAGATATGAGACGGGCTTTGAATGTTTTGCAAGCTTGTCATGCTAGTAGTAAGTTCTCATTCTTATTTTTGTAAAGTTCGAAGATGCTAATATGAGGCAAAGGCACTCCAATCCATATCCAAGGCACACCCAAGATCGAAGAAAAAGATATCGTTCGGGACCTCATCACCGAAACTACTATATACGATTGTATCGCCTCTCCCCATCCAGCCGACATATCCAAAATCATGAACACGATTCTCAAAACCACCGATGTTAAATCCTGTTTACAAATGATCAATGCGGTAAAATCCACACAAGGACTCGCATTAGCAGACATCATCACTGCACTCTCAGAAGAACTTACAAAACTGGATGTCCCAGCAAGCGTCATGATAACTTGGCTGCAAGGATTAGCGGAGGTCGAATATAGATTGAGTGGCGGAGGAAGCGAAGTCATACAGACGGGAGCATTGGTCGGTGTGGTAAGGGAGGGCGCGGAACTTATGAAATAATTAATGAATATCATTTGTAATATGATTTTATTGCATCATGGCTATGGAGTTTGATGATTTAGGTGGAATTCTGGGGGGTGAATAAGGTGTCTAAAATAAACTAACCTGGTGAACCTAAGGTTAACAATAATCAATGAATTTCCCCATCTGACGATTCACACTAACCTCACAGCGTGTATGGACAGCAATTTTTACACACCTCTAACTGTGTGAAGCAGTTTCTTATGTTCCCAACTCCCTTCCCACTTCTTCCTCTAGAAATCAGAAATAAAGAACAAGGACTAAAACTTCTCGAATTTTTTGAAAATTATATTCGCTCCATCAGCCTCTCGCAAAAAGTAAAAAGGTATAGTATAACGCAGTATAACGTAATCGATACAATATTAACGGGGGGATTATTAAGTATGCACAATTCCTTTCGCCTTTTCCCGTTCCTCCGCCTACCCTGCCCTTTCTCTATCTTCCATCTTCCATCTTCCATCCCTTCATCCCTTCACACCCCTGGCTTATTCATCGACTACTGACCTGCCAAATAGTTGGCCGCCTAACACATTTCATGATTAGCGTTTGTATGTTCATTTCAGAACCCCGCAACCCCTGAATCCAAAACCACCTGGACAGAGAAAGAAAACTGAAAAACTCACCCTCTCCAAATTATAATCATACTTCTCCAATGCCGCCAAAGCATCATTTCGCTTATATCCCATCCCTGTAAGATTTTTTAAAATTGGATCGTCATGTTCACCACCTTCTGTCAGTGCTCTTCCAATTTGTGGTCTCTCTGCCGCTGCTCCAGTTAATGTTGTTCCTAGATTCCAGGTTAGCCATAGGACACGATTGGCGTTGGGATAAAAGTCCTTCCACTCCAGTGCGGCGGCTCCGTACAACGGGCGAGCGCTATGATCCCTGGGTTCCCTGGAGGGAGGGGAGGAGGAGGGGGAGGAGGAAATCCATCAAAAGAAGGACTTGAATACCTACCAGCATGTTCTGTCTCTTTCGACGCCGTACCGCTACCATTACCCTGGCCAGAACCACTACCTTCAGCACTTGGCCCATCCAGACCAGCGAAAATTGCATCCCAATCATGATTGTCGTTCACGGCAGCTGGCGCAGCAGTTTGTTGTGTTGAAGACGCAGTGAAGTCTCCAAATCCAGAACCGTCACCACCAAAAGCATTGCTAGAATGATCTTGTTGTTTAGATGATGGTGGACTATCAAACATGGGATTGAAGTCATCTAAACCGTTTCTCGATTCGTGGATAGATGAAGCTGCATTGGCAAATTCGTCATCTGCTTCACCTTCTTTGGCATCCTCAAGATCATCGAAGTCGTCACCGAAGTCATCATCGAAGGGGACCTTGGCGGGCGGGGCTGGCTGTGTTGGGGCTCCAAAGCTAGTCTGGGGAGCGGCCGCTCCAGAAGACGTAGAATGTTCAGGAGATGGAACTTCTCGAGATGGAAGAAGCCCAGAATATTGCTGAACTTCCGAGTGTGCTTGATCAGCCGAAGAAACGGCCTTATCATAAGCAGGTGGCGAAGCTTGAGCATTAGGAGTTGGAGGATCACTACCAGCAGTAGGAGCGGGAGCTGGTGCACTTAAAAATTCCTTTGCACTTCCAGTTGTACTATCCGCAGCGTGTGATTGGACAGGACTCTCAGGGGCTTTCCTAACTTGGTCGGGAGAAGCTGGGTTAAAGTCATCTTCAAAACCACCACCACCAAAGCCATCTTCACTAGCACTATCGCTTTCATCATCAATTTCCAATTCCGAGATGGGAGGGAATTCCTGGCCAAATCCAGATTGGGCTGCTACAGGTGCAGCGGGTTCCACGGAGTTTCCAGTATTTGAACGCTCTGGGGCTTTGCCAGAGCCACCAAATCCTGCAAAGGCTGCATCGAAGTCGTCCTTGGCGGTACCAGATCGTACTGGTTCTTTCGTAGTTGCAAATGGATCAGCGGCAGCTTGCTCACTCAAAGTAGTACCGCCAGTAGGCGTGGCAACAATGTTAGAATTATCATCACCTGGGAAAGCTCCAGGAATTGTTTCCTTGGAATCTGCAACAGCAGGAGATGCGGTCGATCGACGATCGATATCAGGAGAAATGGCCCTAGCTGTTACAACAGGTTCGGCTTGACTCGCGGAGGAGAAACCACTCTGAGTGGCTCCCAGAAAGTTTGTAGGGTTATCAACTCCCGTGGGAGTATCCCCAAATCTGCTATTTGGGGCAGAAACTTGTCGCGATGAGCTTACAGAATCATCGTGGGATGGGAATGGCAAGTAGCTTGAGCTTATTTGTCTTGATGCAGGCATTGGTGGGGGTGCTTCGCCTGAAAGGGATGGAGTAGCAAATCCACCGCTAGTTTGTGGTCGGGTGGGGAGATCTTGCTTGAAGGAAGTAACGGGCGCTGCTGTTTCTTGACGTGGAAGACCAGAAGTAAATGCTGGTCCGAATACATTCTCGAATGAACGGTCAGTCTGCTGCACGGGTGAAGTAGCAAAAGGAGAGCCCATATCATTATTACTTCCACCAGTTACTTGGCGTTTGAAGAATGGGTTGTTGGCGCTCATGGTAGAAGGTGCTGGACTTGCAACCGATGCAGGACTCTGAGCTCTAGCCTGAACGGGGCTTTGGCTACGAGCCCTAGCAGCTGCTGCAAGGGTTGCATTGTCTTCCTCAATACTTTTGGTCAAATCCGAAGCCTCACCCTTCAGCTTGTCTCGTTCACTTTCATTAGTTGCCAATTGCTTCTTATTAATTGCGACTAACCCCTTCTGCTGACGCGCTTCGGATCTCAACTTCTCAAGCGATGGCTTTAGCTGTGCGATTTCCGCATTAACAACACGCATGCGCTCTTTCAAACTGGCATTTTCCTGTTGATCAGCTTGCAGCGCTGTAACAATTTGCCCATGTTGAGTTTGAAGATCCACAAAAGTCGCTTCAAGCATAGCACTTTCTGTTTGAAGCTTCTTGGTCTCATTGCGCGAGGCAGTTAATCTCTCTTCTAAACTTCGCACATCCTTAACCTCTTGCTCATACGCTGTTCTAAGTTGAGCAAGGCGGGCCTCAATTTGTTGTCTCTGAGAATCGGATTGAGTTAATTCATGCTGTGTTGCGTTCCTCTGATCCTGAACTTGCTTCGTCTGTGTTACTAAGTTTCCAACCTGGTTAGATAAGTTTGCGAGCTCCGAAGTCTCGTTGGTTAATTTGCTGCTAATTTCCGGATCATTGTCTCCAAGAAGATCCTCGCTGACTGATGGTTGCTGCGAGAATGATCGAGAAGGCCCAGAGTTGTTAGATCCTCCAGTGGCTTGTGCAGTGAGGGTGTGTCCAAATGCAGAGGATGGAATGAAAGGCTTAAAGACAGATCCTGTATGTTGTGGAGATGCTTGAATTGGAGAGCTTGGGCTCAAAGGTCGAGCACCATTCCCGAAGGGATCCGCGTTCAGTTGGCGATTCCCACCAAAAGATGCAGAACCTCCAGTTAATTGTGGTGCTTGGATAGGCGCAGGTGGCGGTGATGATAGTGCATCTAGTCCAAACAGATCCTCAGCAGCTGACTTGGGCATTGTGGGTGGAGGAGCTTCAAAAGCTGGAGCTGTAGTCATGGGTGCCGGTCTGACTTGATTTCGCATGCTTGGCGGAATGAGATTTGGAGGTAAAGTGGCTGGTAACGAATCTCTGCCATCCTTTTTACCTCGCTGCTGTCGGATGAGGTACATAGCAACAGCGAACTCATCCATAGTGAGAAAACCAGCTGAATTTATGTCGGCAAGATCCCAAATCTGTGCTAACACCTCCTCTGGAAGTTTCGATTCCGAGAAGAATGGTACAGCTTCATCTCCCGTGATAAAACCCTTACCCGATCTGTCGAGACCTTGGTAAATAGAATCGAATTTCTGTTTATCTATTGGGCTAATCGCCCAATCTCCAGCGCTAGGTGGTGGGATTGGAGGTGTGAATGCAGGTCGACTGAGGGGACTACTAGCCCTTCCATGCTGCCCACTGAATTGTCTTGGAATTGCCGACATGGCACCATTGCCAGTAGATTGACGACTGGCAGGTCCTCTTCGTGTAGCAGCTTCATAAAGACCAGCAGGAAGAATATTGGGCAAGGCTCGTAGTTGTCCGGATTTGAACGAAGCGATTAGATGCATAGCAATCACGAACTCGGTAGATGTAAGAGCCCCTCGTTGTTCCGTATCTGCCAAATTCCATATCCTACCTAGTATCTCATTCGGTAGACCAGCGCGTTCAAATATCTGCTTGGCAAGTTCGCCCGGAAGAATACCTCCTTGAGCCCCTGATTTCTCAAAAAGTTGTGCATATTGTGATGATTTGTCGGCGGGAAGAGGAGGGACTCGAATTGGACCAGATCCGCTGGGTTGAGGTTGCAAGGCACTGGGAGGAGGCCCAATGGAAGCTTGAAAGCCACCAGTAGGGCTGATATTACCCAAACCTCCATCGAATTTTGGTAGTGGTCCGGGGCGTAGAGCTAATTCAGGGGTGGGATCTCGTCCAGCTTGATAATGGCCAATCAATCTTAGTACGATACCAAAGCCCGCCGGTGTCAGAAGCCCTCGATTCTCCTTATCCGCAATCTGCCATATCTAATAGCCAGAAAGTTAGTTTCATGTCGCTCACAGAGACAGCTCACCTGCGCTACACCAAGTAAAACAAGTAAGCCAAGTAAATAGCATAAGACATACCTCTCCCAAAATTCGGGGTTCCAATCTCGTCTTCTCAAAGAATTTAACTGCGACTTCTCCTGTAACAACCCCAATACTTTCCGTATCTGCCTGTCGAAACAATTGCCCAAAGACACGCTTCTCCTCGGGACTTAGATTTAAGGCTGGTGTCGCTGACAGCTGTTAGCAAGTGCATTCATCCACCCGCAGATCCCGTATAGCTATAGCTATTGAATAACCATCCAACACTATCTGCGACAGCCATCAAGCTCCGAAAATAAAGAAAATCTTACCTGGATCGTCGGCCATTCTACTCTCCTGAATATTTGCGAGCAGTCGTTGGAACAGAAAGTTGTCAATAATCACTGAAGCCGCTTGCGACAATCGTGAAGCTCCTGGAGCATGTAAATGATACCTAAACCGACGCTAACTCAGAAAAGTCAAATACGAGAAATCTCTTTCAAAATTCAAAAAACCAAGGCAGCTTCCTTCCGTACGTAGTAAATATCAAAAAACGTGGGAGTTGGACGTTCTTTTCCAAGTTCAACCTAATGCGTAGGAAGTAGTGTAGTGTTCTGATGGTAGGTACTTATGATTAAAGAGCGAAGGTTATTAAGGTACTAAGGTTAAAGCAAGGCAAGGCAAGGCAAGGCAAGGCGGGCATGGACCGGTAATGTACTGAAGTAATAAAAGTACCTACAAATAACTACTACCTAGCCACAGCCAACCCAGGCCTCACATTAAATTAGCCAGCAGAAGCGAAAGGCGGAGAAATCGGATCGGCATCAAATCAATTTCCATCATACCATCATCTGCTTCACTTCATTTAGAATGATTGGATAACCTCAACCACGCTGAATCTTTTCATATATCTTTTCCGTGTCACATTTTGCTGTCATCTCGGATCACTTTGCCTAAACTAACATCTTTTATACTTTGCTGTCGTTCATGGTCGTGCATTGTGATACATTAGCAGCTTTATGAGATGTATGACATACAAGACAATTTCATGCATCACTCATGAGGGGGAGATGGGCAATGCATGTTCCTCTTTAGCATAATTGATCATGAACACAAAATCGAAGAATGTCCTTTTTCGAAATAAAAATCACATTTGTCTAGATTTTTCTTATTGGTATCTGTATTGACTACTAGGATTTGTGGTATTTGGGATTACAAAAAAGCATTCTGATTAAAAAACAAGAGAAATTCCTTCATGAATTCGTTGAAAGGAAGAATGTCTCTATAGGCTTGCCGGAAAACATGAACCTGTTCCAAAACAAGCCTCAAAGAACATCACACGCTACGATATCAAGTACTAAATAAAGCTCTGCAAATATTTGATCCCATAGGAGATAAACATATGGAACGAGAGAATGATTTAGTACTCAGCATCGGCAACCTCGTCACCCTCAAGAGAATCGGTCGCAACCTCTTCGTAATCACGCTCCAAAGCAGCAAGATCCTCACGGGCCTCAGAGAATTCACCTTCCTCCATACCCTCACCGACATACCAATGCACGAAAGCACGCTTGGAGTACATGAGATCGAATTTGTGGGAAAGGGCGGACCATGCCTCAGCGATAGCAGTTGTGTTTGAAAGCATGCATCTTTGAAAGGAATTAGCAAAAACATTTAAAAGGGGGTTACTTTGACTTACACAGCACGGTTGACCTTGGCCAAATCACCGTTAGGAACCATTTGAGGTGGCTGGAAGCAGATACCGATCTTGAAACCAGTTGGGCACCAATCAACGAATTGAATGGTACGCTTAGTTTTAAGGGTGGCCACAGCAGCGTGAACATCATTTGGTACAACATCACCACGGTACAACAAGCAAGTAGCCATGTACTTTCCGTTACGTGGGTCACACTTGACCATCTGGTTGTTGGGCTCGAAGCAAGACATGGAGATTTCTTGAACGGAGTTGGCTTCGTGGGATGCCTTGGCAGCGGAAACGACTGGGGAGTAGGCAACGAGAGGGAAATGGATACGTGGGTATGGAACCAAGTTGGTCTGGAACTCGTTAAGATCAACATTGAGGGAACCGTCGAATCGGAGGGAGGCGGTGATCGAAGAAACAACTATAAAATATTAGCACGAGGCAAATTTCCTATCTTGAAAACTATCATACCTTGGGCGATCAAGCGGTTCAAGTTGACGTAATCAGGTCTCTCGAGACCAAGGTTCTTTCGGCAGATGTCGTAGATAGCCTCGTTATCAACCATGAAAGAACAATCGGAGTGCTCAAGGGTAGTGTGAGTGGTTAAAATGGAGTTATATGGTTCGACGACAGAGGTAGCGGTTTGTGGTGCTGGGTAGACACAGAACTCCAACTTTACTTTCTTTCCGAAATCGACTGACAAACGCTCCATCAGAAGAGCACCGAAACCAGATCCAGTTCCACCACCGAAGGAATGGAAAACGAGGAAACCCTGGAGACCAGAGCAGTTATCGGCAACCCGGCGAACCTTGTCCAAAACTTGATCAATCAACTCCTTGCCAACAGTGTAATGTCCACGGGCGTAGTTGTTTGAGGCATCCTCCTTTCCTGTAATCATTTGCTCTGGATGGAACAAGTTGCGGTATGTACCGGTACGGACCTCATCGACGACATTTGGCTCGAGATCACAGTAGATCGCACGTGGGACATATTTTCCTTGACCTTTATTTGATATATCCTGTCAGCAATCTGACCCATCATAATATATGTACTTGAACTGTATGCATACCGGTTTCGGAGAAGAAGGTGCTGAAGCCTTGGTCGGGGTCGGCGGCTTTACGTTCCTCGGTCAAGTATCCATCGGGCTGTAGAGAGATGGCATTAGTGAGGATTCGCAAGTATTCCAAAGGGTATTGTTGATTTTGGAGATTCTTACCTGAATACCATGCTCAAGACAGTAGAGCTGCAAGAGAGAAAAAAACATGTGTCAGTCACACGAGTTCCATGTCAACATTCTACAACAACAACAGTGCGATAACATGTCTTGTTGACTTGTAAACATACCTCCCAGCAAGAGTTTGCGATTTGACAACCGGCTTGACCGACTATAGAGAAACCAAATCAGTATATACTTTCCAGCATCAATATTGTATTTGTTTACAAAATACCACCACAACCCCTAGTTATAGCGGTGTATAGTATGAACACGTCGGAAGAATCTTACCGTTGACACTAATAACTTCACGCATCTTGAATAGTAAATAGGTGAAGAGGTAGATGTAGATTTGAGATTATTTAGAAGAGGAAGATGATCTTAGCAAGGAAATCTCTTGCAAGAATGTTGCTCAAATATGCTACTTTTCGGGAGGATTTGATAGTGGGGAATTAGGAAAGCACCAGGGGAAGGATGTTGAGGAATTAAAGTCGTCGCTTCTTGAAAAAGTGGAGAGAAAATAAACAACGGGATTTGTATCTAAAGGGGCGACCGCGTTGGCGTTTTGTGGACTAGTCAGGATTGGGAAATTATAGTCAGAGCTTCTAGAATTTACCCACTTTGATAGATCAATTAAGCTCAGAAGGGATTAGTCGCTTTGATTGATTGGTAAAAAGGTGAGCTAGTGGAAAAGAATAATATGAAACACCTCGGGATACGATGGAAGGTACGGAGTAAGATAGACTGACTGACTTCTAGAAGAAACATTGGTAAATACCTAGGAGCTGGACGAGCTGAGCTGGGAGGTCGAGATTCATAATTGGGATGAATAGCATCATACGAAATCCAGCACAACACCTTGATTAAAGAAGGAAAATCAAATCCAATACGAGGCCGGATCCAATCCAATCCAATCCTATACCACAATTCCAACGGCAGCACCATACAGCTCCATACCACCAAACCCGAGAATTCCAAAATGCAACATAACAACACAACACAGCTCCAAACCTAAAAACCACCATCTATCCATCCATCCATCACACCAACCAACCAACCAACCAACTCCCTCCCTCCAAAATGCAACCCACCACCCTCCTCCACCACAACCTACCCAATCTCCTCTCTCTCCTCCTCCTAACCACCCACCTCTCCCCCGTCCACGCCAACACCGAAAAAGCCATCTTCCTCGCCCCCTCCGCCCTCAGCATCCCGCTCTCCCACCCCACCCTCTCCGATCTACACCTCCCATCTCTCACTCCCGACCACCACACTCTGCGCACGCATATCCGCGCCGAGTTTCCCACACCAGATGCACAAAAGGGGATTTCGTCATGGTATCTACTCGACGGGTTGAAAGAGGGACAGCGATACGAAGTGCGAGTATGTTGGGCTGCTACGGTATGTTCTGTTCCCACCTTGCATATCTCATATTAATGTCACATTTCATATTTCATATTTACACCTATTCCACAACTTATACATCGCAACTCCCGAGATCCAAATCCCAATATTTAATATTCCATATATATAAATCTGAATCAAGCTAATTTCTACCTTCCCTCCCTTCCCTCCAGGATCCAACTTCATTTCAGCTTCAGACTTATGATCTACCCACGGTATTCGGAACTTCGGAATTAATCACATCTCTTGCACAATATTCCGAGACTCATCAACCTCTCTTCAACGATCTTCCCGATCCCACTTCCCAAATTCAAGATTTGGATGCCAGATACAAGCATAAAGATGCTACCTCGTCAACTTTATTCCTCCAGATTTATGCAGCAGCCGATTATCACACCATGAACCAAACTCTGATGGAAAATGTTCCACCCGTTTTAATTGATATAATTCTCGATCCCTACATATTCAATCTCCTACCTCAATCGTTAGTACCAACAATCGCCTATATAATTTTATTAGCTGTTGGCAGTTGGTATATTTCCCGATACGTCATGACATGGATATACAAAATAGGCACTGAAGAATTGGATCATAAGAAAGATTTATGAATAATCAGCAGGCTATCATTGTCCTATAATTATTTGCCATCAAAGAAAGCCATGCAAGTTTTGCATTTACAGGATACCATATCCATTCTATTCAAAAGAAACCCGACCATCCCAAACACACCAATATTTTTTAGATTGCTACCTGTATTCATCATATCATAACGCGAGTAAAAAAAGCATTACCATCCTGGTTGTCCAGGATAACCACCTGAAGGAGGAGGAGGGTAACCACCAGATGAACCACCTTGTGAGCCATGTTGTTGATGTTGACCATGGTGAGGATGGCTGCCATGTGGTACAGGGGGTGGACCACCACCATACATTCCTCCTGACATCTCTGGACCAGGTGGACCACCATATTGATGTTGTTGGTGCTGTCCATGCTGTTGATGTTGAGGTGCACCATATCCTCCGGGAGAACTTGGACCAGATCCATAAGCTGGAGCTCCTGGGTATTGACTATGTTGTGATTGTGGTGCTTGTCCGAATGAAGACTGATGTTGAGGGGCACCATATTGTGATTGTTGACCTGGAGCGCCATATTCATGCTTTGGTGGCATGCCATGAGATGGGTTTTGTGGATCATATTGATGTGATGTAGCAGACCCTTGAGAGTAAGAAGGTGCATGTCCTTGAGAATAGGACTGTGACGATGGAGTGTGTGTAGCTCCTTGGCCATAAGATTGCTGTGCAGGAGCTGGAGAGCTGTAACTATTTTGGCTTGCACCACCTGGTTGATAGGAACTTGGAGGAGCAGCACCAGAATAGCCTCCTTGGCTTCCACTGCTATTGTTTGAATATCCAAAGTTTCCACCACCCTGCTATTGTAAACATTAGCACAATACCATAGTGTATGAAAGCAATTTCACTTACAGATTGACTCTGATGACCAAACATTCCCCCCAAACCCCCCACCAATCCACTTCCACCACTTTGTCCGTGTTGACCACTCTGCGAACCAGAATGATTCTGATTCTGATTTTGCGCGTTATCTGTTTTCTTTCCACCACCCAATAGACTGCCCATCAAAGCACCTGCAATGCCTGATGAACCACTTCCACTTGTCGAATGCGAATTGTTATTGTGACCTGATCCGGATGATCCACCTCCAAGGAACGAACCGGCGAGTCCGGCGATACCTGATGATCCACCTCCACTTGTCGAATGCGAATTACTGTTATTGTGACTTGATCCAGATGATCCTCCTCCAAGGAATGAGCTGGCGAGTCCGGCGATACCTGATGAACCACCTCCACTCGTCGAATGCGAATTATTATTATTGTGGCTTGATCCGGATGATCCTCCCCCAAGGAACGAACCGGCGAGTCCGCCTAGTCCTCCCAATCCACCTTGGGAACCGGAACTACTACTGCCTCCACCAAGAATGCCTCCGGTTTGTTTCTTAAGATATTGGTTTGTGATGAAAGACTATTACCGAACAAGACATTAGCATGATGCGAGATAACCATCCCAGATTAAAGCACATGAGAAAGAAACTCACCCCGATACCTCTCTCCCCATCACCGCCCGCGTTCTCCCCTCCAAATCCTCTGGTTCCATCACCGCCCATCTCCTGCGCATGGCCCTGACTTCCATTCTCTCCTGGCAATCCATATGGATGTTCTGTTCCCTGTGGCGTCGCTTGGGGGGTGGGTCCCGTGGGTGCAGCGTGCGTAGGTGTATCCCATTGCGAAGCCCCGGTGCTGAGTTGCACGAAGTAGTATTTCTTGGAGTTCCCGTCCCATTGGGCGATCCAGCCGGATGGGAGAGGAGGAGGTGCGAAGGAAGGCCCTTCTTGGCCGGGTCTGTGGGGATGGTGAAGAGGTTAGTAATGTTCACATGTGAGCGGTGGTTGAGATGGAGAGTTGGGCAGAGGGAAAGGGAAAGAAAAGTGGAGGGGTTACGTTGAAGGTCCTGTCATTTTCGCAACTGTGTTTGTATTTGTGTGATGTGATGGGATTTGCGACTCGAGAGATGATGGGGTTTGAAAATCGATGGAAAATCAAAATCGATATTGAAATCGAAGATGTGGAAATCAAATGGTTGTAAGAAATAAAAAGGTATGGATGTTAGGTATGTATGTCTGTTGGACAAAAGGTGGTCCGCATAGCCCCGCCACTATTTGTTCATATGGATGGATGTTTTATTCAGCCACACATTTGATAAGTGAATCTGACTCTTTTCTCAGCTGGACAAGGGAGGTTAGGTAGGGATTTTATATAACATGACTACTTTCTCACGAGGATTTATTGTATATACGGGTGTATATATATGTGTATATATTATATCTATCTATCTTGACTATATCTTCTTAATTAATTTCGTTCTTCTTCAAGAGATGGTAATGTTTTACAACCACCGGTAATTATCTATCTGGGTATATATAAGGGAAACTACCACCATCTAAATAGTCTCAACCAATTAAACCCCTCCTCATTTCGTCATTTATAACATTTGTGGCTTGAATCTTTTTGGTGGCCGATTTGGATGGAAAATCAACTTTCCCATCATCGTGAATTCATCACCCAAATTGGCGAGAAACCCACCGCTGTTTAGTTTAGATAGGCAAGTGCTGCACTCCTAGATACTAGGTAGGTACACAGGTAAATAGCAGCTAAGTCATGGATCTATTGAGCACCTAGTAAGTTAGTATAATTTTCTCCTCTGGTTATACTCGCACTTCTTTCTTCCTCTACACTGATCTTGAGTCCGTTCTGTTGATCAACCAATCATCCTTTTCATCATGTCTGCTTTACACCCAGATGCGAATCTCTTTCCGCATGCCACTGGCTTGGCTGCCGAGATGGTAAAACAACATTCTAAAGAAGAGCCAGTCAAGCTCTATGCTGGATGGGTATGCGTCCTTCCATTCCCATTCCCATCTCCACAACCTTGCACTCACTCACTCACTCCACCCACCAGTTCTGTCCCTTCACCCAACGCGTGCTCCTCCTCCTTCTCGAGAAACGCATCCCTTTCCAATATATCGAAGTAAACCCATACCAAAAACCCCTATCCCTCCTCAAACTCAATCCCCGCGGTCTCATCCCCACCCTCTCCTACGAAGGCAAAGCCCTCTACGAAAGCACAATCATATGCGAGTTCCTCGAAGATGCCTATCCATCTCACTACCCTCGATTGCTCACTCGCGAACCATTCGAGAGAGCCAGATTGAAGATTTGGACCGACCACATCACATCACGTGTTGTACCTGCTTTTGATCAATTTCTTCAGTATCAATCGGTTTCATTGATGGATCCTAGGTTTTTGAAGATTCGCAATAGGTTTCTTACCTCCCTTTATGAGTTTACGCAGGAGATGCATCCTATTGGACCTTATTTCGCGGGCAAAGAACCGTGTATAGTAGATTATGTCCTCGCGCCCTGGGCACTCCGTATCTGGGTCTTTGATTACTTCAAAGGGGGTCTGCATCTTGAGGAATTAGGAGAATTGAGAGGAAGATGGGAGAAATGGGTCGAGGCCATCGAGGAGAGAAAGAGTATTCAAATGACTTTGAGTGCGACGGAATACTATTTACCTATTTTTGAGAGATTTGCGGATGATGCTCCACAGGTGAAGATTGGGAAGTCGATGGGAGAGGAAGGTGAAATGTTTTAAATGGAAGAGAGAGAGATAATGATAATGGTTTTCTGATTCTAGGTTTTCTATTTCTACATCTATCCCTGACAACAAATTATATACAGTATTAATACCCCTCTCTTCAATTTTCGCTTACTTCGCCCTTTTGTGCATACGCTCAGCGTATCAAATCATCCTCTTGATGAATATAATATATTAACTTGAATAAATATTACCGTATTCAATAGAACCTCACTCTTCCCGTTTTCCCTGACTCTTTACTACGCTCTCAAATTGATTCCTTAATACTGATTCCCGCCTGCTCCTCCACTTGGTCCTCCATTCGACGGTCCCGATGAACCATTTCCATTCGAAGGACCACTCGATCCCCCACTGGGACCTCCGGAGCTAGGGCCATTCGAACCACTAGGACCATTATTACCCTGTCCATTCGACGGTCCCGATGAACCGTTTCCATTCGAACCACTATTTCCCGGTCCATTCGACGGGGGTGGCGATCCAGGAGAAGATCCAGGAGGTGGTCCCCCGCTATTACCTGGTCCATTCGAAGGAGGAGACCCTGGTGGTGGTTTATTCCCATTTCCATTCGAACCACTATTACCCGGTCCATTCGAAGGAGGCGATCCAGGAGGAGGTTTCTTCCCATTCCCGTTTCCATTCCCATTCGAGCCACTATTACCCGTTCCATTCGACGGGGGTGGCGATCCAGGAGGAGGTCCCCCACTATTACCCGGTCCATTCGAAGGAGGAGGCCCTGGAGGTGGTTTATTCCCATTCCCATTCCCATTATTCGATCCCGACGACTGACTAGGAGGTGAACCCGAAGCACCCTCATTCCCTCTCGAAATAACCGTTGTTTTCGATATCGGGAGTGCGAATCTATATCCTGTTAGTTTCTTACTTTTTTCCTTTCCTTCTCTTCCTAATACTCTATTTTCTGTCTATATCCCTTGTTTTTGAACATAAATAAGGTTACAGAGAGACATATAGATATACATATACATAGACCAAAATAAAATAAAAAACCCACCCATCCACTCTTCTCTCCGTCTGCGTCTGCGTCTGCGTCCCAAACAACGCACCACTCTCCTCCTCAAAAGATTTCCCATAAACCACAAATGGCTCTCGAGCAACTAGATTCTTGGCCACAGATGTAGATGTGGATTCCAGGGATCCTGAGGTTCCTACCGGAGCCGCGAGAACGGAACTCGCGAATGCGACCAGCGTGTAGGTGTAGAGGGTTTGGGTGTGCATTTTAAGGGTTGATTGGGAGTATATAGATATATGAATATATGAATGTATAAATGTGTGGTGGAGGGAGAATTAGATGTTTATATGTTCATATGTTTATGTGTATATATAGGTATATATATATGTTTGTGAGAGTTATTAGGTAAATGGAATTGAACCTGTCAATTGTATATATGTATATAAATATATATATCACAGAAAAATCAAACAAAAATAAAAGATCAAAAAGGAATTCGAGCTCAAAAAGTGTCAATAAATAACCAAAGAGAGACGAAAGAAAAAATCGGATAGAAAGTTGAGGTGATCGATATAATTTATATAAGTATGCATAGGAATTAACAAAAACGACACCACTCTCAACACCGACACCGAATAATATATAACACATAACACACAAAAACCTCATCCTCGAAGCATCAGCCAAGAAGCATCAGTCACAAAACATCAGACCAACACGAATCGTACAACCTCATGTAAAACAATCTGCCACACGACTTCTCGAGCCGCTACTCCGACATCCGATATTCTGCTACAAATTACAGATTCATCAACACAAACCAGTACATCACAAGCATTAGTATTCCATCCCTCACTCTCTTCCATCTTCTATCCTCGACCCCCCAAATCTCCTTGGTAGCAACATCCCAAACCACTACAAAAACCACAAACTCACCACCATGAAACATCTCGCGCATCAGCAGTTAACGTGTCTCCCCGAAGATTTTTATTTCTCTTGAGATATCATCATAACCATCACACCACACCACACCACACAAAACAAAACAAACCAGGAGAGAAAAACAAGCCCAACAATAAACATGTATACCTACAGAAGCATGAACACATCAAATCGTATCATCTCACATCACACCTTAAAAAATCCCAAATCTCATACCATAAAACTTCATACCATAAAACTTCACACCACAAAACTCCAAGACTAAAGATACATAACCCAGACTTGCAATTTAGGATTCTTTCAAGACTATCCTTGATTCGTGTGATGATAAACAACGAAACGAAGACAACACAATACAATACAATACAAATAAAAGCAGAATACTCTCGAAACGATTGATCGTTCAGTATCATTCATCTCTTTTCCTTTCCTTCCTTTCCTTCTTTTCCTTCTTTTCCCTATTTGACTCGATCCCGAGAAAATACACAATGCCTTTTTGATATTACTTTTACTTATTGATACTTTTACTTATACTTACACTCACACTCACACTCACACTCACACTTCCACAAACCTTCACAGAGCATTCATCCCGCTCCTCAACCAAGCCCCCTTCCATCTTTGTCTACACTAGTAGCCACTGCAGTATAACCCTCTTCCAAGGTTCTCAAAAAGTTACAGCCCCACAGACTCACAGACTCACAGCCTCAAGGCCCCAACCCTCACCCAGCCAATCCTCTCCCGAAATTCTCCTCTTCCTCTCCCTTTCCCCATCTCAATCTTAAACCTCAAACCCCAATCCCCAATCCCTCAAACCTTCCCCTCAAACCTTCCCCTCAAACCTTCCCCTCAAACCTTCCCCTCAAACCCTCCCCTCAAACCCTCTCCTCAAACTTTCCCCTCCACAACAAAACCACGTTACAACACAACCACATTACAACTCACAAACATATCTCTCACGAGTCTCGTCAAAATAAGCTTGATTCACATCCATCCATCCATCCATCCATCCATCCACCTTTCAGTCCGTGCTTAAGAGCGCATCCGTGCGCGTGTGTAGATCTCGAACGCTCCCTACTCCCTGACGTTTCGCACGTTTCAATATTCTCGAGAAACTTATCGGAATCCGGCTGTGGAGCTACTAACTAAGTTGTCATTTTTTGTCCTTGCAACCGGATTTCAGTTAAAAACAAAGACCGTGCCCGGAACTCACCCATAAAACACTCCATGTGTCGACTTCAAATCACAAACAAAAATCATCAGCAAAGATTCGGACACATCACACTTTATCCCCCTTCAAATAAATTGATCAATTAGATATGATATAATATCGATATAAACCTCTCTCCTATAGGCTCCGCTACGCCCTTCCCAATATATCCATAGCCACGGATACGTGACCACGTAAACGAATTTCTGTCAAAGTAAAATAAAAAAGATATTAACATCTCGATGCTTAGCTATGCATGCCTATCCACCTATTTTACAACGCGAAATACAATGATAGCCGGGGTAAAGTGTACATTTGTTTACTGCCAACTTAGAATCCAAATGGATTTTGAGGAGCTGTGTTGCATTAGTGTTTGAAATTGATGGAGACATAGAGATGAACTTACTGGCTTGTGAGAGGTTCGCGCGTCTGCCAGTGGGTTGTGGCGCGATGCTATTAGTACCATTAAGACCAAAACGAACTGAAAACAAATTAGTTGCAGGTTCATATAATAGTATGGTAGAAGAAAAAAATTACCTGGTGGTGCTGGCCCGGTCGCTTGAGGGATTAATGGGGATGGATGTTGCTGTGGCGCAGGTGGAGCCGGTGGTGCAGGGAAATTCTGGCCACCAAAACTTGTTGTTCCATTCATCATGCCTGTTTGCTGAGGTTGCATGGCAGGAGGCAAGAATGAGTTTACACCGGTAGGTTGAGGGAATTGTTGCCCAGTAGGGAATGCACTCTGGAAGCCTGTAACTTGAGGTTGAAGTGGCTGTGGTTGGAATGGCTGTACTGGAGGGTTTGAAAATGGTGTACCTGTTTGATTCGGTATGAATTGCTGAGGAGCGCCCGTTTGCATGGGGAATTGTTGAAAGTTGTTGGGTGCTCCAGGATTGAATTGATTGAATCCGGTAGGTTGTTGTTGCATCATGCCAGTTTGCTGCTGCATAAACTGTTGTTGTTGCATTTGCTGTTGCTGCTGTTGCTGCTGTTGCATGCGTTGTTGATTGAGGTCATGCAGACTTTGTCCAGGAGGAGCAATTTGAGGTTGGAAAGCTCCATACCCAGTAGCTTGAGCTTGAAGTGGAGGTGGGGCGTAAGCGCTCACAGCTTGAGGAGCTGATAAAGGTCGCGAAGGAGGAAGTGGTGGTATTAGAGTCGTGTTTGCGCCCATTTGAGGGGGTCCAGGACGTTGACGCGCTAAGTTTGCCGGGAACAAAGGCCCAGAAGGAGCAGGTTGCTGTTGAGGGAGCCCAGTTTGTTGATTTCCAATTCCAGCAAATATTGAAGGAGTGACGGCAGGTGGGCCTTGAGGTTGCGGTGTTGCTTGAGCAGTCGGCTGTGCTTTTACTGGTTCGAGAGGAGTGGACAACAGCGAAAGTTCTTGCATCGAGCCAGTGATAGCTGGCTGCTGTGGAGCGGGAGCTGGAGCCGGTGTAGACTCGACAGGCGCACTGCTTGTGGCTTCTTGTTTTGATGGCTTAACGTCCCATGCATCATCATCGAACCCTCCTCGCTTGACATCCTTTCCTGCTGGAGTTGGAGCAGTTGCAAGGGGTGTGGCAACACCTTGAGGGGATGACTTCTCGGAACCATTCTGCGAAAAGGCGTTCGCATCCACCACATCATTAGTTTGTACAGCAGGAGCGGGGCGACTTTTCCGGGTATTATTTTTCAATGTACCACCGGGTCCAGAAAAGAGGCCAGCTTCACCCTCATCGTCACCAAGGCTGACGTTTCGCTTCCCATCTTTCCGCATGTATTTCTTGTCTATGAATCTTATTATTTTGATGATATCCCCCTCGCGGATTCCAAGGTTCCGAAGTACAGTGGCATCAATATCAGGCAAAACACTCTCATCCATAGAATCTCGCTTGAATGCTTGTGCATATCTCTCACAAAGACCCACCGCAACGTCGCAGGAGAGGAAGAATTGAAACCAGTCATACTCTGGACGTTCGATGCTTGCACCGACACTTGCACCGTTGCTCGGCTGTCTTTCGGCTGCTCGTGACTTTTGCTGCTTTTTGATGTCTGATAACGGCTTATCTTCATCCAAGGATACGCCCGTCATTCGTTCAACATATTCCAGATCTTCAACTGACATTTTGACAACTGGGACAGCAATTTTCACGCCGTTCATTTTGTGAAGATTTATCTTACCGTCTTTCAACGCTAAAAATTGTGCCTCGACACTGAAGGACTTCGAGCGGTCCGTCCAGGTTCTTACTTTGGCAGGATCAGGTTCTATGGATTGTTAGCTACAATGTATTGCGCTGGATGGAAATGTTACGTACTGGATTTCGAAGATTTCGAAGAGCTGCTTTCTCGGCCATTATCTCGTCTCTTCTGTTGCCCAGATTGGTTACCATTGTCACGAGCATATAGACTGCTACCCCGTTCGGGTAGTCGCATTCCAGGGCCTACCTCAACCTCGTCTCTCTTCGCTGTCTTCAGGGCTTCCCTTGCTAGACGCGCCTCCTCGAGCCTATTTTGTTCAACGGTTGATCGCCCCGCGTTTATTCCAGCCGAACTTTGTGGTTGTATTGTACCAACAACTTCGATGTAACTACTTGGAACAACTCCTTCTTTCGCGTTCTTGACCCGCCGTACCATCCACCATTCCTCACTCTTTATATCGTCAATTATAACGACTTCATCCCCAACATTCACATCTACTTCGTCCTCTCCTTGTGCCACGAAATCGTAGAGAACCTGTCCTCTCTTCTGACCAGATCCAGATCCTGCTGCGATGACCTCTCTTAATCCTTCTGCTCGAACAGCACCCGCAAGTTCTCCCAAGGCACTCACAATCTCCGTCGCGGTGTCTTTAGCCCCGGCGTGGAAATCAATACTCTTGGTGGGGCGTACTAATTCCATGAAAACGTGCTTGCCTTCCAATGAATAATGCGTCATTTTCTCCGCTGTCCAAGTTTGTTCTGGTCCATCTCGGGCTTGCTCCGGGGCGATCAAGATTGTACCTGTAGCGATGTTGATACCTAGAGTTGTAGGCATTTTCTTCTTTTTGCCCATTACATGCACCATCTCGCTGATGTTATACATGTGAAACCCACCTGGTGCACGACTCGCTCTAGACTCATCTGGGGCATCTACTACGCCCATTGTAGCGAAAGATACTCTATTATAAGGAGGGGATGCGGCAACACCAGTGGGAGATGCAGGAAGCCTTGGGGAGTAATGCCGGGTAGACTCTCGCTCCCGCTCTCGACTAGGCTGCGGTACAGATACTTGCGATACTGGTCTCGCAGGTAATGTAGGCGTGGGTGGTTCTTCATCGGAGGCTTCGGGGGTGAATTCTGGTGGGGCTCGAGCTACCGGAGCAGACGATTTCCTCTGTTGTTGTTGATTTAATATACCTGCGATTGCAGTAGCTGGGGTCGCAACTACTGGGGATTCGGGGGACTGAGGTGGTAGAGGAGACTCGGGCGCCTCCGGTGCTTCTTCTTCCACTGCAACTGGTGGTGGTCTAGGTCGGCTTGGAAGACTTGGAGCAGGTGCTTCTTTGGGCTCTTCTAAGTTCTCAGATAATTCAATATAATTTGCAGGTACAAAGCCATACTCTCCTTCGAAGCCCACCAAGATCCAGTCCGGATCTGATGTGTCGAAAACCTCGAGTTGTGCATCTTCCGTGAATGATAGCTCCTCGTCTGTCTGTCTCGTGTAGTCGTAGAGAGCTCTAGCTTTGCTAGATGGAACTGCCTACAGAGATAGAAGTTAACATATGCTGCACCATCGCCGATAAACCAAGTATCATCATAATTTCATTTGAACGGGTATGTTGATCCCCTATTGCCATTGTCATGAATCGCAGATTGAAATTGAATATCCATACCTCCTGGATGTAGTTATTTGGGATTAATCCCACGGGTTCATCCTCATCGTCTGCAGAGGCCTTCTTCTTTGCTTTCCACCAGTCGTCTTCTGTGCTCTTCTCTAGCACATAGAGGATATCACCTTCGTTGATGGTAAGTTCTCCCTCGCCTGCCGGAACATAATCATATACTGCGGTATAAACACCCAGGAAACCCATCTTGTATAATTCGTCTGCAAGGTTGCTACGAGGGGAATACTCCTCCTGCTCGGTTTCGAAATTGTTATCGTCCTGCGAAGTGGTCTAACGACTGCCCCATGTAATTTCGGAAATTCAGTAGTTCCAAGTTCGCGATGCCGGATTTACCCAGATTTGGATGAGCTTGCCGCTTTGAAGAAATGACAAAGTTGTATTGGGCTATTGGGCTGATGGAGTTGATGGTCTATGTATGCCGAATGATTAAATGATACCGAAGCAAATGAATATTCTAAGATCTTAGGAGCAATACCTAGGTAGGCAGCTTCAACAAATGAGTGTGAACACGGATTGGTTATTGCGAGGTGAGTTGATAGGAAATGATGTTGCGTAGTTGGTCTTAGGCAGCTTCCGTATCTAGGGTCACATCTAGATGCTAGGTAATGCTAATAAGGTTGTTTAATGTAAATCATAGCGGTTCGTTCGCTCTGCATAACAAGTCTTGAAACATTTTAGAGTGCAGCATCTAATTCACCAATTGTTGCTCGAGTACCTCGAGTCGAAATTCGTTCAGCCATATTGAAGAATGCTCCTACTTATCTCTTCTCTTCACCAGTTCACCAAACATCGAGATAAAGACGTGGTTGAGTTGCATCCACCAGCTACGTCAGTCAGCATGGTACGTACCGATACTGTACGTCAGGCATTGGCATGTCAAGATTCATGCATTAAATCTTGGGGTGTCTCGGTGGACGATCAAGCATGAACTGTATGTATCATGTAACTTTTACTGGGGTATGCACACACATTGAATACACATTGAACATGCTAACAACTTGGAAGTCAATACAAGTATTGCTTTCATAAGTTCGTTCGAAAAGACAACATCCGATGAACTATGGTTTACAGAGTTGAGCTGATATACGAGTAGGCGTTGTGAAGTTAGTCAAATAGTCGATTCTCAGCAATGAATGCCCATTCTCTTGTGGTTGTAGCCCGTCGAATACGTCAACTGTTCGTAGTGCTAGGTTCTTTGAGAAGTTGTATGTTCAGAGTATATATAGCTAGCTACTTTATGAGATCTTTCAACATTCGGGAGGCGTTGAGATTGTGAAATCTTCCTTCAAGTCACCCAACATTACATTATCAGATTCTAATAAGTATACCTGAAGTTCATAGTCCTCTCTAGTAGGACCATCCCCTTTCTCTGTCGGCCGTTGGCATACCAAAAATATATCGAGAAAATGCCCACAATGGCAATAATGAATATTTGAGAGCCAATACTGACCCAAATTGCTGTCAGATATCGAGGTGCCTCATTATACCTGATGATGAATGCACCGGCAATTCCTCCAAGCCCATTACAGGCAGTTCCGGCAGCCGCAAAGGTTGCTCTTTTCCACTGTCCGACAATATTGGATGATTGGTATGCATTCATTGCTGCCCAGTTTGATACATAACCTCCTGTCGCTAAATATGTTCCAATATATCGAGCTGTGTCTTGACTAGCGAATCCCAACATGCAAAAACCCACAACCGTACAGATGGAATTGAAGATTATGACCAAGCCTCGAAGTTGATAGCGATCACCAACTATTGAGGAAATAATGACGGGAATCACAGCATAGAAATATGGTGGTGCTGATAACATGATCGAACTATCCTCAGAAAATCCCATTCCAGTTTTCAGAATGATGGGTAAAAAGTAAGACATGCCTTTGGGTGGAGTTAGCATATTAGCCCTAATGATGTTACTGGTAGTTGGTACTTACTTGTCGATACCAAGTTCAAGCAAAAAAGCAAAGCACAGAAACCGTAGATCTTTGGATCTAGAAAATGGATAATACATTTTCTCAATGAAAATTCCTCGGCCTTCACGTCGCCTCTGTCATCAGAAATTCTTGTCAGTGCCAGATTTTGCTCTTCGGCCGACAAGAAACGGAAACTTTTATGGGCATTTTCTGGGAAATCCACCATCCAGAAATAGGTTGCGCATCCCACAACTATCAACAAATTAGGTTTCGACACCGGGTCATTCATCGGAGGAACATACCTATAGCAAGCAAGCCTTGCACTAGAAACATCCACCTCCAACCGGCCAAGCTCCCTTTACCATTCAAATGGTTCACACCATAGTTGAGGAAAATTCCCAGACCAACAACAATAACTTCGCCCGTCTGCAAAAAAGCGAAACGAAGCTGTTGTTCTTTTCTAGTATACCAAGTTGAAATAAGGTAGCTCAATCCGGGAAAGATAGCAGATTGAGCAATTCCCAGGAGTAGACGAAGGGCTACCATCTGTTGCCAGGTATTGATGAAAGCCGTACACTTTGCCATGTCATTAGAATTTCCTTCTTCAAACAAATCAAGCCTGGGATTGACTCGGAGTCTCTCATACCAATGTTATAATACCAAACCCAATCGTAATCAACGAGAATACAAATCTTGGTCCACACATCCTCACACACAGCGTAGCTGGCAACTGAAATGTTACACTTGCCACCGTGTACACCAAGATTGATACAGACTACACCTATCAGTATGCAAGAACAAAATCAATTGACAGAGTACAGGAACTTACATATCTGTTCCCCACTCCCAAACCCAAATCCGTAAAGAAATCATCTGCGACACTGGCCGAACTAATGATTCCCGAATCCATCAAATTCAAACTACACAATATTCCAGCGATCGTACACAATCTCCAGTCCACCTTCCTCACCAATCTCCTTTCCAAATTCTTCCTGGACGCTTCATCGATGTCAAGATCTTCATTTTGATATGGAACGGGGGCAGCATATGCTGTCTTCCCATCATCATCATGAGAAGAATGGCGAGGCGCAGAAGCTGCTGCGAAATCGGGGGAGCCCATTGCTGATCAAATCCCACGCCGGTCCTGGCAAATTCCACAAAACAAACACACGAAAACGATACCCTCAAACAACAATGATAACTACCAACTCGCTCACAAAATCAAAATCAAAATCAAACAACGTGGAAAATTTCGACAGCACCGGATAATTATAAATCAAACATCTCCGTACCTACCTAATCCAATAAAATATTGACTCGTGAATAAATAAGCCGCACATGTAGATTTCTAAACCCCCAGGCGGTTCTTACAAAGCATTTGCGCACCCGCGCAGATTGACGATAACGCAGGTCCCCATGTACACTTTGTGCGGGGATTCGACGGCTTCGGAGCTACGAGTGGTGGAGGAAGGATGGGAGTTCGGGTCCGCGGGAGAGAATTTCTAGTCCCTGGCGGATTTGTTCCGTTTGCTTACACTGGATGCATTGTACGTAGAGGAGTCCGTTCGAGAATGAAAGTTTGGAGGGAAATCTGATATCTAGAGGGTAAAGACGGGAGGGAAAAGAATCGTTGAAGAGAAGATATACTCCGTAATATTTTGGGGAGAGGAAGGTGGCTCGGGTGGGTTACCGAAGTTCTCGGATATACGACGTATATGAGATGTTGTCAATCTTTCCTCCTTGGCACTTCCAGTCAGTAATCTTACATTCACACATCTAATCTACTAGGTATTATATATCTTTGAATTTTATTAACAATAATCTTTAAACTCATATTATGTTCGAATTTTTTGGTCTGATAACATAACTTCGAGTCGAGACGGTTTTATCGCTTCAAAAGGGTTGTGGAAAGATGATCTTTGCAGGTTGTATGTAATTGGCATTATTTTATATCTTGTTAGTATAAGATTTTAATAGGTAGTGATAATCTCTTCAAGACATCGGATCTGGATTTTTTTTGAAGGGTTATTTGTGTGTGTATGTATAGGGCTGTTAGTTGCTATTGTTTTGGTATTATATACGATAATATAATATAAGGTTAATCGAATCGATTGCAGAGCTTTGAGGGTTTCTTGATTGTATAGTTGTTCTTTTGTATATCTTTTGGATTATGTACCTATTATATCACGTTTGTTTATATTCCTAACTTGGATAAGGGGTATAGGAGTTGAGGCATAGAATCAGTGTGAGATATTCCCCTTCATAGCCCTTGAATCAATGGACCGGAAAATACTGGAGCACAGTTATATCAAGAATTAGGTACTCTGATAAGTAAGTGAAAAATGGGCTTGAAGGGAGATGTGAATTATTTCTGGAGGGTTTTCCGGGATTACATGGGAGCTTGATGAGGGTATATGATATACTAGATAATTATAAATCTTATAATACACATTCCATCCCCCCCCCCTTTTAAAAAATTCATCTCACAAAATGAAACCCAGAATCAATCTTAACATCCTCCTCATCAAAATACTCAATCTTGAATTCTGTAATCCCCACTCCCGCAAAACAGAATGAGTATATAATTTTCCGTCTCAAATCTGCATCAGGAATCCCTTTAGCTACAACAGTAACTCGATTCACATCTGTCTGATCCTCGACGATTCCATCGTTAAAATCAAGAATATAACATATCTTATCAGCTGCCAATCCGCCTGTCGAATCTACACTCCAAATCTCGATTTGATTTGCGCTTTCGCGGAGGCGGTAGATGGTTCGAGGGATTGGAGGGCTGGGTTCTTGACACTGTGCGATGCAGAGATACTCGAGATCTGAAGTTGTATCTGTTGGGTAGCGGGGATGAAACGCGCTCGCGCTCGAGCTCTTAGGAGAGGATTCGAGAGATTCGGGGTTGGTGTGGAAGGCCTTCCAGTTTCCTTGGAGGCCACGAAAAGTAGATTTAGCGAAAATGGCTTTTCCGTCCCGCGAATCTTGGAGTGTTTTTTGTAGTTTTTGCATGGCTTTTTCGGATTCGATGGAAGTACACTGTGATTCGATGTAGCGAGCTGGACTTACCATTCCTTCTCTTTCGCTCCATGATAGGTTTATTTTCTGAAGCCCTAGTTTTCGAGAGGTTTCTTCCATTAAGCCGGGGTAATCACTGAAGAAATTTTGGGGGACGGATGATGGGTCTTTCTCCATCAAAATCCTCAGTTCTTCCATAAAAACACGGAGTTTCGAAGAACTATCCTCATCTGTTCCATCATGATCCTGAGTAGCAGAAGAAAGCTCCTTGCCTTGTGCCCCCCATTTCTTCGCGATCACGCGCGCTTGACTCTCCAAAATTCCCCAATAGGAACCGTCGAAAAATCCCATGAGTGCCAAGTTGCTGGGTGAATCTCTAGAGCTGCTCATACAATCTTCACTTAACAGTAAAGGAAGACGGGGATATGAGGCATTGTAGCCTAAACTTTCTTTAATCTCGTCTGGGAGGAAATTCAACGCTGGTGAGGTGGAAAATCCCGTCGCGTACACAACGGCTGCGATCTCATCTATTTTGATTTGCTTGGATTGCGATTCAATGGTTGCGAGCATTAGATTTTTATTCTGCTTTCACGTGTCAGATATGGTTTTATGGAGAAAACAATAGGGTTGACTTACTGCTTGCTGTTCAAGCTGAGTGATCCGACCAAACACTTGCCTAATCGCACCAGACCTAATAAATTCCGCATACTTGTCACCTACAACCGCATACGGAGCTCCCAAATCAACTCCATCGCTCTCTCTCGATCCATCGTCATTCTCTACATCCACTGTCCCAGACATGAGCATATTAAGCGTCTCTCTCAACTTCTTCCTCTTCTCCGGATTCGAAAGTCCAAAAGTAAACGAAATGGGTCCCTCCGGTCGCGAAGAGAGATCGTACAGACGCGAATCCAATGGCACAAATGAAGGGAGTTTTTCATTTCCGCTGCGAACAAATGACGGTATGGAAACGAGGGGATGAGGCATCACGTGTATGATTTCTGGCGGGGAAGTCCCAGTCCCAGTCCCCGTTCCAGAAGGTGAATACTGCGCGTCGGATATGTGCATGGCGATTAGAGAGGCTACTTCGGCGCCGGAATGGGAGCCCCCGATTATGAGAATTTTTCCTCCTGGCAAGGGTTCTGGATGGGTGGGTGAGAGATCCGAAAGTTGCCGGTATTGAGAGCTGTGGAGGATGGTAGATGGTTGGCTTTCTTGTTTTTGAATCAGCTTGGTGTATGGAAATGGAATTTTTCTCGCCTGGGAAAAAAATCCAGATGCAATGATCAGGTAGTCGAATATCTCAATCTTTTCGATGGGAGTACCCCCTTCGAGCGCGATGCTTGTAATTTTCCATTTCTTGGTCTCCTCCTCTGGAGAAGTTTGGATGTGTTCAATCACTTTGACGTAGGTTTTGAAAGCAATGATACCAGCTGGAATATATCTCGCAGCATATTCCTTCAAGTATCGATGGACTTGCCACGCTTTAGGATATATGGTAGCTGGAGGTTGCATATCCACCGAATCCCATGCAAGATCAGAAAAACAGACTGTGAACTGCGAAAGATTGGTATGCATTTCAGGATTGATGATTCCATTGGGATTTGATTCCACAGCCCAGAGACCCCCAACGTCGGTCCCCTGCTCGAATACTGTGACTTTGAAGATGGAATCTTTGGCAGATGACTTGAGCAGTGTTTTTGCGGCAACAAGACCTGCTGGGCCGGCCCCGATAATTGCAACGGTCACCATGGTGGTTTTTGATGTTGCTGTGCGTGTCGAGCTTTCAGGGCTCATTTACTGCATCGATGTTGTACTTGGACTCGATGAAACTAGTAGGGTCTAGGTACACTATAAATACCTACGGGACTTTTGTGGGACGCACCAACTGTTGCATTTCTGACTTATCACCATACTATGATTGGCTATGTAACATAGTTCACTTGACATGATCTGATTCTTTGGCACATTGATCTCTGTTCGTGTTGGTAATTTCGGCTACGCTCATCACGAACTACCGAGAAATTCTATCTGGACTGCTGAACATTATGGGTAATATATAAACATGACTATATTCCATGGTACGGCGACTTCGAATATATTATCTCTCAAATACACCTAAACTAAAATTTCGTGTTCCAATCTTCACGAGCCACCTTTGCCAAAAGCACAAACACGTGTTTCCAAAAAGTACAAGCAATTATATTCTACAAGCGTGCATCTCAGCGTTCAATCAAACAGCATGCACATCCGCGTGGTGTCCCAACACGGATCGAGTAGAAGCCAGACTATACGCACTCATATCATCCATTTCATGGGGCCTTGAAGTATTGCCAGGCTTGGTTTTCCGAGTACTCCTCGTTCCATGCATTCCCTGATATGAAGTCGAAGGATCGATCTTTTTTCTAAAAAGTAAGGTTCGATATGGGGGCAGTGCGCACACCATTACGGCAATGGTGGGTTCGCAAAGGGCCCAGACTGCATTGGCATTGGGGAATGAGCTCGTGTAGCTTCCGACGGTGTAGATGGTTCGGAGGACGTCGAAAAGTATGTCGATGATCACTAGGCCGGCGATAGCTGCCACACCTAGTTTTCGAGATGTGGGCATGTGCATTGCGCGTAGCATACCTAAAGGTAATGTCATCGCTGGGGGGAGACTTTGTTAGCTGCGTTGATCGAAAATGCTGGGATTTTGACGTACTCAATATATCTCCTACTGTGTTGAGAACACACCACAAAGTTTCGAGGCCAATGATGAGCTCCTCAGATATGGTATTGCATGCTTCTTTAGGTTTGTTAGTTGAATTCAACGTTACTAGATGGGAATATCATACCAAGATCTTCAAGTTGGCTGGGAGTTTTACATGACCAAAAAATGGCGAAAAAGGTTGCGAGAAACGAAATTCCAGTGTAGATTGCGACTGCAAGCCACCATTTTCGAAAGGCACTGGATACCGAGAATAGAGCCCAGTAAAGAGCTAAGAAAGATGCTTTCACAAGGTATATGGTTACCCAAAAGAAAACAATGTTGACGATGCCCACGTTTTGTGCATACATCAACTGATCGTCGCTGGGAAGATATCCTCCGAGACCGAGTGCATATAGTTGGTAATTATATTGGATAGGCAGGTAAACCTGATATGTGATGGCAAAAGCAAGTAAGGATCCAAGAGCCAATGCATTAAAGATGTCATCTAGATGCAAACTCTTTCCTTTTTGCCATCTGATGTAGAAACGGCCAAATGTGAGCACAGTCGAGATACTGAATAGGGTCCATGCCAGCGCCTGCCAATACGATTAGCGTTGCGTACTCGACGGATCAATTTAGGATGCGGCTACTATACATTCAGATTCTCGAGTGGAACAACTAGAACCATAGCTCTGGGTTTCGGCTATGGATATAAGATATGTGCAAAATGATGGGAGCGGAGTACGACTCCAGATTTCATAAATGAGGCGTCGACGAACTTGGCCAGTGTACGTGTGAGGAGAATACGCTTCCTTGTAGGATGAGCGCTCCCCTCATCTTCTTAACTCCATCTTACGATCACGGGGGTAAGAAATGTACCGCCTGTTGCCTCCCTTGTCTTGCTGCAAAAAAATCTTCAAGAAAATTGAATAATATCCTGCAATTTCTTTCCCGTTCTTCAGTGTGCATCATTGTTGTGTGATATCGACCCCAGTATGCATTCTAAATTTGACAATTGATGCAAGGAAATAGCAATCTATGCTTCCAATATAAGAAGGACTCAGCTCAAAGATGGGGAGCGAGGGGTACTAAATCAGACCTGTTTTCGTTCGTTTGGATGACTTCCAGTATTCGGGCAGATCTACACCTGGAGCTACCTTTTTTGCAAGCTTGAACAAGTAAGTGTTTCTCTCTGTCACATCTAGCTACCTGCAAACTATCCATGTACTGTGCCGCTCAATCGTATTTGAGCGGCGCGATATATTCCAGACACACGAATTGTGGATGTTGAAGATCTGCTGATACTTCTTTGTTTGGAAGGTCATATGTTCTGGGGCCGGAGATAATCTATCTCGAAACGAAATATGGCCATCAGCAGCCATTGAACACGCAACCCCATATTTGAGAACATTTTAGCAAGAAAGCCATTAATTGGGTATGTATACAAGGCGTCAAAGTAAGAGGTAGTCAGGACAATACTTTTTGGGTTATAACTCCGAAACGAGCACGTGCCACCTACGACTCTGTTATCTGCACGCACCAGGGTTGAGGCCGGAGAAGCCAGAATTTGTACCATTCGCGAGCGTGGGCAAGGATCCCCCATCTTTGTAGAAATTTGTTAATTGCCTAGGATATAAAAAGATCATTCTTCGACTTGATTGGGTGCCCGCAGATGGTGTTATCAAAATTCTGGCGCCCCTCGACTCCTCGAGCCATCAAAATTGTCACCAAAGCTCAGACCATTCGTGTCGACAATTCCAGCTTCCTATTGAAGGAGGATCGCTAATGACGGATACGCAGATTCCGAACACCCTGTTAGAGCACGCAAGGATTGCAAAGATCTGTGGAACCTAAGGTTTCATGCACAAACGGTCCGTACCCTCCAAGGTAAAGTGCTATGTACAGAGCAGAAAGTGCGCGGTGCTTCTCGGAGTAAAAGAACATCTGAATGTATGTGCGCAGCAGTCTTTCAGTGGTGGCTTGATGGCCATCCATCGGCAAGAGGATCGTATGGAGGTTCCTCGTACTCCATTACAGAACCGTCCTTGGGCTTTTCAAAGTACATTTTAGGTAGGTTAGAGCCATCGAGGGCATTGTCCATGACATACTGTTTGACAGCTTCAAAACTTCGACATTGCCTTGCCGTATTGAAATTGGGATGCGGAGCATCGTGGCCTTTCAGCCAGTTATATGTCACCAGATGTACATCGGCATCGCACATTAATTTTTGACGCAACAAATCCACGCAGTGATCTAAAGATTCATTGTATCGTTAGCATAAGATGAAGAACTAGCTGTCCAAGTAAGACAGGAGCACCCACCCATATGGTCGTGCCACTCTTGATCATTTATTTCGATTTTTCTTGCGGCTTCTTTATAATAATCTGGATATGTATGTCGCCAAAGTGACTCCTGTATTCAATCGCTAAGTAATGTTATATGTTAGAACGGGTGACTATAACTAACTTACCAAGCAATGCAGTTGATGAATGGCTTCCACGAAAGCTAGTCTGCCACCTCCATATTCGGCTGGAACTCTTACGGCATTTTTGGAAGCATTTAGCTTGCCGAAAGTCTCCTCTGATATACTGATTGCGCCATCTATCATCACATGTCAGACTCAAGGAGGGAGATTCATGTGGAGGTCTTACAGTCGGTCAACTCGGCCCATGCGGCATCAACAGCTGGCGATGGAGGCCCTTTGTAAGGAGATGAGGATCGATTAAAACTACCAACCAAGCGCTCAAAGTGATGAGTGTCGGGAACAGAATCCATGGTGATGGCTGTGATTGGTTAGCACAATGCACATGAACGATAGCAATTCCAAGTCGCACATACTCCATTGGAGTCTATCCTCTACGCAAATCGCAGGTAAAGACCTTTGTATGAGAAGAGTCTTTATAAGGAGTCCCAGTGATGTAGATAGCAGGGCTAGATGTAACACCCATGGTAAAATTCTCCGAAAGACGACGTTTCGTCCCCCGCATTTCTTTTGAAATTTAGATGTCTTATGCTGCTGCAAGTCGGCCAGACTTGGTGTAGCTTCTTCGTCACTACAACGAGCTTCGTCCGAAGAAAAAAGGAGATTTTCTCTTTCCATTTTATCGCAGCTGAGTTGTCAAAGTAAAGAAAAGGTCGAAAACGTGAGTTTAAACTTAAAAATCAAGTGACCAGTAGTTGGCAACTGTGCTGAAATCGGGAGATTTTCTTTTTGACGAATCAAAATAACTTGATGTAATACTTGATAGCAAAAAAGCGCTCGAGAACACAATTAGCTTTGCAACGTAGGGCATTGTTCAAAAACATGGAGTATGAAGGTAGAAAGAAGGCCAAGAGTGCTAATCGTTATTCAGACTTGAGTTTCCTCTTGCAGCGGTTCTGTACATAGGCAATGAATATCAAGAGCGGAAATTTGGTCCGGACCGAGAAATTCTTATCATCACACTCGCAGTCATCGGCCCCACAGCTTCTTTGCCACTTGGTAGATGCTATGGTATCCGATCGTTTAGTTCAGTGCAGATTTCCATTATTGGATATTATCCGTCCACATATTGAAATGAATTATGAGGGGTAAGAAATCTTTTGGACACGATTGCTTCGCAGTGAACTCCAGACCTGCTACATGAGCAGCTAAAAGTAAGAGCCAAGAAGATTGCGAGGACACGAATTCCACCTGTGGTTTCAATCCTGGTGGAGTTGAGTCGGGTTGATACCTCCATCAGTCCTGGTACGGATATCGCCATGGAGCATATCGGCGCGCTGTAATCGAGTCCAAATTTCGTGGGGTATCATTGGATAGTTGACCAGCCAGTATGGTATAGGAACTCAAACCCATAGATATATAAAGACCGATCATATTCGGTTTCTTGTGCACTTCCAAACATCAAAACATTACACATAACGAGCCGGCTTTCAACCCTTCCTCACTCCATTCAGACGCCAATTTCGCCGCACAAATATACCCGGGTCTTTCACAATGCAACTCACGTTCGTAATCGGCGTCTTTGCCATTGTCCCGGCAGTTTTGGGTGCTCCTATCTTGACTAAAGGTACATGTCTGCCGGCTATCACTGATTTGGAGCCGTCGACGCGTTGCTAACACATTAAAGACGAGGCCGCGCCAGCTCAACTTCAAAGCAGAATTCCTGCCCCAAGCGAGCAAGTTTCGAGTATGATCTTGGCCTACAACGACGATTTGTCTGTGCCGGAATCGGCAGATGTGATCCCTAGGGCGGCTGTTGCGAGCGACAAGGTTCTGAACATGATTCTTGCCTATAATGATGATTTGTCCGATGCGGATAAATAGATTTTGGCGATCCAGAGAGTGAGATGAGTGGAGGCGGGGCAAAATTTGCCTTTGATTGGTTGTTCGTGGTTAGTTTTGAGTTGGTTGAATGCTTCGGCAAAATCATCATGATCTTGATTTGTAATTCAATCTAGAACTTTGCGGTACATATGTATCACACCATATATGGAAGTAGAAACTACAGGCATCTCCAACCACAAAAACAAAAGTCCAACTGTTACATTTGACATACCTTTTCTCCGCACCAATTGTATTCCTATATGTGATGTTAGAACGCTATCTATCGGAGGTAGTAATTAAATTTTCTTTGATTGGGTTATCTTAAAAGGTACCAAGATTAGAACCAGATGTTGGTTTATACGCCGCAGATTATAATGCTTATGTTACCATACGTCTGCGCTATGCGTCTTCATAATATATCCAGCAGTCCAGCAGATTGTTAAGAGCATGTCCAATCATTTTGGGGCGAAAGGAATCATTTCGTTTCTCTGTTAAAAAATTCTGTAACCTAGCACATTCTTATCTTTTGTTGTGATTCACTATACTTATCCTATACAGAAGCTTAATGGCAACTATTAGCCACGATGCGGCTATACCCAGAGCTCAAGTGATGGGTCGTTCGTGGCCGGCTTCTTTTGATGCATCACGATGGTCTGTGGATATTCTCCAGCTCGTGGGAATTGCAGCAGCAATTGGTGCTGGAACAGCAAGGCCATTAATGCCCCTGATTTTTGGAGGGTTAGCAAACAAATTCAACAATTTCCAAGATGCTTCTGCTCTGAAAGAAACTGTTGATTCTGAAGTTTTGTACTTGTTGTACCTTTTCATTGGTCAATGGTTTCTTACCTGCGCTTATGGTATTCTACTATCAATATCTGCAATGAATCGTTCCAGGAGACTCAGAGCATCGTATCTGAAGTCAGCTATCCATCAAGATACGGGACTAGTAAGCCAAGGAAAAGTTGCCGACAATTTTGCTACGAGCATCAATAGTATTGAGGATGCATTGGCTGAGAAGCTTGGGGTTGTCATGCAAGCAGGTTCAACTGTCATTGTTTCCCTGATCATTGCCTTTGTACACAGTTGGCAGCTCACTTTGGTCCTTTTTTCCACAATTGTGCTTCTGTTCATTAGTAACTTTGGTACCGCTGCTCTGGATACACGTTTCGAGCAGAAAATACAGCAAATTGAGGAAAGCGCTGCGAATTTGGCGGAAGAAGTGTTCAACGGTATACGTATGGTAATGGCTTGTGTTGCGGAATCGAAGCTGGTTGATGACTACACCGCAATTCTCGAAGCTGCCAGGATAAAAAGAATGCAGAAGAGTCCCATACTTGCAGTGCAGTTCTCGATGAGCTACTTCGCTCTACTCTCTTCTTATGCTCTCGCATTTTGGTATGGAACGATTTTGTTAAATCAGGGGAAAATATCAAGCGGTGGAACAATTGTCATGTATGTTCAATTGTGACCCGATTTTAGTTGTTTTTACTAACGTTATTGATAGCGTGATTCTTTCTATCAATCAAGGGACAAATGGTATGAGAAAGATTTTGCCGATCTATGGAATCCTCTCCAAGGCGAGAGCAGCCTCAATAAACCTGAATAAAGTGATCAGGAGCACGCCAACAATAAACTCCCTTAACAGTGGCGATGTAATAATTGAAAGTATCAAGGGCGAGATTAGATTGCATGACATCTCTTACTTTTACCCCTCCAGGCCTTCTGTTAATGTACTTGATTCCTTGAATATTCGCTTTGAGGCCGGTAAGATGACAGCTCTAGTTGGCACCAGTGGCTCTGGAAAAAGCACAATTGTTGGTTTAATTGAGCGATGGTATGAGCCAACACGAGGCACCGTCTCGATTGATGGATTTGCTATTAATGAGCTGAATGTGAAATCATTGCGAAGCAAAATTGGACTTGTGCAGCAGGTATGTCTCTTGCTTTTTAATAAGACTAGTTGAAATTTTCTAATTGTCCATAAGGAAGTTACGCTTTTTAATGATAGTATATTTTACAATGTTGCTTGCGGACTTTATGGCACGTCCTTCGAAAATTCATCTGACAAGGACAAGAGAGACTTGGTAGTCAAGAGCTGCATGGATGTCGGAGCGCATGCCTTCATTGAAAGCTTACCCGATGGGTATGATACTAAGGTGGGAGATAAAGGAAATCTCCTCAGTGGTGGCCAAAAACAACGCATCAGTATAGCTCGAGCTATAATATCGTCTCCGGAAATTTTGATCTTCGACGAGGCAACATCGGGCTTGGACATAGAATCGGAGCGGATCGTAGAGGCAGCGATAAAAAAAGTTTCAATAGGCATGACGAGTATTGTCATAACACACAAGCTATCCCTTGTTCAAAAAGCGGACCAGATCGTGTTGTTAAAAAATGGAAGGGTGCTTGAAAGCGGCACACATCAATCTTTACTGGCAATGAACGGTAAATATGCCCAACTTGATGAGGCGCAAAGGCTCGACGAGACAATTCAATACACCGATCAGCCAGGCGAAAAATCTGAAATTCAAGAAGACAAAAAAATCGATGCCACCAAGTTGCAACTTGATGAGACGGCGCAGCCGACGAAAACTTTTGACGGCATGTCTACCCCTATGACACTGGATCCACCAAGGTCTTCATTATTCCGATCTTTATGGATAATTCTACTGGACCATCGAGTACTCATGCGACTTTTTGTAGCGGTGGTACCTACATGTGTGATTGCAGGCGGCGTATACCCAGCCCAAGCAATTCTTTTTGGACATAGTGTTTCCAGGCTGGGAAATTTCGACATTAACATTCAGAAGACGGAAAACTTTTGGTCCCTCATGTGGTTTGTGGTTGCTATCGGAGTCATTGTTGCCTTTTTCTTAATGGGTACTATTTCTTCAATAATGGGAACTACCACGAAGTTCTATTACCAAACTGAGTATTTCAAATCCATGATACGGCAGGATCCTCTTTTCTTTGACAAGGAACAAAATTCGAAAGGAACTCTTGTAGCATCTCTCTCATTGCATACGAGCCACATTCAGATATTGTTTACAGTTCTGGGGTCTCTTTTAGTCGCTTTGGTTAATCTAACGTCGTGCAGCATTTTAGCACTAGTAGTTTCATGGAGACTGGCACTAGTGGGGTTATTTGGCAGTGTGCCCGTTATTCTTTTGGCCGGTTACCTCCGAGTTCGTTCAGCCTCTGCGAAAAGTAAAACACTTTCTGGGCCTCTACTTAACAGTGCACAATATGCGTCAGAAGTCATCGGAGCAGTACGAACAGTGGCAGCTTTGACTATGGAGGACGAAGTTTGTCTTCAACTAGACAAGAGAATGCGAGAATCTCTTCCGGTCTTCTATAGGAATATTCTAGTAACAATGCCGCTGTTTGCATTTTCGGAGAGTGGAGCTTTTCTTGGTAAATTTATTTCTTGACTCTGTATACTACTTCAATTAACACTGATTTTTATATAGGTATGGCTCTGATATTCTGGTACGGAGGTAACCTACTGGCCAATGGCAAGCTGGAAACTGTTGAACTATGGATCGTTTTCTTGGCGATATTGTCCGGCGGAGAAGGTGCAGCTGAATTTTTCGCAAGTTCGAGTAGTAAGTGTTTCAACGCATTCAAGAATCAATCAGCTTATAAAAGTCTAGGTATATCGCAAGCAGGCCATTCCATTAACAAAATTCTCGGCTTAAGGTCAAGAGCAGCTTCCATAAATGACGGAACCACATCTCAGCAACGCAATTATGATGACGAGAAAGTCAGAAAAACTCCAGTGTCTATCGAGTTTCAGGGCGTCGAATTTAGCTATCCAACTTCTTCACAACATGCAGTTCTGAAAGAGATTGATTTTATGATTGAACCAGGCCAAAATCTAGCGATTGTTGGCCCCTCGGGCTCTGGAAAGTCTACCATCATTGCCTTACTAGAGAAGTTTTACACAATCAATAATGGATCCATTTTCATCAATTCATCTTCCTTGAATGAAATTGATACCCAGTATCATCGCAGTCAAACGGGTCTAGTCTCTCAAAACACCACCTTGTTTGAAGGTACTCTTCGAGAAAATATTCTTCTTGGTGTTCGTGATTTGTCTTCGATTGATGAACGCCTCGAAAAGGCTGCAAAAGATGCAAACATACACGACTTCATCATTTCTCTACCAGAAGGTTACAACACACAATGTGGAGAGAAAGGTTTCGGTTTCAGCGGAGGTCAGAGGCAACGAATAGCACTTGCTCGAGCTCTTGTACGTCAACCCAGAATTTTGTTGTTAGATGAAGCGACCAGTGCGCTTGACTCTTTGAGCGAGAAGGAAGTACTCGATGCTTTGAATCAGATCTCAGGTCAGACTACCACGATTACAGTGGCACATAGACTTGCGACCATTAGGAACGCGGATTGTATTTTAGTACTCGTGAAGGGAAGAATTGTTGAGAGAGGCACGCACCTAGAATTAATGGGGTTGAGAGGGACTTATTGGGCCATGAATCAGGCACAGGCCTTGGATAGGGATTTATAGATCTCATAATACTGTTAAATCTTTTGTTGTATAACTTATACTATTCATTTCTAAGTATGTGATGGTTTTGAGACCTTGGTATGGATATATGCTCATCGTGCAAGTGAAAGGGTACTTAGCCTCACAGCACAGTTTTTATCTTCTTCTTCAATGATACTATTTGTGACTCTGCAGTTGAGGGCATCTACATCTGTTTCTTCATATGGCGCGATATCAGTGGTCGAAGTCACTTCAATATATCTACTTTGGCAGTCTTTTCGTCCTTCATATATTTTTAATCAACAGCATTCACTCTCTACGTTTCTACGAATTGCCAGGTATATGAGAATTCTCTATACGTATCTGATGAACTTCAAATTAAATGACCGCAGAAACTATCGGCCTTTTGCATCAAGCTGTGTTTCTCTTTTCGGTTAAGAAACGGATATCGATATCTTAAACCGCCGGCGAGGTTGAATCCAAACGGTACGGTACCAACATCATATTGCGAGCGACTTATATTACATTTACATTCTATCTGGAGATTGAAGATCTCGTGAGATCCTCAGTGTATACATCTTTACTGGCAAATTCTGATCATCCTCGTGACCCTCATCTCTTTCATTACGTCATCGATGCTCTTACAGATGCCTCATACCCGCACAATGACATTTCATTATAGGTATTTCTACTCGAAACTATAAATCAATCTGAGCTGAAACTCTAATTTCAATAATCAAGATAGAAGTCGCGATGATCATTGCTAAGCACAAGATAGAATCCCATTTATCGTAAGCTCAATGATCTTCATGACAGTTCCTTACGTCAAATAATGAATTATCCTAAGATCATCACGCGTACTTCGTTTGAAGGGAGTTTCTAGCGGATCTCCAAATCTACTTTGATTTCGTAATGACATGTGCATATGCACTAAAACCCGTTCCGAAGCGCACACTCATTACTAGTTGCGACATTCTTCGGCTGAATCCGTAGGGTTTTCCGAGATTTGATGTACTAAGTTTTGACATCTTCTGTGAGTCATTCTTTATACGATAGGATAGTCATCATGAATTCCTGTAGAGGTTAGATTTACGGGTATCAACGAAGATCATTGAGTTTCGGGGCCGCATGGTGGGGCTGATGTCATGTACTTTTAGGTTTGTAACGGGATCGTCGGCTGTCAATCATTTAGCGTGATGGATTGCTAGCGTGATGGACTGCTAGCGTGATGTACTCTTAGCATCATTGACTGCTAGCGCAATGCACTCTTAGTATCTCGGCACGATTTCCTGATGATAATGTGGGGGCGAAATAACACTTTCGAATTTCCACCAATGATTGTTGCGGATAAATTGAATGTCCAAAATGAATTTAACATCTCATGTTAAGAGAATGTTTTGTATTGATTCAATGTCTAGATTGAAACCAGACTTTTACATAGTATGGATTTTCCAAATCAGTTAATTATTTCATAGGTATTCAATGTCTAGATTGAATCAAGTCTCTCATGTAGATCAAATATTCCAAATGAGTATAGCATTTTATAGTCATTCAATGTTTAGATTGATTTCACACTTTTACATAGTTTGAATCTTCCAAATCATTATAGATTACTATAGTAATTCAATACTTAGATTCATTTCAGTTTTTCACGTAGATCAAATATCCCAGAACAGTACAGATTTTCATAGTCATTCGATGTTTAGATCAAATTTAGTTTTTTACGTAGATCAAATGTCCCAAAGTATTACAGCATTTTATAGGGCTTCGATATACAGGTGAAATTCAGTTTTTTATGTAGATCAAACATCCCAAAGTAGTATAGCATTTCATAGTACTTCAATATCTCAAGTCAACCTATGTTCTCAAATAAGCTAGTTACCCGAGCCGTATTGACACATTGAACTTTTCTCATAATCTACATCTTGCTTGTAGATCTAGGGCGGGGCTCCAGCGATCAAATTTTTTTGCCCTAAATTAGCGACATTATGAATGTTAGCTTTAATTTAGTCCCGTAAGAATCCGGACAAAAGAAGGCCAAATTTGCCTATATAAAGGGCTCTCCCCCTTCAATCAATCCTCTTTTCTTCTTCGTACGAAAACGATTAACTCTTTTTACAATCAAACTTTCAAGCTCACAATCAACCAATCAACCATTCACCTCTTTCACTCACATCTTTCACCACCAACACACCAACCACGCCAACCACCTTCACCACCATCGATCCCACAATGCCTTCCATGGAGACATTCAACTTCGACCGATACGCTTCGGTCTATTTCGCCTGGGCCAAGCCCAAGGCCCCAAAACAACATCCAGCTACGTGGCACCATCCCTATTCCCCTTGTTTCGATTACCCTAACGTTGCAGGCAATCTTTGCGGGTCATCAATCCTCCCAGTAGGATTCAGACCCTTGTGGCTCTTCGGGGGCATGAAGACAGAGCTCGCGGGATGGCTCTGTGAGGTGGACTAATCCCCCACCTCTTCTTCTCTTACGACACTTTTCTGTCTTTTTTTCTTCTTCTGCTAACAGAAGATACATATCCATATAACCAAAAAAACGCCATCCCGCACCAAAAAAATTTCAAAATACAAAACAATCACCAAAAAATTTCCTTTGTTCTTATCGGCGCCTGGAGTTTTTCCCTTTTTTCCCTTTTTTTTTCCTTTTCTTCATTTATCTCTCTGGGCTCTTTCCTTTCTTTCATACCAAAAAACCTTTACAAACAAAAAATCACACCGTGGATCTCCTTCCACCAGCGAATCTAATTTATTTATCCTTTGCTTTTTTTTCACGGAGCCCCTCTGGGCTCCTCTAGCGATATTTTTCCACTTAACCATTTTTTTTCCCTCCATGGACATTTCCGGCTCCATTAGCGATATTTTTCCACCTAACCATCCTTTTTTCCCTGGAGCCCCTCTGGGCTCCTCCAGCGATATCCTCTCACCTATCTCCTTTTTTTTTTCCATGGCCCCCTCCGGGGCCATCAGCGCCTCTCCCTCACCCACTCCCATTTTTCAAGGACAAGATAAGTATCCCTCCCGCTAACTGCTAATTCGTCAATAGGGCGGCTGGCTTGATCACACCTCCCCGTTGGTGCCAGCTGGAAATTCTCAAATGAGAAGCTAAGTGATCACGAATCGACACGAACGAACCCTTTCACCTTTTTCCCCTTTTGCGTATTTGTGAGTTTTTTCTCCCCTTCTCCCCCAATTTCACAAAAATCCACGCTAACAATCCACGCTAACAATCCACGCATATCCGATATTCCACAGCTGCTGAAAAAATCACCATGCCAAGACCTCTAGACCCATTTTCTCAGCCCTAGATAATCAAATTCTACACCCCTTATTCGACATACAGCGAGCTCCGTATCATACAAATATGAATTCCCCTCCCCCAATTCCACAAAAAACCACACTAACAAACCACACATATCCGATACCCCAAAAACAGCGGAAAAAACCCCACGCAGAAGCATTTTCCTTGGCGCAGAAAATCAAATATTCACTCCCCAAATCACACGCAGAAAGCTCTGTATGTGAAAAATAATCCCCAGTCCTCTAATTCCCGCGTCCAAGCGTCCCACAATAGATGCAGTGTACACCAGAGTGGAAATCCTGACGCCAAGACTTCCGCGCTGGGGGTTTGTGCAGCTACTGGAGAAACCCAGATGGTGTATCACAGATTCTATTGTATGCCTATCTAGACACTATGTGAGCATATAACCGTTGGAGAATAGATTGCTATGATTCTATTCTTTCGTGCATAAACTCCTTGCACAGAGAATCCTTCTTTTGTTCTCTCCAATTCACAAGCTGATTAGATATTTTGTGCCAAGAGTATTAGCATCTCCCAAATTGGAATAGAATGGCGTTCAATTTCCTTGTGATACGTCATTAGCCTAGATGGTTAAGCGAGAAGTTGCGAAGATTGACCATCTCCAGGTATGTATCTATGAACCACACATTGCGGAACAATCGTCTCGTAGGTATACTACCACCGAGGAATTTGACTGATATCATTTACTGTGTATATAGTATAGTATATTGCTTGATTCTATTCCATCCAATTCATATGCAAGATCCCTATTCAAACCCTTTATCATCTCCGTCTTTCCAACTCCCTGGTTAGACTCCTCTGTCAAACACCAACGCCAGAATCAATTGTGGTACAGACCAAAAGCTAAAAACTCAAAGAACCGCCCTAATGAAATCTAAATGCCCCCAAAGAAACGCCTTTCTAAAAACCAGTCACCAGCAGCTTATGTGTGCAGACTACTAACTAGTTAGTCTTCTACAGCATGTTCCTCACAATTTTGACTCCGTGCCCGCGACAACCTCATTTGTCATAACCACATCCGCGGGTTCCACATCAATACTTTTCTCGCCGTTTCCATCTTCCTTCCCAACCTCAACTTGTTTTCCATCCAGCTTTTTATCCGCGACTTCCGATTCCTCTCCCTCATCCAGCTTTCCTGTCCCCGCATTATCATAAACACTCAACCAATTCCACCCTCTAACTCCCCCATCCTTTCCAAAGATCTTCAAATCATTGTCTGTCTCCTCTTCTCCTCCTTCTAATTCCAAATCTTCTTTACAAGTTTTATCCACTTCTACCCCTCTTTCTCTAAGTAATTGCATAATCGCTCTAACATTCAATTTCATGATTCTCTCTGGTTCCTCTGCCGCGAATACCTTTTTCGTGACCCATGGGAAAAGGACGCCGAAATCTGATTGACTAAGATGCGCACTCGAAGTAGGATAATAGAAATGTGGTTCTGATTGTCCATCACTGGAAGGATTATGAGACGATGGGTCAGCAGAAAGAAGTCGTTTAGTAGCGTTGAAATGTTCGGTCCATTTATAGAAAGCTTGGGATTCTACTGCGAGAATTGCAGAACCACCAGGCCCAGAGGGAGCGTACGATGGAAGAGGATGATCCCATAACCAGCGGGTTGCTTGAGAGCGAAGAGGGAAACACCAACAATCCAGAAGTACGATCGGATTGTTTGGCGTAATTTGAGAGCAGAGGGGAGAATTTGGAGATGGCTCATAAACTGGTTTATAAGATTTTGGAACAGAAGTTGCTTCAGGCGCATAGAAGACTGATTTGATGAACTGAACCACTGTTGCTGCTCCAAAAGAATGACCTGCGAAAGTGATCTTCCCAGGTTCATGAACATTCATTTTATCTTTGAATACTGATAACGAAGTCGAAGTTGTATTGAGATTCGTAACTTGCTTTCCCTCATCCAATTTCAATAAACTGTCATGAATCAACCCCATCTCCCAAAGTCGAATCTTCAATTGTTCATTTCTTCCTTCCTCAACTTCCGGACTCGGTGTATGCGACAATTTGACATAGTCGATCGTTTTCTTGACTTGTTTCTTCGAATGTTTTTCTTTATCCGTCGAAGAATCGGAGGGTGGTTCTCGAATGTAGGATATAGGGGTTGAACCATCTCGATGTTCTGGTGCAATAACTATCATCCCATGGCTTGCCACTGATCCTACAATGTGTGAATACGCATTTCTTGAACCACCCAATCCGTGCGAAAATATCATAACAGGCCAACGATTGTCGCTTGTATTTGGCTGCAGAAGAGGCGCGTTCTTGCGAACTGGAATCGTAACATAATGAAGTAATCTTGGGAAATATCTATTGTGCCCAAGATATCAGCATTCGCCCCTTATGCTAAGATTCACCTATACTTACGAGATAACCTCTGCTAGTGTACTGCCAGCTCCCAAAAACCTAGAATATGCACTTATATAATCTCTTTGGGGCGCGGGTATCCAATTCACACTCTTTGCCTTGTGTTTCGTTTCCGTTTCGCATGGGTAAAAGATTCGATATTGAATTGTTGGAATATTTCCTGCATTGCTTGGTGCTTGGGCTGGAGAATCGAGTTCAGAAATAGGGATCTCAACATCAATTGTCCCTACTTTATGAGGCCCAGTATATTCCGGAAATCCTGGAATTGGACTTAGTCGTGAGAAGTAGGATGTCATTTGTGGTGGTTGTAATGTTGTTTTGTTTGGAGCAAGTGGCAATCGAAGTCGCAAAGGGAGTTTGATGATATAATGAAGAATGTTGTTAGGAATTGAAGACACTGTTGCGGTTTATGATGAGAAAAGGAAGAAAGAAAATATGAGTCTATTCAAGGATCTATAAATCTAGATTGAGCTATGTGATTGACTTCTATATTACATTAATGTTAATGTGAGCAAAAACTTGGTAAAAATAAATTTATGGGAAAGTTTTGGGCATTTATTTGGAACGGACCGAGGTCTCGTGTGCCCCTTCCCGAAACGTCATAGCAAAATGTGGCGTATGGTGGGAGTGGCGTTACGATATGTTCAGCCACTTGAGAGGATAGGTATTTTGAGATGTAAAACAATTCAACAATACTATCGTAGAGAAATGACCTCATAGGTACTCAGGTACTTTTATACTTTCATTATAGGCACGAGTATAACTCAAGTAGTTATATAATATGAAACAATTATTTCCTCTCAAGAATCTTCTTATTTACACTTTATATATAATATATACATATAGTTAATCTCCTCTTCAAGACAATACTACTATTCGTAAAGACTTCATTGTTATTTCAATTAGAGGGTTACAAGTCGAGTATTGTAATTCGCGATATTTACAGTTGAATGTTTCGGTTTTTGATAAGTATATAGATGGATAGTTGTCAGATTCTAGTTTATATCATCTTAAAGAACAATTTCTTCTATTGCCATTGAAACAAACCGACGTTGATTAAAACCTAATCATGACTTGTCTGAGAAATATGATTTTGATCTGTCTAATACGCAAGAAAATGTTTGTACCACCATACTTCCCAAAACGATTAGACTCGTGGATACCTGCAGGATAGCAAACAAGAGAACAACAGCAGATATAAGTGTCTTCGCACCCTCAAATCCATCGAAAAGCGCGTTTTCAATAACAAAGCACATCACAATGAGCTTCCTCAGATGGCTCAGGACTTCCATTTCGCCTGCTGAGCCTTGTGCAACAGTGTCTCAGTACAGCAGTACGACTTCAACCCACTCACCCACGTCGGATGCAAACACGAACGATATTAGCCCCGATCAGTGTAGCGCGAAGCTCGACTTTTCCCAAAGCCTAGATAATCAAGCTGTTGCCGATACAGAACATCACATAAGTGAAGACAATGACGATGAACATACTACGGAGCCCAAGCGCGTCCAAAGTCCAAATGCTCAACTTGTGGACAGAAAACATATAATTCAGAATAATTCCAATCGGCGTACCGCAAACAAGAGATCAGTGCAAGAAAGGCTCAGAGGGACATCTGAGCGAAAAGTTGCTATCCGAAATTACTTCTACAGCCGACCTGACTACTTCAAGAAACCCGCTTTCAATTTGAACTTTGCTAAATGCTTTATTCTGGAACGCACAGAACGAGAAGTTTGTCAAGCCTTGAATGCTGAGATGATCGCACGCCGCATCAAGTATGACGACCTGCGTTACCCTCGGAGGATAAGTACAGATCCTGAGCTTTTGTCCAGGGATATCATGCTGGCTTTGGAGGTACTAAAGAGCAGTAGGACTATCGAGACACCTCAATGCACTTTATCATTCATGAGACGATTTGGTGTTAGTATGATGCCATGTGGGTTGCTTGGCCGTTGTAATGACGGGGAGGTCCGCACTACATCAACCTTCTTCACAGATGAGCCCTCGAGCCAGAGCACCCTCACTGTTACCATGGATGAGCCGGCTATCGATACCAACCATAAACCGATAGCCATCAAGTCTTCTACCAGAAGCAATATCACCACCATCGACTCAGAGAGTGATGGAGAGATCTTAACAATTGTGAAACCGATATCACAGAAGCGTAAATCTGTCATCAAGGAGACTCCGGTAGGAGAGAAAGCGGGAAAGGGATACGAATTAAGAAGAAAACGAATACTGGCGAGGAATGAAATCGAAAAAAGAGATGTCAATGAAAATGAAAGTGGAAGTGAGAGTGAAAATGAGAGTATTATTGTGGTTGAAAGTAGGAGAGTCATCAAAACTAAAGATGGCAGTGGGGATGAGGATGAGATGGAGAGTGTTATCAAGGTGGAGAATGAGAGAGTCATCAAGATTGAGGACGACAGTGAAGGACAAAAGGAGAGGCCGATCAAGATTGAAGATGACAGCGAGAGAGAGAAAGAAATTTACAACAAAATCGAAGGAGAGTATGATGAGTCCGAGTCCAGTGTGGATGAGGATCTGTATAAAGCAAAGCTGGAACTCCTAAGCCAAGTCTCTAACGAATTAAGCTTACTCAACAGTAAGAAGAGAAAGAAGCAAAGGAAGGAAGACAAAGACAAGTCTGGTAGCAAACGTGTCAAAATGGAGTGATTTGGATGGGAAACTCGGTGGAAGATGTTAAGTCTATTAAGTTGGTTGATGACACTGTGGTGTGTTTGGTCTTTTGACTTACGAGTTGGTGATATTGTGTGTTCGGCTGCAACTCATAACTCGAGAATATTGTGTATTGAGTCTCTTGACTCAATCGACGATGTGGTGTGCTTGGTCCTGTGAACTAGTCGTGATTTGTGTTTATTATAGTCTGTTTTGTTATTCCAATCGAGAGAAACGAATTAATCATGATGAATTATCATCGCTTCGGACCGCTAATCCGTCCCTTGTACCTCGCACCAAGATAACAGATTTCTCGCCCCTCATCAAACTTGGCAGGGGAAAGTCAAGCGATCAATGAATCAGTTTGTGTTTATTATATTGAAATTCTGACTCGAACATATAAGTATCAACCAACCGACAGCTTTTACAATTCAACATCTCGTCGCGTTGCTCAACATCGTTATATGATGAATCAAAGGACATCCAACTACGACGACTGCCAGTGATCTCCTCTCTAAACAATCGCACTGTTACCAAAGATAGCTCCCCGGTACAAATCTGTGCATTCTCGAATCTCCACTTTCCCATCTATGCCAAGATGTACCCTCGTAGGATTCAGGAAGAACAATCTCGCAGATAAGAGATTCCAAAAGACAATATAAAAGTACATCCATCTTCTACACAACACCGATGTCTGATATCTCGTCTGAAGATATCAATCTATCAGAGAGAATATTTATATTTATAGACACGTATCCTCGCTGTCTTGTTGTCTCATTGTTTCACCATCGCATCCGCATCTCACGGCAACGATAATGATCCACGTTGGCTTGCCAGTGACATAAAATGACATCATGAATGTTCCACCACCACCAAAAACCAAGGTCAATATCGTAAATGTAAGAACTTCGCAGTAGTAAGTACTAGGTAAGATGAAGGGATCATGACTTCCACCAGTGTTCCATGAGACATTAATTCATGGTAAATATATCAATTGACTTTCTTTTTCTAATCGTTCAATCTTTCATTCTTGTATTGTTTTTCTTCCTGTCTTCCCTCCATCTACATCGACAGTATCGATATCATAATTCAACATGGTAGGTCATCGAAGCCGCACAACAGGAAATGATAATGCACATGATGCCAAACAAAGTACATATCTCCGCCGAGACGTAGAACAAGGCAGACCATCAAAAGATAGGAAATATAGATTTCGCGATCATGGACCATTGGAGCCAGATGATCGAAGGCGAGAAGAATTTAAGACGAAATTATTAGATGGAGTGAAAAGTTCGAGTTTGGAGGGCTTTCGCAAGAAAGACGAAGAGGTATGTTATTTTCCACTTTAGTTTATCCTCTCCACATACTCAAATATATCCCATCGATGTGCAAAATAGAACGTCTCACTAATTTTCCCCACAGCTCAAGGAAATGCCAAAATCCGTCCGGAGCTTTTACGAAGAACAAAATAATCGTCTGGATGACTGGCTCGAAGTGAATGCTCTCGTTCAAGCACTTGCAGATGATATCCTCGAATCCTTCGATCCGCGAGATGACAACGGAGACGGAGTTGCAGAAGGCGGTGGCGCATTACAAGATACCCAAGGATTTGTCGAACCTTTCTTACCAGATGCCGAACAAGAGAAACGTCAAAAAGCTCGAAGAAGCGCAAAATGGGCAATCAATATAAATGTTATCGCGAATATCATCTTGCTGGTTGCAAAAGCGGTGGCGGCGTTCTATTCCTCGTCTCTTTCTCTCATTGCTTCGTTGGTGGATTCCGCTCTTGATCTTTTGTGTACGGTTATTGTATTCACGACAAATCGACTGGTGCAGTGGCGATTGATGAGCTTGAAGCGGAAATTTCCCGTGGGAAGAAAAAGATTGGAACCAATTGGGATTCTGGTCTTCTCAATCATCATGATTATTTCCTTCCTGCAAATTCTTCAAGAATCGGCCCAGAAACTCATGTCCAAGGGTCCGCATGAAGCAAAGGAATTACCAGTTATTGCTATTGCGTCAATGGCTGGTACAATTGGTCTCAAGGGACTCATCTGGTTCGGATGTATCAGGATCAAAACTACTCAAGTACAAGCTTTAGCTCAAGGTATGTATATCTAGATTCCTAAACTATCTCAACACAAAGATACGATTTCACTCACTCACACAAATTAAAGACTGCAAAACCGACGTCGTCTTCAACACACTCTCCCTCATCTTCCCCTACATCGGCCACGCCGCCAATCTCTGGTGGCTCGACCCCCTCGGCGCCGGACTCCTCTCCCTCTTCATCATCTACGACTGGGCATCCACCTGTCTCGAAAACATCTTCCGCCTCACCGGATCCGCCGTCGACGATCGTCTGCAGCAAAAACTCACATTTCTCGCGTGGCGCTTTGCCCCTCTCGTCAACGGATACAAAAGCATCACGGCGTATCATGCGGGCGATGGGGTGTGGGTCGAAGTCGATATTTTGTTGTCCGAGGGAACGACGCTCGAGGAGGCTCACGATGTCGCGGAAACGTTGCAGTATTGTTGTGAGGGGCTGCCAGAGGTGGATAGAGCGTTTGTCACGTGTGATTATGCGGTTCAGGGACCGTCCGGGCATGCGATGGAGGGGATTAATTGAGGGTGAGGGGTAGGAGATGGAATTCTTGCGTTCTGAAGTAGAGGGAGATAGATGCAGGGGAGGTGTGATGGATGAATTGAGAATGTTGAAGAGAAAAGCTGGGATTGGAATTGAGAAAGGAAAGAAATGAAAAGAAGAAGAAGAGATGATATGATGATTTGATGGACAAATCGACAGTTGAATGGACATCAAGATACAATGATGAGATGGATAAAATGCGTTTTTTTTTCACATATAGGAACAGGATACTTGGGCTTTTAGGCGCATTCGGGCATAGGGTGGCAGCGGAGTATAGTGTAGATGGCGTTTATCATTTTTTAAAGGGTAGCATGTATAAAGTTATTAGTTGAGTATAAGAGAATAGGAATATTAATATTTACTCTGTAGTAGAGATGTAAATCAAAATACAAGTTATGAAGTTCATTATCAGTATTCTTTATATCTTCATCTATATTTACATCTAAATATTATCACAACTCATCTTTCCTATTCTTTCCACACCCACAACTCCCTTCTCCTCCCTCTCCCTCTCCCTCTCCCTTTTATTTCTCCTCGCCACTCCCCCCCAACTCCAACCCCCTCCTCCAACTCCAATGTCCCCTCACCCCTCCCCTTCCCCCCACCCACCTCCTCATCTCTCTCACCCCCTCCCCTCTCCACCCCTCACTCCCCCCCAGCGCCTCCACCGCCCTCTCCACATACAACCTCGTTTCCCACTCCCTCCCCAGCACACTATACGCCAACGCCGCACTGCGATATCCATCTCCGACATGACTCTGCAGTCCCTCCATCCCATACAATTCAATCAGATACAGCGATTTCGCGAGGAAATCCGCCGGGGGAGATGGCGATGAGGAATTATATTCGAGAGACGATTGGAGGGAGAGGATCGCGAGGATGCGATGGTTGGAGTGCTGGCGTTGGGGGGTGGGCTGCAGACAGTGGGGACAGGTGCAGTGGAAGCCCCAGGAGTGGTGGAGCGCAGAGCGGCGCGAACCAGAGGGGACGAGGGGGTTGGTGTCTATGGAGAATGGTTAGCGTGCTTCTTTTTGGAGAATTAAAATCTTTCGTGTGAGGTTTCGGAATAGGGGAATTATCATGGGGGAAATTGGGGATACGTACATGTGATAGTGATTTCCTCCCCCGCCGCAATCTCTCGCCCCGCAACCGTGTAATGTATTAGTGTTCTAGCGTCGAAGTAATAATTTGCATTAGGTCTACAATCGTGATTTAATCGCGCGGTTTCAGGGACAACAATGCTGTGTTCTTGGCCGAGGAAGTCTTCTCCGAAGGTATTGGTGTTGAGACGGCCGATGATGCCTTCGCCGTTGTGGAGCTGGCGGTGCGGTTCGTGCGCTGCGAGGGAATAGAGGAGGTTTGAGGTGGAGGGGGGAAGTTGGGTGGCGGAGAGGGAGAAGAGAGATGTGTTGTTTTGAGAGAGAGAGGAGGAGTTGTGGGATCGGGGAAATGCGGAGTTGTGATAGATTCCGATGGTGGGATAGGCGAAGAGGATGGTGCCGCGTTTGATGGGGCGGGTGGCTATTACGCCCATTCCTCTGCCGGGAAGTTGGCGGATTTCAAATGGTGCGGGGTTTGAGGAGTTGTAGAGGGGTTGGAAGGGGAGTGAGGAGGTGAAGGCGGGGAGAGAGGCGATTTTGGAGGCGATCTTTGGGGTGGTGAGGAGAGAGATGCCGCGGCCTGAGGCGAAGGTTGTGGATGTGTAGACGCAGAATTGAGGAGTTTTAGGGGAGGCGGAGGTTATGTTGGAACAGACGGGTGGGTAATGCCATGGTGAAGGTGTTGATGATGTGGATAAGGTTGTATTGGATTCATTGCTGTTGATGGAGAGAAGCTGTGAGGATTCACTTGGGTAATGTTTGTTCCGCGATAATTCGAGATTTGAAGGACATATAGAATATGAAGACGAGAGAATGGAACTCGAACATTGTGCATGTGATAGAGAATCTAGGATATCGAATTGAACACTTGCTTTCGCATTTGAGAATGCTATAAATGATGTTATCGCAATGAGTGATGAAGAATGCATTTTGTGTGTTTAAGAATCAATTGATCAACAAATTGAAAGAAGAAAAAGAAAGGTAGAGTACAAAGAGGTATCTGTACATAACACACGACAATATATCAAACTCCTTCATTCTAAACATCTCAAACTGTCAATTCGTCGGTCCCGATGTCAAAGGTCTGTTCTGCCAGTCTCACAGGGCTGAAGAAGTATATCTTGTGATAAATGAAACATCAATGCGAGAACCAAAGATGGCAACTTTCCGTCAAAGGTTTCCAGATGCCCAGACTTTGACAACCGACTGAGCTTTTGGTATTCGTACAATAGAGTTTCATACTGTTTGTTCCTGAATTGGCGAAACTTGAGCCACGTCTTGGATACTGAGAATTCGCATTTTAGAACACTAGCTCTGATTTTCAATGAGAGTTCTCGGAACAAGCTGCCCTGGGTATGTGTTTGTTGTCTTTTGTATATCAATGCGTAAAGCTTGTTTTTAGCTGATGGGGAGAATCGAGACTTTCTCAATTGATTGTGAATCAAGGATGAAGTTTGAGATGAAGACGTGGGAAAACTTGAGACAGTCAAAGCAATACGGGGTGAGAATAAGAGGATCCGTGGGGAAAGCATTCTTTCATGCTGAATGAGTGGAAATCACTCAGACTTTCCATACAAACAGTCTGCCTCCACGGCAGTGGCCCTCGGAGCGCCAGCGGAGCGTCATTGCTTATTTCTATCATGAATCTTCTTCCGATACAATTGATTGTTCGATATTCGGGGAAAAGGCACCATATTCAAACTGGTTGCTGGAACACAGTCATTTTTATCGAATGAGAAGGTCACTACTTTAGCAACTACCTAGGTTATGGTACGGTACAGATAGAAAGATAATCTAAATAAAAAACGTAAAGGGAACGAAAGACGGTGAGGTTTATAAGAATCAATTTTTGTGTTGGATGGAACGAGATGGGGTAAGATGGTATGAGATGGGATATATTCAATTTTTGTCAAGATGTTAAGGTTACGAGTATATTCAAGCTTCCATGACGATACTATTTTCTTTGCTTAGGTCACTACTCAAGATTCCTACTCGTCAACTTTTCTTTATTATGAAGTTGGAATAAACTATAAAAGAAATAAATTCCTACGAAATAAATAAAAGATATCAATGTATCGTCATTCGATTAAATCAGCAGCAGTCTTCCGAAAAATTATAAAATCTTCTTATACCATTCAAAGTCTTGCCTGTACCAGAACAATGACCAGCAATTCCCCGCCAACGTTCCCTCTACCAAAGATTACACCACTTCCTCGATCTCTCTATCCAACAACATTCAATTTTACCCCTTCAGATTTCCATCGACAAGATGAATCTCCAGATACAGAATGGTACTCTCAACCAAGATTTGTTCAACACATTGATGATGGCGCTATATCCATATTGAAACACTACTATGCGACCTTCATCACGCCCAAATCATCTGTTCTGGATATCTGTTCATCGTGGGTTTCGCATTTACCTTCATCACTCAAACCCATCACCATGATAGGAATTGGGATGAACGAAGCAGAGTTACAGAGAAATGAACATCTTACCAAGTATTTTGTCAAAGATTTGAATCTTGACCCGAAATTGGAGGGGGTTGAGAATGATTCTCTGGATGTGGTGATATGTAATGTATCGGTGGATTATCTGACTCAACCGATCAAAGTTTTTGAGGAGATGCATAGAGTGTTGAAGGAGGGAGGGGAAGCTCATATGGCATTTAGTAATCGATGTTTTCCAACAAAGGTGGTGGGGAAATGGATGAGGATGGATGATGAAGAGAGGAGGAAATGGGTGGGAGGATATTTTTGGGCCAGTGGGGGATGGGAGGATGTTGAAGAGGTGGTATTGAAGGAGGGGGGTGGGAGTGGATTCTTGGGATTGAGAGGATACGAAGACCCTGTGTTTGTTGTGAGAGGGAGGAAGATGAGACGGGCTTGAGAGGGGGGAGGGGGGAGGGGGGAGGGGGATGGGGAAGTGTCTTGATAAGTGCACGTGGAGGATGTAGAAGGTGTGGAGAGTGTAGATTTGACAGTTAAGTGTGATAGAGAAGAATCAACAATGATTTTAGGACATGAAGATCTGGTCTTCGAGGTGTGAGAGGAAGAGGTATGGATATATGAGGCGGTCTGGGGTGAGGGGCTGTGGATCAGTCGATATTGATGGTGTGAATGGTGTAGCTTAACAAAGGCTCATGATAGAACCTACTGGACAATAGTATTGATGAATGAAGACGATTCATCTTGACATACAGGAAGACGAGAAGGAAAACCTAGGTAGATGCAGTAGAAGCTCTACATACGAACGGAGTATCTGGAGTATCGGGACCGAGATAGAATCTGAAAGGTCGAAAATTAAGGAGGATGTAAGAATCCGAATTCTCGATGGTGATTGATGGATTTCCGGGTGAGCTTCGGAAATGGTTCGTTCACGTTAACCTTATCATTTGAAGGCGGGCCAGGGGTTGAAACAACGATGAAAATTGAGTTTATAATTTGTCTCGATAAATAAGATGCATTCATTGTCTCATTGTTTCATCATCTACGTATTCGAAGATTTCCAATTTATTCCATTCATCCATTCATCCATTCATTTGACGATGCTATTCTGGGCATGAATGGTTGTCGTTGGCAGAGATATCACGTCAAGGCCAGAATATGTATATGTATATGGATCCACGTGCACTTTCCAGCATGCTGGCACGTGGCTGGTAATTAAATGCCCAACTGGATTCCTCCACACAAAACAGCCACACGGAACCATCCATACACAACATTTGTCAGGCAACATTGACAACAAGAATGGGCTCATCGCATAGAATTCAATGACTTGATCGACGACTTGATCATTTCAAATAATTGTCTGGCTGCAGTTTCTCTCAATCTCTTCGTTCCATCATGTCTTAATAATGTGCTTACATTTTCGGTAACTACGATATACTGGGCGAGGATTTAACCTTAACCTTGCCGTCGTCAAATCCTTCTCTTGCCATGTTACATTCGCAGGAAGTATGTAAGATATTCTATTTCCACGTATTTGATTCTGAAATTACTTGGTTTCCCAATCATCAAGTAATGATTGATACAAAATCATGATTCTCTGGGGGCTACGCCACCTCCATAATTCAGCCATACTTGCAATTTCCACCGTTATCGTCTTGTCAACATCGGATGGGTTCGCCCATTTCTCCAATTTCGTGTAAAAGCTTACACTATGCCTTATGAACTTGACAAAGTTTCACATATATGGATACGAAGATGCTGAATCTGTACCAAAATCAATACTTACCAGCCAAAGAAACTTTCGCTTACAACTCGTCGTCGTGCTTTTAATTAATTAGAGTTTTCGAAAGTGGATGGGAAGTCGAGACTTCGATCGATTCGGAATATATTCAAGAGCAAATATCCTCAAAATTAAGCTCCTGAATTTTCGAATCACGCACTTGAGAGGGTCTCTAGAAGACCCTTTGCTTTAGATTGCGCTGGTCGCGGAATATAATTCACCTTTGTGTAATTCACTTTTTCATGGCCACAAACTTTACTATTCGGTCGTTATGGCAGGCCAGAGGACTTCTTATCCCATGAGTTCTAATCACTATCTGCCTATGTCCAATCACAATCACGAGGCCTCAGATTCGCAGGATGTTATCGAAATGAAGGATCAAAGAAAGGAATCGCACTATCTTCCTAACACAGACCGCGATCAAGAATCCTCATATACTTTCCATACGATCGAAATGGAGGACCAAAGAATCGAATTGCATGACTTTTCCAAGACAAATCATGATCAAGAAACTTCATATGCTTTCCATACAATCGATATGGAAGACGAAGAAAAAAGACCATATCCCGTTCGAATGGATTCGCTACAATCAACTCATTCTACGAAATCCGGACATTCCAATACTGGGAGAAGTCATTCAACAATAAGACCATTCGACACACAGGAAGAGGACTTGGTGAGAAATTCGGAACCAAGTCAACATCACCAACATCATGATGGTATTTTCTGGCGCTCACCAATTTTGATGGGTGGGAATTTATTCATTGGAATCATTGCTAGTATTGCTCATCATGTATTTTATAGTTGCATGGTAGGAAAACAAGTTGGAGATGATTTTTCTCAACAGTGGACTTTGAGGTAAGTTCTCCTAGTTGCATCGGCATCTCTCAGCAACACTTCTCAATTCTTACCCTTTATTTCTCAACCTTCATTTCCTATTTCTCATGTCTGACATAATAACAACTGGATTAACACAAGAACTTAGATATGGAACAACCTTTGCTTTTGTTTCACAAGTATGTCTCGTCAGCTCAGTTGGATTTGCTTATACACAATGGCTTTGGAAATCTTTGTACCATAAGGATACCAAAGTTTCCGTTAACTGTCTCGATGCTGCTTTCGTTGCCGATACATCTGTTTTATCAATTTTGAATACCGAAATGCTTTGGAAGCTTAAGCTGGGATCTTTAATTGCGATAGCTGCATGGTTAGTCTATTTTGATTTTGTTATGTGTGGCATGTTTCAATGTTACTTGAGTCTGCTATGTCTCATCAGCTTTGCCGTCTCTTCCATCTGAACTTGAGGGGCGAAGCCACGAAATTGTGGCAGGCTATCATGAAAGTTTTGTACTCATTCTAATACAGGTGTCTACCCATTGGCTCTCTGCTTACTCCCGGTACACTCTACGTTGCACCCAGCACCAAATCCATTCATACGTACGCCAATGTCTCTTCCCTCGATATGTATGGTCATGATCAACCTGCAAGATTTACATACTCAGCGCCTGTAAATGTTACAGATGGTGTACAAAATGAACTATTTCTTGGCCCACGAACGATCATCACACGTCTGTCAACGGCCACTGCAACACAAGGAGAAATTCTTCCAATAAATGCACCCTTCTCGAATGCAACATATGATGTACAGTTTTACGGACCTATTGTCAAATGTAACGAGGCTGATTCAACTACTGCTACGATCATACAGAATCTTCGAGATGAATCTGTAGCCAATATCACAGGATCGGTTACAGAGGTATCAAATTATTACTACGCTTTTGTTCCTAACCTAGGAAATTACGACAATAGCTCATTGCCCAACCACGGCGTTACAGTAATCCCTCAAGCCCGACTTCAACAACCTCAGAATGCTTCAAATCAACTCTGGATGGGCTATTCAAGATACACTCGATCAAAATCCTTTCAAACAGAAAATCACTACACAGTTTGTACACTCTACAACGCATCATACAATATCAACATTAACTTCGAAGAAGGAATCCAGACCGTCACATCCAAATCTCTCTCCGTCCTCAACTCGGTTCCTTATCCCGACATCAACACCCCCCTCTCCAACTCCCTCATGGTTCAACATGCATACTCAGCTTACATGTGGTCAATTGCCGATCTGATGGTTGGCACAATGGGTATCTTCCAAGCTGCACCTTCAGCTCCCGGTCTTCCATCTACATATTTCTCGGAAATCACAACGCAGATTGCTCATACATCCTTGCTTGGTAGCTCAGATTTGGATGCGTTTTTTGAAAGAAAGAGTAATGATCCGTTGGGGAACAATAATACGGCGGTCAGTGATCAGAGAGCGCAGGATATTAGTTTAGCGGGAAATGCGACTCTGGAAGAGTTAGTGGAGGAGTTGGCCTGGAATATTACGTGTGGATTTTTAAATAGTAATTTATTGTCGTATGTTTTCCTTTCATTATTCTCATCAGACTTCTATCAGAGAGAGAAAATGCTAACCAACATATACAGCCCTTCCGTGAATACTTCAGTCCTCTCCACAACGTCCATAAACATATACGCCTACCATTCCTCAACTCTTCTCCTCTCCTACGGAATAGCAATATTCGTAGCACTTATCGCGAATTCTCTGGGCGCATACGCGTATCATATTAACGGACGGTCGCATAATAAAAGTTTCTCGGCCATCCTGGCAGCAACGAGGGATAGCGAGTTTGGAAGACTATTACCAGGGGGAGTGAGAGGGAAGATTCCATTACCGGAATGGGTGTTGGAGACACAATTAAGATTTGTGGATGTGGACGGCGGTGGAGTTGATGAGTGTGGGATGGGTGGGAAGAAGGGAGGAGGGAGAGAGTTTAGAGTTGTGGGGATGAAGAAAGGGTATGAGGCCAGAAGGGGGAATGATCCCGGGGGGATGTTTTCGGAGAGTTAGTGGATTATGACTCGGGATTGGTATACATGGCGATTTGAAATTTGGATTTTGAAGTTTTTCAGCGTTGGAGTTGGGGTTGGGAGGTGGAAGTATTAAGTATAGTATCCTGGGGACTTTGATACTTACACAGGAGCTATAGGAGTTGATTTTTGGACCGTCTAGACGATAGATAGATTTACTTTGAAGTTATATAATGATTTCCAATGACTAATTATTTGTACTCTTGTCAAAGATTTTATCAGTATTCATTATCATACATGTCACTTGCGAATACATCGAATCATATCACATAACATCACATCACACAATCCAATCACCTCAATTATGATATCCCAATTTTTCATATTTAATTAAATCAAACCCCATTCAGAGGCACCAGATCCTCCCATGTACCAAGCAACGCAAAACGCAAAGTCTCCCGCCTGCCTGGTATCATGAAAATCACATCTTCCCCAAACTCCCAATTACAGTAACCCCATCCTATCGAATTCAGCATTTTCAATTCAAAAACATCATTGTTCATGCACTCCCCAATTCATAAAATTTCCTCTCTTCCCTTCCTTTCTTTTCCCTTTCATAAAACTAAAATAAAATAAACTAAAACCCGTATAGTTTTGAAGAATGCATATGCATATGAAAACGATGAAGTGGAAAGGGGGTTTATCGGTCAAGGTATTCCGTCTCTTCTGAAGATCTCTGGCTGTGAAAAATACTGGGTTTCTTGATTGAATTTCCTGATTGTGATGATCTGAGTTTTTGGATTTAGTAGTTTCGGAGAATGTTTTTGTTTATTCGATTGTTAGAATACTTGGGATTTTTTTTTACAGAATGGAATGGAAATGAAATGAAAATGAAAATGAAAATGAAAATAAAACTCTATCCACCATCTATTCCACCGTTCAAAGTAATCCTTCTCTCCTCAAGATATCCTTCTGAGAAAGATATCAAACTTCTTGATCGATTTCCCAATCGCAGTAACCCAAGTTTTTTGAATCCAGTACTTCCAAAGAATCTTATTATTGATCCAACCCTTAAAACACTTCGAATCCTTCAGAAATACAATGAAAATGAAAATAAAACCCCATCCACCATCCACTCCATCATTCAAAGTAATCCCTCTCTCTTCAAAATCTCCTCCTGAGAAAGCTGTCGCGCATCCTCATCAAACCCCTCCTCTCCCTCCTCCTCTCCAAACCCCTCTTCAATCGGGCTCAAAAGCGTCGTACTCATTTCTCCTCTCCCCATCTCCTCATCCACCATCTCTCTCTCCTCTCCCGCAACCTCGCCATCTCCTCCATCCTGCTCCCGCTCCTGCTCCGCATCCTCAAACCCATCAACCGCATGCGTAATCGGACACTTCGGTCCCCCCAATACATTCTCCATATCGTCGAATACAAACCAGCGGGCGCCAACCCCCGCACTGCTAATTTCCTCTTGGCCCCAGCCGCCGTCTACGAAATCGGGGTGGGGTTCGCCGTTGGCGCCCCAGATGTAGGGTTCTTCTTCTTCTTCTTCTTCTGCTTCTCCATCCTCAATATCATCATCTCCCTCATCATCATCATCATCATCATCATCTTCAACCTCCTCCTCCCCCTCCACCGCACACTCCCTCAACCTCTCAATCTCCTCATCCAATTTGTCACTCCTCCACTTTCTCACTTTCACAATGACTCCGAAATCTTCCACCAACTGCGCCAAAAACCCATCCATCTCGTCGGGTTTTAAGAAATCTTCCTTGCGTGTTGGTGCGAGAGTAGCGCGGATATCGTCCATAGGAGCAGTGCTGAACCATCCGACGGGTTTCGTTGTGAGGTCTCGGACGGGGAAAGGAACAGAGGGACCGCAGTGAGGAGAGGACAGGGAGGAAGAGCGTGTGGGGCGGGTGAAGGAATGAGGGAAGGCAGAGAGAGCGGGGAGTTTTCCTCGTTGCACGGCGCTTAGTACGCGTGGGGTTTCTGGTCTTGGAGAGTTGGGAGGGAGGGCGAGGGGTTCCTGGATGGTGGATTGGGTCTGGGATTGGAATGCGGTGTTATTGGTATCGTTACCATCATCACCAGCGGAGTGAGAAGGAGCATGAATAGTAGAAGTGGAAGAGCCCGCAACAAAAGGTAAATCCTCACTCTTCACCCCCATTTCCCTCAACATCTGCTGGATTTCCTCGGGTGTCTTCTTCACCATGCCGGTTGGCGCACCGATCTGCATTTCTTTCCCTCCTCTCGCATCTCTCTTATCCTTCGAAAATGCACCCGGCATCGCAGGAAAATTGCCAAATCCAAAAGATGACGAAGATGAAGGTGCGGTTTTCGGTCTTGTGGGTTCATCTGCCGAGACGTCAGAAGCGGAGAGTGGGGAAGATCCAGATCCAGATCCAGAATCAGAAGTGAAGAGGGTGGAATGAGAAGATTTTTTTCGAAGCAGTAAACTGGGTTTTGGGGAGATGCTGTGGGTGTGTGTTCGCAGGGTGGAAAATGCTTTTTGCATTTTTTGATGCGCGAGAGTGAGGTTGAAGCGGTGTTTTCGGGGTGGGGAGGTGGGGTTGGAGGGGAGGATGGGGGAGGAGGTTTGAGAGGGGTGCGAGGAGGTGAGTGAGAGGGTGTCGGTTTCGTGCGCGAAGGTTACGTGGCGGAGACCGCTGGGGCGGGAGGAATGGAACATGGTGGATGAGGAGGAGGAGGGAATGGTTGGGATGGGGGGTGGTGCGGTTAGAGGGTGAGGAGGCATTGCTGAGAGAACTCGAGAATAGCGATCTGTGCGACTGATGGCGCCATCGCGATTTGGGGCGTATTCTTGTAGCTCGGGGATGGGAGAGATGGTTGATGGAGCTGAGAGATCGGGAGAGGTGGCGGAGCGAGAAAGTTGGGGGGGAGCCATGGTGATGCGAGGTTGGTGGGAGAGAGAGGTTGGAGAAGGTGAGGAGATTATATGGTGGGAGATTTGTGGGATTTCGGTAGAGGAGCGCGGGTCGGGGATTAGATGTGCCGGGTAGTGAATATCGTCGAGGTTGCCGTCTAGTGAAGCGCGGAGTACGGTGTCCTCGCTCAGTTCGGGGACTGAGACGGGGAGGTTGTGTCCGGCTAGGTAGGATAATGGAGGAGGTGGTCTAGGAGGAGAGAGGGGGGGAGGCAGAGGGCGAGAGAAATCTGACGGGATGTTAGTGAATTTGAAGAGGCAATTGTTCAGGTGGAATTGGTTACTTGGGGAGTTGGGAGAGTACATTTTTCTGTTTTAGCAAGTTAGTATATGGATCAAGTTAGATCGTTGTGTACTATCGTCGAAGTATGATAAGTTGAGAGAAGTAGATCAGAAACAGAGAACAGTAAAATATCCTACAACTCTTTGTCTACCTGTGCAAGTAGTAGAGAACTTTCAATAAGAGGGGTCATTTTGACACAACTCTCGTCGAAGCATGATAGAGTCGAAGAGCTAGAGAACAAGATAGAACAAAGTCAAAGACCTCAAAATATCCATATACCTCTACGAAGAGTAGAGAAAATGAAGTTGAAACTTTAACAATAGAACTACTATCGTCGAAGCATGACAAGCTGGAAGAATCAAGATATGTGAGATAATGCTGATGAACATGAGAAATAGCTTTTTACTGAGCAAGTTTAAGAAAGTTCAAGAATTTGAAAACATATTTGAATTACTCTCATGGAGTGTAATTTGACAGAAGCTATGAGTTGAATAACAGGCACAAGTAACCATACTACTCTCATCAAAGTATCCTAAGTTGGAAGATAGAAACGAAACAAAAGTAGGTAACAATAGAAGGAAAAACAGAAACCCAGTCCACTTTGATCAGTAGAAGATGATGAAAGAAAAACCACAAGAGTACTACTTTCATCAAAATATAAAGGATGAAAGACCAAAAACCTAGTAACATCAATTCAAACCAGTCTTCAACCCGTTCCTAGATTCAAACGAGAAGTTTGGAGTCTCATAGAGGAGAGTTGTATAACGATAGAAACAATCTCAAACTCTTTCAATAATATACACACAAGATATCACCTATAAATAAAAGTGTAAAAACTCACCCAGTAAACAAATCCAAACCACCAAAACTACCCTAAACAACCAGTAATATATGTCTCTAAAGACTGACAGAAAGGTAAAATAAGGCGCAAGCTAATGCAATAGAAGTGGTTGATATCACAGTCGTTGTGTTGAAAGTGCGTTATTGTTGTCATTACTTAAAGACAAAAAGAAAGAAGAAACAAATTCTCCCTCACAAAATTCCCTCTGGTGGGTAATTTGAAGGGTAAAAGCGGCTGAGCACTTACTTAATCAACCTGGAAGGCTGAGGTTGATTTGATTAGGTAGAATTGATTCTTTAGTTCTCAGCATTGGGATTTAATTGGAATATTGGGTTTGGGTGGGAAAATTATGAGAGTGGATTTACATGGAATAGAGGTTATTATTTATTGATTAGATGGTTGGGTATTTATGGAAATGGTATATTAGAGATTAGATTGCTATTTTGAATGTAATTCAGGTTCTAGAAAGTTGTTTTTCATTGTTTGGAAGGGGGTTGAATTAGTTGTCTGGTTTCTTCAGCTTGACAACTCGGGTAATGTGATCACGTGTAAGGGGTATTATTGTGGACTTTGTTGACACTTATTAATATCAGAGTAGGTTTGTATCAGAACTGGTTGTCTTTTAGAGTAACGATATGTTTTCTTTATGAACTCATCACGTCTTTAAATGAGATGCGAAGTATGTAGGGTTATATTCCAGATGTGGCAAATGTAGGAGCAGAAAACAGGTTTTGAAAATAACGGAACTACTTAAATGAAGTAGATTAGAATTGGAGGATAATGAATGAGTTGTGAGCTCATAATGTATCATCAAATCAACTAAAATGATCTATGCAAGAAAAATCAATATTCCAATAGATATGATGGCCTGATCAAAATTTGTTGAAATTATACTAAGCCTCTGTCCAGGAGCATAGAATTGATGGGTTTTCACTGAGGGGATGAATGGACCTAACGAAGATTCTCACTTTGTACAAATATTAAGCTAAATTCATAACATAAGTTTGATTCCGGTACAGAATCTCACGAAGCATGAATAACTCATATCGAAATGTTTAAACAAAATGATCTGAAGTGTTAGAAATTTACATTACGCTATGATTTCATGCCTAGTCTTGGTCCCTCTAAATAACAGTATTGAGGAAATTTCTCCGTATAGTACACCCTCCCTGAGCCTCCAGCATCAAGCATGAATAATCTTTCAGTGACGACACTCCCGAATGGGTTGCAAATGCGCATAAAATTCGATGATACATCACTTCCTCTGACCATTAATCCTTCATTCCAAAGCACAGAAATATCAATATACTGTGTTTACATAAGGCGCGAATCACAAAGGGGCCAGTCATCTCTCGGGTCAGGGATTACATCAATAGAATAATCCAATCTCTCATTATCCAAACAGTATATTGATTGCATGAGTATATTTCCTCCATCTTTTATGGCAGAAACATTCTGGGGTACCCTTTGCATTCTCCAACAATTTTCAAGCGCAAGGCTCTATCATCTCCAGAGTCGCCAATCTTAGAGAATTTTGATGTCGTATTTGAATTGTCAATAATCTAGTTCTAGTTATCTTTTCTGCAATCAAAGTTCTTAATGAATATGAAATTCAATGTGTCTGCTTATTTTCCTTGGGAAATTATGATATGAATGAGTGAGTTCTCTTGGTATACTAACAGTCCCATGTGATTGGCCTGTGAATGCCAAGTTCGTCTGTAAGTATGGTATTGGCCTCAGGAGGAAGGTTGTATTGTATTTCGCTGTGTAAATAATCATAGGTGTAGACTATATAATGAGCATGTTGGGTATTCAAGTGTCAAAGGTGTATGCTTCTTTTGTAAAGAAAGTTGGTGATATCTATGTTTTTAAGTCCGGAAGCTCGTTGATCTGGTTCGAGCGATCTCAAAGACTCAGTGGGTAGCGGAATAATGAAAATCGATACGAGATGTGTGAGACATATATTCATTTTACTAAGCAAAAGGGAAATTACAAAATTAGCGGCTGACACGCTGTAGATAGCATAACAAAGAAACTCTTCACCCTAAGATGACGAAAAATTTCCCCAAACATTGACATAACAAATCCCAAGCATCCCCTCAAACCAAAAAGATATCCCTCATCGCCCTATTGCTATCCTTCCCATCCTCAACCAAAAACTCCACTCTCGGCCCTATATGTTCATGATTCCATTCATCACCCCCATCTTCCTCCCACTCCTCTCCCACTCCCGTACCTTTCCATCCAAAAGGTACCAATCCATGTACTCCCCACTGCAACCAATTTCTGCCGGGGCCCGGCCCAGTCATCCGAGGTCCCGTGAATCCATTAATCAGCGGTTGGAAAAACTGTTCTCGGGCATTAATCATCATATAATCCCACCCATCTCGCATGTGATCTCCTTGAATATGAAAGCGGTCTTTGTAAGTTTCAAAACATTTATCTCTGATATAAGGCGAGGGAGTGGTGAACTTGAGGATTTTGGAGGTAGACGCTGCGGCGTGGGTGCCATGTACTTTCCCATTTCGTAGTGATCTCTTCTCCCCCTTTGCTTCAGATACGAAAACAATTCTTCGTATTCCGTAGAAATCCTCACTCATTCCCCCCCAGCAGAAATGATGTCTCTTCACTGGAATATCAAAGCTGAACCCGATGTTTCTCAATTCTTTCCTTACATCCATGTCTCCAAATAACAGACGAAGCGCATCATTCACGGGAAACAAAAGGTCTGAGCAAGGTTGACAAAACTGTGGCTCGTATGTAAGACGATCTTCCAAATCTGCATGTGTATTTGACATTGGGAAATGTTGATTCCCCGTTTTGTCAAAAATATCATGATTTGTAAAATAAACGATATCCTTCTTGAGATTAATGTAGATCCCTGTTGCTTCATCGCCGTGCGTGGAGGGTGCACTGAGTCGAACGCCCATGGCGTTGATCTTATCTTGATGACCACATTTATTGGACATGCTCACAAGCTCATAGATAGGTAGAGCTAGTGAGCGAGAGATGGAACAGACATGTAACAGCGGAGGTATGACAGAAATGGGTGTCAGAAAGAGAGGAGTCTTATTCTTCATTCCATCGTACCTTTGACTCGAGCAACCAGGCGTCCAATGAACAACAATTGGTATGACACGCGATTCATCAGTCGCAGATCTGGCGGCAAGCTTCCAAATCTCTGTTTGAATCTCGACTGGAAGCAGGGCAAATTGGTGAAATGTAGTGGGGGCCATAATCTGCTCCGAATTTGAGGGTAAGGTGTTTTTCATGTGCAAATTATGGCATTGGCTACAATTTTTGCTTGGCAGTCGAGTATATTCCACACTCTGTGTTGGTGGAAGCACGGTCCTGTAGCAACAAATTTTTCCCATCAGCGGCCTGCGAGGAGTGCGAGGAGTGCGTAGTACTGTGTATTTGCGGGCGGTCCTTTTCCGTCTTGGCATTGGAAATTGATGGTTAAGAGGATAATCTGCAAGGTGATGATAAAGAGAAAGTGTAAGCGAAGAAGATGGTTGTAGGTAATTTATATGATCCGGGAAAGTTTAGCGAGCGGCACAGCCACGAAACGGAGAAACACGTGATAATCTATCAACACAGGACTGCTCTCCCAAATCAGGGAGTTACTAATGGCTCTCAGTCAATATCATCCGATATCATTGTATAGGAAGGAGGGCTGCATATCCAGGGTTTAAGAAGTTCGTTTGATCTATAGACAAAAGATAAATAACTGGGCCCCAACTTTTAAGTAAACTCCATCATAACTCGTCACATCTCTCAATATAAAGACTAGCATCGCCTACCATCATATTATGCTCAGATCGCCCTTCGACTCTTTCTCCTTCCTCCTTTGCCTTGTACACCTCTAACTAAGCTACCCGCATCCAGACGATCTTGTGCATCTTGCTCATCATCATCATCCTCACTACTAGTAGCACGGTCCATATCGACATCAGTCTCATCAGTTCCGTCCAAATCCTTGCCATTATTCGCAGCAGGTTTCTTCTTCTTTTGAAAATCTTGGATATGAGCATCGGCCAAAACTTTAGTAAAAGTTCTTTGTGGACGACGGCGTGCCGAACTGGTATTGGTTTGCTGTTGTGAGAGACCACTAGTATGAGTACGCTCTCTATCAAGTACCGATGATATCTCATTTGTTTCAGCAGGGGTAATAGGCTGAGA